TTTTATCTTCTTTTTTTTGGTAATGTTCTGGGGATTTCCATATAGTTAATCATTCGGACAACTAAATATGAAAGTATTTTTCATATTCTTTCGTATATTTTCAACGTCATTTCCCTGTCATGTGATTTATAAGGGTTTCACACTTCTAAAGTAATAAGTCAGCAGCTTCCTATTATGCTTCCCGGTTTTCACTTTGTAAATGTTCCGTAGATGATATTAGTTAGAACGTGAAGTTTTTCTCTGTTATTAAAATAATTATCATTAAACGGCTATGTTTGAATATTGCTGTCATGATTGTAAAGCTAATTTTCCCTTTTTAAAGGCATTGAAACAGGACGAATCTCTATATATGGTTCCCCCAAAAAAGAATTACAATAGGATAAAGATTTTTTTTCTGTATTAGATACAATCATTGAATAGTGTATAGCGACATCTTGTGTCAAATGTATGATACATATAAGACTGGTGATGGCAGAGGCTTCACTAGGCATTGAATTACATATCTGACTATCAATCAACATCAGGGTTTTACCACATGTTCTTATCATTAGCGGGTCCAGGGAGCCGGTAGAGTGGGGGGGGGGGGGCAAAGTGGTGGGATAGGGCACAAACAAATCAAATGTCAAATTTGAGAATTGCTATTCAATCATAGCCTTTCTTGCTACCTTTCTTTGATAATTTCTTTGTTTCTGTCTTTGTTTGTTTCTTCCTTTGCCTCTTCCCTCGTTTCTTTTTGTTCTTCTTTTGCTTGCTACAGATTTCTTTCTCGCACTTGTCCCCTATCCCCCAGAAAATGATTTCTTCAGCTGCCAATGATTACATTTAAAAAAGACTGAAATATCCTTCTGATTGGAGGCTAGAGAAATTCAAGTTGTCCGTTGCGGTGTTTTATGTAGCGCCATCTACGTCTTCTGACCACAATTCCATCAACTGTCGGCCTTATTTATAAAAAAAAAAAAGAAAAAAGAAAGAAAAGAAGAATAGGGAGAAGAAGAAGTAGAAGAAGGGAAAAAGAAGAAGAAGATGAAGAAGAAGGGGAAGAAGAAGGGGAAGAATAAGAAGAAGAAGAAGAAGACGAAGAAGAAGACGAAGAAGAAGACGAAGAAGACGAAGAAGAAGAAGAAGAAGAGGAAGAAGAAGAAGAGGAAGATGAAAGCAATCAGGCGCGTACGCAGGATTTTTTCAAGGGGGGGGGGGGGGTTAACATTTTCAAATCGGGCCGATTATTTCGCACTTGACTCAGCCAGCCGCTGAATAAGCGGGGGGGGGGGGGGGGGGGGGTAAGGTCACCTTTTTAGGTCAGCCATGGGAATAATTTATTTTTTATTACTATTTTTTTTAATTAAAAAACAAAAACAAAAACAAAAACAAAGGTTTTTTTATTTTTTTTAGGGGGGTTTATACACATAAAAATACCAAGGGGGGGGGGGGGGGTTAACCCCCCAAAACCCCCCCCCCCCCCCCTGCGTACGCGCCTGAAAGCAATCACCAACAACTTTCAAATTAACGAAGTTATTATGATTAGAGTTTAGCCAATTTGACACTATCAACGGTTCATGAATACAATTTTTTTAAAAAGATTATTAATTCATATTATAAAGTTAAAATACCAATAACAGCGAATGAATGTTGATTTTTTTTCTTCAAATTAGTCAATATTGATCTTTCTCCAAACCCCTTTATTTGATTTTATTATCAGGACGATTATCCATCCAATCCATTTCCGTGACCTTGATGATTTGTATGCAATGTACATACACCATACTTAGACTAGTCCACACTAAAAGCTATAAACAAAGCTTGTCACAACTTCGGAATTGCGTCCCCGTCTACGGAATTATCATATAAAATACAAACGCACATACATACCTTTAAGGTTGACGGCTTTGCATTCAGTGTAGAATAGAACTCCTCCTGGAAATCCTTTCCACTTAGTTTCAAGTCAGTCAGGTTTTGCATGGAACACAAGGCATCTACTAGTTGGTGTGAGGAGGCTGATGTTGGACAACTTACATGTAGAAGATCGAGATGTGTGACGTACATGTATACAAACAGTGACTTATACAATTACATTACCAGAGAACATTTGTTAATTGAATGACCGAAATATACCTGGATGCTCCGATATAAATGAAGCCTATATGTATGCAAGGCTAAGCTCATGTGACACATGGTCTGGGTTCTTTTTTTACCAAAACATAACAGATTTGGATAATTTCTGCTTATAATAAGCACAACAAAATTGTTGATGGAGCATGCGTCGAGCAACAAGAAGACCAGCAATTACAGCCGAAGTGAATTTACTAACTACATACAACATAGCGATGCATTCAAGGAATCTATCCTACCAGGTACCCACTTACTACGCCTAAGTTAATTATGGCATATATCGATTAATGTCTTTCCAAACAACATTAGTACTACGGACGGCAGAGATTTGAGCCCCAATCCTCGAGGTTCACTGTCCAGAGACTTATCCACTGGACGACAAACAACTCCACATGAACCATGGGTGATGCCGATTATTTTAGAAACTTAAAAGCCTGATTATGATTGGTCAATAGAAGAAAGGCGGTACACGTGACATGCACTGGATTCTAACATGCTTTTGTACATCATGGCCGTTCCTTTTTTTAAATTTTGACGAAAAGAATAATTGCCTTTCTCAATCCACCCTCCTGAACTTTAGATGGTAGTAGTTTGTAGGAAACTCGTGCCCACTACACCCTCGTCGCCTGAGATATTCCATTGGTCACCTTTTATGCATAACTAGTCTCCTCAAACAGAGGTCTTTAGGATTTAGTTTGAATGGATAAAAAAATGGGCTAAGCTGTGTCATAAACAAAAACTAACAAAACACAACATTTAAAATACCTCTAACTAATAGTTGATTTTATTTGTCTTTATTTAAGTACATTTCCTGTAGTAGAAGTAAAATATTAATAATAAATATGATGTTGTCGTTCTCGTCTGTTAAAATTATTAAACCTGCAGATTAGTTTTCCCCGACATCCCATTTCTAGTCATACTATACATTAATCTTCGATGATTATAGATATTAATGGATGACTAACAGTTGTTTGAAATAAAATTGGTTAGGACACACATTAACTAGTGATGACAATGGCGTGGGATAATGCTGAAAAGAAATTCAATTAGTTCTCCAATGTTACCATTAGACTATTTCAACATTTTCATAATACATTGATGCAACATCCCCATGTATTCGTTTAATAGTCTAATTTTATGTGTATCATACGTATATTGACATAGCATCGTCATCTGTTATAAAAAAAAAAAGGAATGCTATGGAAATAAAATGTTCCTGTCGTTTGAATGAGACGTACTTAAACCAAACCACACAAAGTTTAATTATACAAAAGCGAACTTTGAACAGGCTCACGTGCAGTTATTGATACATGAACTTTACGTTTATATTGTGCAAGTCTTAATATTTTTACCAAACAATTTTTAAAAAATGAATTCAATGCATAAATATATTGTGTGATGGTGTGGAAAATTCATTAAAAAATCCCAAAATACATATATTGATTTTCAGATGTATGTAATATACGTATATACTATGTAAAAATCAATGTGGTACTTTGAGAGAATAAAGATGGACGAGCGAAAAGACGATGTAACGAACTATTCTGAATAGAACGGTCTAAAGTATTACAAGCAGCCTCATGATCGAAAATATATTGATTGGTTGAGCCAAAACAGTATGCAAGATTTCGGTTCCGAAAATTACTACATCCAATTTCGGTGCAAAAAGGTATACTACATCCACAAAATCAAAAGATACATAACATCATGAATGAATTTCACAAACAATAGTAAATGCAATCGACTTAAATTGCAATGGATTTGGTTAGTAATGAATCATATAACGCTAACAACCTCATCACACAATAACATGCAATAACAACTACTTTCCTCAATATCATACAAAACCTGCGATTAAAAAGAAATAAAGTAATATTTTTTTTATTAAAGAAACATTTAAAGATAAACTTTAGTTCTGGTAATGCGATTGCATTGTGAAAGAAATGGTGTGGAAAAGATCAGAAACAGTTGATCATGTAGCATGTAAGTATTGGTGTGCACTGCAAGGTTCTAGAGTCATCAAAATCATTATAAATTTGACCGAGTCTTGGTAAAGTAACAAGCACTGTACACAGAAAGCTATATATGGGACAACACACATGGTGTCGGGGCTGGTACTACCTTGATTTCCTTGTCTTTCTATGCTCATTACTCAGCCAGTATACATTTTCTTCCAAAATTGTTTGGCACATGTCATTTATTTGTAATCTTGAACATTCAGTGTGAGTTTCGTTTGATTCTGTGAGAATTAATTTTTTTTTTTTTTTTTTACCAGAACTCAAGTTTATCTTTAAGAACAAGCTGGATATTAATTGAAAATTGAAAGAAGGTTAGAAAAAATGGTATGTTCAAGACAAAACACTAAATGCATAAAACTATCTAGAAAAAATCTTTGGTAAAACTGGAATGTTTATGTAATCATAGAAATGACGTCTATTTCACGCCTTTTATCTACTGATATTTTTTTAATTAAGATTTACACTGACCATTTTCAGTATGTTCTCAGAATCAGGAGTGGCAATTTCTTTTCATAACCGGGGCGGGGGGGGGGGGGCGAAATGCGAGGGACGAGGGAGCATAGTGAACGAGAGGGGCAAAGGTGACGGAAGTGACTACCCCTCACCGGTTTTTGAAGTTTTGTTGTATTACAAAATTACATTCCTTAGCAAAACTATAGTACAAAAACGGAATACGGATTTTCTACAAAATTAATTTGTATATTTTAAAGGATATTATGCGAGAGTGCGTAGAGACTGACCGAGAACATGTTTGCATTTGTACTAGTCTGATCGCTACACTCTTGAGCCCTCAAGAGCCTAAAAGTGTGTTGCAGTCTTTAGTCAGTGCACTTTTTCAAATTTTCCGGGGGGGGGGGGACGATCCTCTCATACAAATTGAGGGGAGACGTGCCCCCCCCGTTCCCTGGAATTGCCGCCCCTGCTCAGAATAATTAAATTTCTTGTCAGCTTAGTTGTTTCAATTCATTGTAGAATGCGTATTTAAGTACTTCATGATCTTGGTGGATAATATTCCAGTGAAAAATTCATTTCGAGAATGACTACAAATTCATCACGGGCTTTCGTTTTTACACCACTTTTACTGCCAATTCTCTGTAGAAAGTCGAAAGGACTCAAAATAACGCAAAGTAAAGAATGCCTTTTCAAGATTCGAAATTACTTCAATAAGAATTATTTCTACACGATTTTGACCAGTTTTGTATTAGTTCCTTTTTTCGTGTTATGATTTGAGACATACAAGAGCACACTATTGGTGAATATATTTGCTGCCGGGACGTCACTCATAGTTAACACATTACGTATGCCATTTGTACACAATACAACATTTAGAGTAAGTTGTTATTGTCGCAAAAACGAAAAAGTTTATGAGATCAATTTAACCCGTTCCGCTCTTGATTCAAAGTAATGTGTGATTTTTTTTATATTTTCAATTTTGTATATAAATCTTGAACTTTGTCGCTCTCACATGGCGCGAGACTGTGTCGGTTCTTTAAATCCATATAGATATGCTTGGCGTTACCTGCGTCGTTCTCCATTCCATTGGTGGAAAAGTTCTGACTGTTTTGTGGTCTAAGCGTGGAACGATGAGGGAATGGAAGAAGAAAGGGGAATAGAGAGGGAAGAGAAATGTTGCGGTGAAAAATAAATCAAAGGTGTATAAGCTACAAAATTGAATGAATACTGATTCCTAACTTTGGAAATGCAAGTCGACATTAAGTTTATAGAATATGTAACTAATATGTTAGTGTGTGTTAAGCGTAAACAATAGATATTTCTAGTCCTCCTTCACCCCCAAAGTTGGATTCATTAGCTCAGGTTATGTATAAAGCCTGTTTGGAAGTTTGACCGTTAACATATCCATCTCAAATTGCAAGCCTCCGAACTTCTCGATAATGGAGGACTTTCAATGTCCCCGAAAATCAGGAACCAACCTAATATTTTTACTGAGTAAAATAATCGAAAATTGACTTACTCTTGTTTGTCGGAATTGAACAGGCCCGATTACCGATGTCGCAGAAACACGAATATGCCAACGACGAGGAGTACGATAAAGATAATGGAAAAGACCACACTGAGGGCGATGACGACGGCGTTATTGTATATGAGATCGATGTCTGGGTCAGCGGCAGGGAAGAAAAAGGTTAGAATGAACCGGATAAGGTTATCAAACTAAGCAAGGTAGGGTCGGTGGATGATGGGGATTAGTTGCATGCGGGATTATTTCAAACGATTCGACCGCCTAGTTTCTCAACCTTGCCAATTCTACTTTGATTTAATCGTGCCTTTTGTTCCAAGTCTTCAAAATCGATTTTGTGTAAATGTACTAATTTTGATGATGCACGATGACGAAATAGAGCAAATGTAAAATGTTAAAGAATCCAGTAGTTTCATAACATATGTTCATGGAGGTTTAGTCTGTTAACATTTCCTTTCAAAGTGACTGGTTTTCAGATGATTATTGCGCGTTAAATGATCGTCACGGGTACGACTATTCAAAGGGTGTAAGCGCGACATGGGAGGTGACACTCACCGGTGCAAGTCGGGGCGCCGTTGCTCCATACCGCGTCTCGGCATACCGATTCATTTCCGCCGTTCATGGTAAACCCTTCCTGGCAAGCAAATGTCGCTGTTAGGCCATCTTCGCTGAGAGAGATCGAGCCATTGGATGGTGTGTCCAGGACGCCGCATGACGACTCTGCAAATAAAAGTAAACAAAGTATTTGAACATTTTGTATCTTCCCGTGACAGGGTGTAAGAGTGACGTATTCCCACAGTTTTAAAGAAACCTCAAGCATTTGGTGTTTTGTAATATCATACAACTACGTACTAAATTGACACTACCACCATTTTCTAAAGTAGTTACTCAATTTTGAATATATCAAATCTGAATCCCATGTACAATTTCTTAAATAAAGATGGTAAACAAAAATGTAAACCCCATAGCTTTTCCATTGGTCTCAAACCCGGGTCCTCCCGGTTACGAGACCACTACTCTACCACTGAACTACCGCGCCTCCTTTATGAAAGTCTTTGGAATCACCATACGCTAATCACTCTTACCAATGCATGCGTTATCGCCTGTTGATCCGGTCCACATTAAGCTTCCCTCCTCTGCGCTGTACGCACATCGCTTGTAGGATGACCCGACCATAATCAAGCCCTCGTCACAGGTGAATGAGACTTCGGCGTCCTCGAAGTATTTATTCGAATCTGAAGAGTACGTCTTCGTACCATTATAGGGTGAAATTTGATATGGACATGCGCCGACTGTGAAAGCACAAATTAGTAGTTATAATAGAGTTAAAAAAAGAAAGATATAAAATAGGTTTTTCATCTTCACATTTTCTACGAGTAAGTCCAGAGTTGTGGAATTATATTTGGAACATTTCGAAATATTTTTCGAATCTGACGAGTTGGTCTGTGTGACGTTGTAATAGGGGGGGGGGGGGGGGGGTGGGGGGGGGGGGGTAATCGAATATACACACGAGTCGACTGTGGGAGGGGAAAACATACCAAAATTCATAGAAATGCCACAATAAAATGGTTTTACTAGGTATAAATGACACTTCATTAGATATATTTCGATTTCCTACTTAGTCTTTTACAGGGCTAAAACCGTCTTGGTCCTCGTTGGACACGTGGTATTTAGAGAGACACCGTGCGATTTCAAGTTTATCTTCTATTACTTTTAATATAAGATTTGATGTCTTTGTGCAGTCGCACTTAATTTCCTTGCATATTTCAAAAGATATCCACTCACCTTTCCTAATATTTTCAGAGCTGCTCTCGAAGGCTTCGAAAGCACCCAGCGTAGCCATGGCAAGTTGTACGTCATCGTTAGACACCTCATAGTCGAACAGACACTGGCTGACCTCGTTACATGCTGGGTAAAGGGTGGGGAGGTTGACGTTCATAAGGGGTACGAAGGTCGAGATGTGGTAATCGGCGTGGGTGAGGCCGGATACATAACGGAAGAGGCTGTAGTCGGTTTCGATCTCCCCTGAAAGGTTGAAAACAAAATAACGGATCCCCATGATCTCCATCAATGGACCTTACTGTTCACGGATCTAAGTGGACAACAGTGTCCACTTAGATACTTTACCAGACAGGTCCTTCGCCCTATTTTACAATTAATGACATAAACCCAAGCTTTAATAATCTGATGATTTAACGTTTCTTATAACCAGAGAGTATATGTGCATAAGATTCAACGCTGTTGACGCTGATGGAGGATGACACTCTGAGACGTGTCCAGTATATTAAATATTATGTGTTTTTCGTTGTTATTTTGTTAAAATTAACGTGTCGCCCTTTTGGAAGTCCATTATGAAAAATATCGAGGTTTCAACAATATAAAAGATCAATTTAATCTTGGCTTTTCAAACGTTATCTCTCTTACAGCTTTTCGATTGTTAATTTCATTGTCTAGATTTTGATGTCTAAAGAGGCCTACATATATCCACTAATATAATACTGATATTATCAATAATGTATGTGAGGGTTTCCTTTAAAATCGTTATTATCAAATTTCATAATTGATCGATTGAATGTAATCCAATAAATCTTACATGATTGGCCAAACTTGAATATCTCTTCGTCTGACGGGTCCTCGAGAGGGATGTTATTGTATCTTCTCACTAGGTCATTGCTAGAGTCACCATCCATGTTGCCTAGCAACCCAAACAGATGCTTGCTCTACGAAAGAAAAGGATTGTTAACGGATTGATAAAGAGTTGCCACATGAAGTAAAATGCTTTCTTCGAGAAACTGTATCGTTTTTTTTTTAATGGTATAAAAGGATTGAAGTCCCCCTTCTTTTGTTATTGTTCTTACAGACTTTAAGTAATTTCTCGAAGGAATTTGTTGAATTCTTTTTGGACCAGTGCCCAGTGACGGATTAATGTTGACCAAATGTGTGCTCCCTACCTCGAACATCTGTTTTAGATGACTGCCTTCATGTACTATCACCCATGGCAACTGGCATAAAGATTTTATTTCAGTTTCAGTGTATTGTTTCATATTTCACATTATGTTTAACATTTGCTATGATTTTCACAAAGTAAATGATATAAACGTGGGTTCCACTAGACAAACAACAGAAAGTGAGTACTTCATATCAATTGTTCAAATGCAAAAGACTGAACTACAAAGAAGGGTTGAAATAAGGAGGTGCCTATGGTGAAAGCTATGCTTGTGAGTTACAGAAAACAATTACCCCCTTGTTAGTTGCTGTGGGATGGTTTCATTGGAAAGTTTCTAGGTGGTATTTTCCGGGAATAGTTGTCAGGGGATTTCCTATTCTGTACTTGACCAAGAGGTAGTCGTCTAGAGATACGTGACCTAAGGGACACATTTTGCTAGAGATAATTATTCGAGGGTTGGATCCTGATAGAGTAAGTTTTTCAGGTAGTTCAAGTTTTCCAATTGGCCACTCGGTATTCAAATTTGCATTTCTTTTCTTATTTAAAACCTTTATATATCAATTTGAAATCCAACTACCACATAAGTCTGTGAATATTGATGTACATCCCCTCTTTCTTTTCTCTTCTTTTTTCTGTCTTTTCCCCCTTTTACCAATATTTTGTTCCTCCATGTTTGTATTATTATGTATCCTTTGAGGGTAGTCATACTATCAAGCTTTGCTTATTTTGTCGACCCTCCTGTTTGATGTTCTCGATTAGTTACACCCAGCCTTACTTTATTCTACATATATTCTTTTGTCATGTGTAAATTTGCAATATTTGTTTGTTATATATTTGTAAAAATGTAAAAGAAAAAGAAAATCAAACAGAAATAAATAAATCAAATCAAATCAATACTTTCCGATCCTTTTTTTTTCGGTTTAGCCAGATCACTATTATTACCGCTCTTCATGCGGGCCCTGCAATTATTATTACCCAGGTACCCTTTTATACCAGGTGGATAGTGGCAAACGTGATCAATATCTTGCCTAAAGAGATTAGTGCCGGGCAGGGGTTCGAACCTTGAACCCTTGGATTGAGAGTCAAGTGACTAAACCATTGTACCCCCGAAAACCCCATAGTTGTTCTGACACGACTGAGACCATTATGATGCTTACATTGAACGTTGAAGGAAGGATCGGTCGTACAGCAAGCATTCCATAGTCGTAGGTTACGTGAACACCAATGCTGGTTTCTTTAAACATGACGACCACACCGTGGATTTCGAATTCGCGCTCAAAGCTCGTGACACCCACGGCACATCCTGAAAAATATGAATAATAATAATAATATGGTTATTTATATAGCGCCGGTATCCGCCAGGTTCTGACGCTCATGGCGCTTTACACTTGAAGAAAAAAAAAATTATCTTTTCCCTTTGAAGATTTTTTTTGTTGAAATAGGATAATTGTTCTTCCTCGTTTCATTAGGAAGTCAGAAGTATCTTCCAATGAGTACTTGTGATTTGTTTAAATAGGCCTAGCATGTATAAATAAGCTAAAATGTGGCGTTGACTTGATAAACTTAGCTTAAGCTTAATGGAGACAAAAGGGAAAGCTTTTGAGGGTATTCCAGATCTAGGCCTTATATCAGTAATGCTTCCCCAACAATCTTTCATAATGCCTGCATGAAGAAGACTCGATCATCAAAGTTCTAGAAAGGTTCTCGATCTCCTCCTCACCTTGTAAATCAGTGAAGGTCTGCTGTGAGAAGTACACCAATTGCCATTCGCCGTTTCCATCCATGCTCCTCCTGTAGACGTCCATTCCGCTGGTTGCGCTCGCCTCAACGAAGATACTGTCCGAGCCGCTGTCCTTCATTGCTACCGACGACAGCTGTGTAACGTCTACCTGTTGACCTGGTGATTTGATTTGAAATGAAAAGAAAATATCAATTTATGCGGATGTGATTGGAATGATTTGATTGTAGTATTGGTTTAGTTTGACTTGATATTGAGGATTAATGTCATGCCTTACCAAAGGGCATGATAGCATCGACTGGGTTTCGAACCCGGGACCTCCCTGTAAAGAGACCACTGTTCTACCACTGAGCCATCGCACTTTCTGTGATGTGACTGAGATGTATTGGTAAACTGATGGCCTAGCCTTTTGTCGATAGGGCTTTGAATAAGAAAGAAGCAATTGTTTCTGCGTAGTTTATATGAATCAAGGAAATTATAATATGATTCCATTGATCATGTTAATGCCGACAGTAGCCCAAAAAATAAATTGTGTTCATGAAAAGCTGGTGATGTTGAAAATAAAGACACTAAATTTAATCTATTTGTATTACTACTGATGTGTCTACCTTGAGAAAAAAAATCATATCATTATCGTTCCATTTGCATAAATGCACTATCCTCTTACCATTCCTATCCATAGTCTTTATCTGCCTTGCTTGAAGCTCAAAGTCAGAAGCACCGGTCTTAGTCCCACTTGTAGCGTAACGGAGAAGGGTGAACTCGCCTAAACCATTGAATGTATAGTTGTACCTATCCATCGTGATGAAATGGGGATCTCCAAACGATAATGCTTTAAAAGAAAGGGGAAAATAATTAAACACTTCGATTGTCTCTCTAAACGTTCGCTCGTTTGACACACGTGCACATTTTCACAAAATGATAGGAACCAATTGACGGAAGAATTGCTTCTGGTTTTGATTGGCTCCATAAATCATTTCACACCTGCAGAATCTAATCTGGCATTGGAATGATTTATAACGAAATCTTGAAGCCTTTGGTATATATATCAACACTGTCCCTTTGATTGGTTTGATATTGTTGGCGGTAGTAAAGATTTGTTTCTTTGTTTCAATTATATATACAGTAACAACAATTTTTATTCCCCTGCAGTCATATCTCAGATGCCATTTTGTTTTTCTTATCATGGTGAGATATCTTACAACAAACACATCGAATTGGATTCAAATCATGCATGATTGGAAAACATGAACGTAACATATGTTGGGACGAACGTTGGCCTGAAGGGATTATGTTCCCGCTATGTCAGCAAGCATGAAAGCCTATAGGGGTTATAGTTTCCAATGGCTGTGGCTTTGGAGCGGTTGTTGGGAAGGCTTGTGGGACTTCAATTCGATTCAATTCAATACAATTCAATTTATTTCTCCACAGATGCAAATCATAGGAAGATACATAAAAAAAAAAATACATACATACAATACAATAATAGAACATGTTCATCATACATGTGTATATAAACGACTCCCTAAGGAGCAATGTATGTTTTAACAAGAAAAAAATCAGCAAAATGTTGAAGGGGTAGTCAAAAATTAAAAGTGATTTGTCGAGGACTACCCTCAGCATGTGGACAGACGAAAACAATGACACATTCAATAAAATGGTTGTAGTTCACAAGGCAGACAATGTCGGGCTCACAGGCCTTCGGAAAGATAGTTGCGATGGTTCGCGAGACCGACAGCCGACATGACGACCTCGTTGTTCTTCCCAAAACATTTCTGAGGTGTACGTGACCAAGACTCTTGGTCTTGTAGGCTGTCAATCTCGGTAGCCATCGGTCCTGCGGATTGTTGGTCTACTGGAATGTCTATCAAGCTATTCTAGAAGGCCCTGCTGAAAAGTAGGATTCAGCTGAGAACAAGCTTTTTATAAACCGTGAATCACTTTTAAAAATCAAACTCAAATTCAACCCCACCCCTTGTAAGAGAGTCACCTACCGTTATTTGGGGGTTCGTAAATGGCGCAATCGGTGGTAGGTCTGAATGTGAGGTAGTCAAAGCATTCCTTCTCCCCAGCCCAGCCACAACAGAAGTGTTTGGCGATGACGTCATTAGACCAATGGGACAGTTCCGGGACTAGGTTCCTCGCCATGTAGGGACTGGAACCGCGAATATGGGACCGACCGGCCATACCGGCATACATGGTATCCCCGGAGTGCATCAAGAGACGGTTGGCATCGTAGCAGCATTTAGTTCCAGACATAGTGTTAGGGCTAAGAACAGAGCACAACAGTAATCATATTGATAATGATAATACAAATATTAATAATGATAATAGTCATAATTAAACAAAAATAGTTACGAATAACAGTAATAATGATAATGATAATATTATGAAAATAATAACGAATATGATAATGATAATATTGATAATAATAAAAATGACTATAATAATAAGACGACCAGGGTTAATGAAATGAGAAAAAAGGGAGAAATCGAGGGAATAGAAATGAAACGTAATTAAACGATATGAAAGGAAAGGGGAAGAAATAAATACAATGGAATTGAGTGGATATGAAAAGGAAGGAAAGGAAGGAAAAGGAAACAAAATGGGAAAATAGGGAATGAAGTGAGAGAAAGAAAATGGAACTGCAGGGAAACGGAAAATGAAGAAAGAAAATGAAAGGGAAGGAAAGCAAACGAAGGGGAAGGACAGTGAAGGAAAGGAATGCAAATGGAATAGAAGAAATACAAAGAGATTGGAAACAAAGGAAACTAATGAAGACCAAAGGAATGAAAAGTGTCAAAAGAATAAAGCATCGGGATGAAAAAGACCATCATGTAGATGACAGGCAAAGCAAAGGAGACAAAATAGAATCATCAAGGCTTATAAACGTTGCATAAGCGCTGAAAAAGCAGGATATGGCTCCTTCGTGCTCGGCGCAAGTGTCTTCTCCGCCCTCTGGATAGCATGATGGATCAGTGATGAAGTTCCCGACGTCCTGCTCAGCCTGGTCAAGGGTGCACGGGCAAGCCGGTAGGTTCTGAGGGGGAAGGATAGAGCAAGATGGTCATAAGGATTGGGATAAGTTAAAGAAAACAAAGGACGGAAAATACCTCCATTACGAAGTAACGGAGCAGAAATAATATATATATATGCCTACATAATTTATACAAAATAAAATTAATAAATGTTTGTGAAAAAACGAATGAAAAAGTAAATGTTTTAAGTGGTATTGCCAATCCTGTTGTCGATTACGAAAGAATGCAAAAAGGCATAGCAACCATAAAGATGAAAAATATATACAAAAAAATCAGAAATGAAAAATCATCTTGACGTATTTTGAAAATGTTTTTTAAGAAGAAATCCTTATCATGCCTATTGGGGTCATTGCTCCTATAATATTCTACCAAACTGGCATTAAGAAAATGAGAAAATTTCCGATTTGTTGTCCTTCATTCCCAAGACTTCTTAGAAAAGGGCCCATCTCCCCCAGCCATTCCCGCCTTATACGTCCATATTTCTTATAGATCAAGTCAAATTTTAAATAGGGCACTACACATGAAAGGAACATATAAGAAAGTATAAGCTGCTACGGTTCATACGACCGACATCCCATTAGACCGAGAACCCACGATACCGACATAACTAAGTGAAAAACTGTAATACGAAGGCCGACGCGACGCACATGTGAGTGTCGTATACCTTCTGAAAACTTTTTTTGAGGGCTCTTTAGATCTCGTAAGCTGTAGGTCGGTCAGACTAAGAGACGAATTGAGACGAATTTTGATTTCTTACACTAAGAAAGGCGCCCTTGGCGTTGTCTGCTGTAATCCACTCATTGCATTTCTCCGTGGCCCACATGACAGAATCGTCCTGGTAAGACTGTTCCAAAAGATAGCCAAGAGGGTGTATGTCACTCCAGAGAACACGTTGACGACTACATGGAAACAAAATAAGTTGGAATATCCGGTCAGCAGGAGGATTAAAGGGCACAATATGGTAAATATTATAATTGACATTGACATTGTTTCTGGTTAGACCAAATATATATATATATATATATATATACATATATTTTAAATCTCCCCTAGACCATATTGTAGGAATGGAATGACCTAAACAAGAAAAATGGGGGGGGGGGGATGGTAAATTGCCTTACATGAAGGTCATCATATGTATTTGACTTTGGTGACCTTCGATTGTGGGGAAGTGTGACCTTCATCGGACAAAAGGGTTTCCCTCTTTGTGCGGCCAAACAGTAGACCTGTGGTTATTCCATAGTACGACCTACCCGTTATCCATTCCGGTAATTCGAATGACACCGAATGCATTCGCCTCTGTCACGTCCACCTGTGCCGTCGGAGTGAACGTAAACGAGCCATCATCTGCAGTGGCGTTTGTTATCATGTATACGTTTACCCACCGAGGCCCAGGGTTGTCCTCGCGGTATGCTAGAACAGTTATCGAGAGGGCGCTGTCGGAGGGGCCAAAGCTTTCTTGATCTACGTCCCAAGTGATTTGTAGAGAGTTTCCGGCTTTGTCCCACGAGGAAGTACCAGAGTTTTGCCTAGTGACAGTTGGAGTGACTGTCCCACTTTCAACTAGAAACAAAAGGTGGAAACAATGTGGTTACTTTGTAGGAGATTAATTTCGGATGGTGTCCGCGTGGCGAAACCTGGATAATTTGAAGACTCATAAAAAATGTTGGTGCACGTCTCCCTAAATGGTGATCTCTCAACTGGCAGTTTCGGTTGGCATGATGAGACAATCTGTTTATATCAGATGTCTGTCAAAGTAACACCATCCTGTTCCCACAGCTTCCGTTTTTAAACTTCCTATTCCAAATTTAAAAAATGTCCCAACTTCTGCTAATATATCATTAAAGACCCCTTGACAAGATCTTCCTTTCATTTTGTTTTCATTTACAAAACCTACTACGGGTTTAATCAATGCCTCTAACTAATCAACACGAAAGAAAAGACATGAAAGGCAGAATGGCTAGTTAGGTGTTGAGTTCTGGTCATTCCTTTGCATTGTGAAAACACTGTCTGGAAACAAATGGGGAAGGTTCCTGATGTACGGTGGTAAATACTGATGGACGTTTTAAGGTTCTGGAATAATCAGATTGGAAGGGGATGCAGTCAATCATGCTGAAAGTCAAATGCACTTCGCACAGAAATGTAAGACTACAACAAATGTGTTATGAAAGTTTGATCCAAACAGTTCAGCTTTTCAGCATGAGAGCTTTGGAGAGTACTCGTTTTTTTTAGGGGAAAACCCTCTTTTGTCATTTGCTTCTTTGCTAACATGAAACAAAGAGTTAGCTTTGAAAATATTTGTCACGTTCACCTGAATTAAATTTGCCCTGTCAGACTGTAGCTTTGTTAAACCGTTTTCTATTGAATTCTCTCTAGACCTAATTCCCGTAGCCGTACTACAGGGATCACCTGGTACCCGTAAAAGCAGTGGGTTAAAGGCGCATAGTAGTTGTTTTTCATGGGGAATTTGACACAATTCGGATGTGTACCCTATAAAAGGTATTGTAAATCACCAAGAGTGGACTTCACTTTCCCGACCGCCAGGTCTTGTGTATAGCACTGTGCCTAGCTGAACCTGAATTTTCATCATAACACAGTTTTTCCCCACCCTTGAGAGATTAAGGCAAAAAGCTTGAGTATTTTTTTGTAGTAGGACAACAGGGTCGCTGTCTGAGAGACCTGTGCACGAAAAAACATATAAATTGGTAATTCAAGTCAACCTGGTGTCAGCGAATTATGATGCAATACGCATGGACACCGACTACTATAATGTGGCTGCCATGAACAACACTGGGAATTCCATTTGATACTTACTGACGGAGTAGATTGTTGAGGGCGAGTTTGCGAGCTCATCGCCTGCCTCTAACACCGTGACGGTGACTTCACCAACGAGAAAGAAAGGCTCTGGGACACAGTAGGCTTCATTGGTGTTGATGACTGTAGCGTTGACTTGCTGAATGATCTCTCCGCCATAAGAGAATACACAGGTCTGAACTTTCTCCACCGCCCAGCATGGTCCGTAGAGGTAGATTTTCTCGCCTCCCATCATTCCACACCGGGCTGGTGTGATGGACAACTCTGGAAGAAGTTGAGGAGTGATATGTTGTCATAGGTGAATGCCCAGGTATATACCGCCTCAACCGCCCAATATGACACGTTATTATCATTATCATTATTATTGTTAGTATTATTATTATCATTTTTATTACTAATATTATCATCATTATTATTATTTTTGTTTATTTGTACTACTATTATTATAAGTGGTAGTAGTAGTAGTAGTAGTAGTAGTAATAGTAGTAGTAGTAGTAGTAGTAGTAGTAGTAGTAGTAGGAGTAGTAGTAGTAGTAGTAGTAGTAGTAGTATTGGTCGTACATGTATACTAGTAGTATCTCTACAGTGGTTTACCTGCTTCAGGTGCAGCATTGCAGACCGGATCAATAACCGAAGAACCGTCAACCTTGTAGGCATACACTCCTTCAACATCGACGTTGCTGTCTGCGCTCAATGACCGCAGTGTATCTTGTTCGTAGGCGAAGTTTTTTACAATCGTACCGTCACCCATTAGAAAACCAACCTATTGAAGAAACCGAAATCGCCCAGTTTGCATTATTTAATATCATATTCCACATACTAAGAATCTTGCTCTACGATTGGTCAAAAGTAAATCACGTGATGAAAGATAGTTCGCCCATCATTGCTGGGAGAAGCAAAAAGTTCGTTACACTGTGTAGATATTAGTACTATCTACACAGGGCAATGCACTTTCACTGAAGATAGAAGTCCTATCTACACAGGGCAACGCACTTTAATTGTATACGCTGCGTATTGCTCTCCTCTTTAAGCGCTTTTAGTGTTAGTACGCAAACTTTGGTCACGCGCAAACGATAATATGGTCACACCACCATGCTGCATGCACTGTGCGTATCGTACACCATTTGCTAGCTATTAATTGGTGACTTGTTGGTCTAAAATGACGAAAGAAATGAAATGTTTCCGATGTGGAATATAAAGCTAATAATCACCTTTTGGTTTCAGGCGATGGCAAACTATCGCTTCCTCGGCAATCTAAATGTATACGCTATCTTTCCTCAGCTTCGCTTCGGAAAGATAGCTACATGTAGATCGCCTCGGAAGTGATAGTTTGTCCCATCACCTTCACCAACGGTAATTATTTGCTTACTACTATTTTTGTTTTTCCAGAGAAGTCCCTTCAGGATCAACCTGGGCCCTGTTTCATATAACGTCTTCTTATCAATAACAAGTTACAATGACTGTTGTAAGCTACTGAAATCGTGACTTTTACTTGGTTGAGAGCAAATTTGTCATAGAAATCGAGCATTCGTTATTGAGGACAAGTTTTATGAAACAGGGTCTAGTTCTTACTGAGGGTTCTGCAGTCATTATTACCCCAGCACTTGCCAGGTACCCATGACGATCGCAACTACTTTTGAAAAAACGAACTCAAGTTCAGTTGGAATACTCTTTTGTATGTCTCACATAAATTATGTTAGGATTACATAGTATGTCATTGTAATATTCGCACCTGTCAAAATGTGTTGTACAGTGCCATTGAAATGGCCTTAGGTTGACTTTACCTTGGTGTAGAGTGGTAAATATTTATCGATATCTTGATTTTACGAAGCCGTTAGTGCCGGGCTAGGACTCGAACCCTCAACCCTAGGTTTGAAAGTCAAGTGAATGGACCACCATTAAAGGTCATCAATTTCACTTCTTCGATATTTCTTTTTCATTTTTTTTTACAAACACACGCATTACAGTGTCTTAAAGCAATTATTGAATGTATATATATATATATATATATATATTGAATATGCTTATATTGAAACGGATATAAATCAAATCTAGTTATCTCCATCATGTCCATGCACTATTTGATTGCTTTTTCTTTTCCTCTACATATTAAAACCTAATGACAGACTTCGTCTCGGGGCCCAGCATAACTTCGACATAACCTGGGAACAATTGCTTTAACCATGCTCCAGTCAAAAGTGCGTCTAGTAGCGCCTACTTACGATTGCAATGCCAAGTTGTGTATCAGTGTAGAGACCAGTATTGGGATCTCCATCCATCCTTGTCCCAACGACCCAAGTGATAGATCCATAGTTAAGCAGGACGAAAGATTCCTGCCCGTCGTGAATAAGGACCGCCTGAAATGTATTTCGCTTTAGGGGTAGAACGAGATAGGGAGAAGAGAAAGTGTGGGTAGTATATTAAGTGATTAAATAAATGATTTATTCGAGTAAACACAACAAAAGTTTGATATAAAAACATTCATATTAGCAGTTAAAAGACATAATTGAGAGAATTATCATTTGCATACAAAGATAATATTTTCAAAAGCATTACATTCATTGCATTATTGGGCATGATAACGTTATTAATACATAATATTAATACATAAAAGTTCAATCATTGTACAGTTAATCATTAAATCTTTCAAAATGGTTTGAGAAGAGGGAGCAAAAAAATAGTAGATCCGATATTCGATATCTATCCTGAAATGTCTGAATCTGAAGAACTAGACGACACAGTATATGAAAGAGTTGAAAAAAAAATTGATCCAATGACACTCTAATTTAATGTCTTACATGTACATGAAATAGCATTTTTTAAGACTGGTACGCCAACACATAGATAAATGAACGAATTAATTAATTAATACATTAATAAATATATTACACAAAATAATGACTAAAAAACGTAATAAAGATAGATAATTAAATAAAAATAATCAGATAAGAAATGAATGAATAAATAGGTAAAATAATCAAAGTTAATTGAAAAGGAAAACCAAAAGTGTGACCTCAAAAATTGATTTTAGACTTGTACGCAAAAAAATTTAATTAATTAATTAATACATGAATAAATATTTACAAACAAATATATGAATTTAATTAATAACTAAAATAGGTTATTAGATAGATAATTTAAAAAACACGACTGAATAACAAATTGGGGAATAAATAATTAGATTAAAAAATGCATTAAAAAATGAATACGTAAATAGATTTATTATTTTAAGAAAATGGAAATGAAACTTACTGGATCCGAGGCACCTGTTTGGTCGAAAAACGAGACTTGGTCCCACGTGACCACAATGACGACTTGAGCTCTAAAGTCGAAATTGCTCCGGAAGTAGGTGTGGACGTCTGCAGTCGCTTGGTCGAGTGTTGTAGTGCTGCTTGTTACGCGGTAATATACGTTACCTCCGTCACCTGTAATATCCACATCGGCCCAAAATGCAAAGATTGTATCCGGGTCCTCAATTCGCCCGTCGCCGTCCTTTTTAAGGAGAAATCGGTCAACATTTTCTCTAGTTTTATCATTTCCTTTCTTTATTTGTCAGAGATTTAGAGGCACGCTTTAAAATAGTTGTGACATTAGTAGAATGTTTTATTTATTTAAAGGCTCGATGTATTTTGTGTATGTGCTTGTCGCAGATTTGTCGAAAATTGGGGGAATTTATTTAAAGTCGATTTTTTTTTTTCTTATTTGGTTTTCAGAGAGTTTTTTTTACCAAACAAATGCCTTGAAATGTCAGATCACTCCCCCCCCCCCCGCTTTATGGCAGAGGTTGTTTGTCACTATGGTGTGTGTATGTGTGTGTGTGTGTGTGTGTGTGTTTGTGGGGGGGGGTTGTATTTGGACCAGGTGAGGTATTACAAAATTCAAAAGTGACAAAGGATATATTTATTCAATATCAAGAGGGTTTTTAAAGCAAAAAATGCATTTTTAATTCCCTATCTGACGATATAATTTAAAACATGTCATTGTAAAAGATGTAACTGTTAAGTATTTTATTTCAACTGTTTTGATGATTGTTATTATTATGATAATAGTTACATATAAATATATATACATAAAAACATAAACAAATAATTCGATTTCGAAATTCTTCACTCGAGGTAATATACAAATAGTGATTTATAAACATTGATTTTCGTTTCAATGTTTTTAGTATGTATAATAGTTGAGGATCTACTTACAACGTCGTAGTAATACGGCAAATGTCTGTTTCTGGCTAAATCCGACTCTTCGGAAACTTCTTCATCGAAAGAAATAACTCCATTGTCACCTATCTGAATATAAACAAAAAACAAAAATAAATAGTCTCATGTGAATTTAAAGCTTTTACCAACCTTCAAATCTAATAGTCAGGCTTTCATCCACTCATGCGGACTTTTTCAAGCCAAGCGATTATTTACACAGTTTCTTGCTGTCTGGAGCGAAGATATGTGACAATAAATAGCCAGAGTCCCTATGCAGTGAAGGATTATTCCTTTTTATCCTGATGGATTATTTCACCTTTCATGATCAGAAGTGTGTTTCAAAGTCAATAGTATGGGCATCATCCCATCCCTTGTTGTGTCCTAACATGTTATTATTACCCTCAACCAATGACACTTTTCTGTATCAAAAATAGTATCGTGAAAGTGTTTAGTAAAAGTTCATTCTACTATCATCTCTTCTTATCCGTCCATTTCCTATACTTCTTCCAAAATTCCTCTATGTGCCCTATGAGCGTTTTTTTTTTGTTTTGCCTTTTCAGAAAAGCTAACACATGATGTTATCTAAAGTCTCAATTTATTAAGAAAGAATGTGATATCATGTAAAATATAATACAAACAATAAGACATTTAACTGATAGGCTGTTGATCATAACGATGGAATCATATTTTCCTATTTTCATGAGGCGATTGTGACAATGTGATTCATTGTTTATAGATAAATCTTATATCTTTTCTGACTTTATTTATCAATCTAAGTAGTTATAGAATTTGATCAATAACGTTCTGAGAAGTTACATGTTATTAATCAAGAATAAACTATATTGTCACAATCATTTCATGAAAAGAGGTAAGTAATTATTTTTTATTCTTTATTGGCTACAGTGGCAATAACCAGGTGCATATCATTTTTCTGTATCCACTAGACAAGACCAAGGTTTGTCGTCGGGTGGTGTCCCATGAGTAAACAAGTATTGTTGAATTATGAATGTGATTTAGTAGGTCCAGGGTTTGATGCGAGCTATAGTACACAGACTTTGATTATTTATTGCTTTGCCTCACTCTTTATAAAGTCCAAAAATAGGACAGAATAATAGTGAGACTCGAACCCACAACTCCAAGATTGTATTACGCTATCCGTACCGATTGAGCCAACGATGAGTTGATGAAAGCTGGGTTTGCATGATTATTATAACCCTATCACTAACCCTAACGGTTACCGTGTGCGCATGCGTAGGTTAAAAATACAGTCTAGGCTCTTCGCGAGCGGTTTCATTGAAATTCTTTCGCAAAAATGGCTAAACTATTTTGTAATTCAAATTAACGCCTGCAGAAATCAGGGTGAGGAGGGCGAGCAGGAAAAAAAAGTTTTAAAATTACTTAATCCTTTAATAAGTAGGTATACTTACATATAATGTGCTGTGGTATTTCCCACCGAAAGGAAAGGCTTTATCCAACGCCACACGTTGTGCAATGTTATTCTGTTTGCTGAGTGCAGTATCACCATTGCCGGTGCCGGAAGGGTATACTAGCGAGGAAAGAAAGATAGTATACAAAAGATACGCATCAGTGAGGGCATTAGTTAGAATTACTCACACAAGGTACCTTTGGAACATTCTAACACGTCCTAACATGCCTGGTCACGTGAACGCGATCATTTGATTAGGATCCACGTCATCATCTTATAAAAATGCCTAACGAGTATTTCTTATTCTATGAAAAAATGAAATGTAAAAGGCGTCCTACACGAGTCCACACTCGAGAGTATCGTTGACCCATTAAACTCTGACTTACGTTATTCCCATAGGCTTAATTCAGGACATGTAGGGCCTAGTCTACAAGTACAGACTCATACTTGGCACAAGTCCTAACTGAGCCTTGGGCAGAGCCTGGTTCTGTCAGTCTCTGGCTCTGTCAGGAGCAGTTGAAGTACAGAGCCTACAGTGTGCAATAGACTGTGCATTCAGAGTAGTCTCGAAGTGCAGACACTGTTACTCACGACGACCTACAATGGTTTGTGCCTACAAAACTATACAGGGCACACTGGGTTCCAGTAGACAATGGATTAAAGGAAACCTCACCTCAAAGAATAAGTGTAGGTATTCGGACTAATGAGATGTTTTCCTGCCCTCTGATGTACAGCATTCCTTACGAAAACGTACCAGAGATATCTAAATGAAGATATTCTTGGCGTGACGTGATACCTTTTGTTTAAGCATGGCATGGGCGCAGCCATTTTCCTGAAAATGTGACGCACCAGATGATGTTGCACATGTATCATGCACTAATATTAAGTTGGAAAGACTCACATCTCCCTGATAAAACTGTAGAGGTGCCGTGGTCAAGCGGACACGTCACCGGACTGGACAAGAAATTAATCTACAGTTGCCATTCTCCACCCAGGTGATGTAAATGGGTCCCCGATAGAAAGAAATTCCTAGAATGTTTGAGCTCCTGGTCGGCTATTGCCGGGGCAATGATTAATGCAGCACATATAGAAGCATTGATAGTAAGTGCTATATATAACTGTTACTATTATTATTATTATAGTATTAATGACTGCTTTGAGAGAAATAGTTTTTTTTATACGCTCAAGGGAAGGTTAGAATTGTGCTATTGCCCGAGGCGTGCCGAGGGCAATAGCCTTATTGTTACCTTCCCGAGAGAGTATAAAAACAACTATTTCTCGAATATTAAAACAGTCATTAATACTTTTATATGCCGAATACAAAAGAGTCAACTTATGACACCACCTTGGCCTTTCTCTAGTTTATCTGCACGGTTGTTTTTTTATGAGTGTATCTTTGAGAGTAGACTAGATCTAGATTCTAGTCTAAGCAAGATATTTTTACAATTTTGGGGGTGGGCCGGCCCTGTGGGGAATATGGAGAAGAACATGCGCTTTCATAGGACACCTCACTTATTGAGTATCACCTTCAGAATCACGAGCAATATTAGTTTGCAATGCCAGTGTGCAATGCCAATGCATAGAGATGTGTGTAATCTGAATTCCGTGCAATCTCTACGGGAAGGATTTTAGCACTACTAGACCTACTTACTAGAATCTAGGCCTAGACTTTTGAAAACAAATTATGGAGAATTTAACGTACCCTTGTTGGTGCTCTGTCTAGCATGTCCTTGCTGTCAGCAAGTCTTGCATTTGATCATCATCAAGAAGTTGAAATCTTGGGAGAGTTTCTTCAGCCATTTTTGCCTTCGGTTTGAAATTACCGACCAATTCTTCGCGCACGTACGGTATCCTCGATCGCTCAAACCAGTTTCTAACATGTGAACCTATGGGTATTTCACCAAGACTGAACTATTTCCCCGGTAACCATGGTAACTGGTATTTTGCCGGGATTTTAGAACTATTATTTTAGAACTATTACATGGGTTTGGTATTTTACCGTGAATTTTATAGGATTAGTTTAAGTTTATGAATGCAATTTCGACCATTCAGATGGCTGGATTTCTTAAGTGAGGTATATAATATAAATTAATTGCCCAATAGTTGGGCACATTAACATCCTCATAATCGGGTAATTTACTCCACTAACTATCATGTTAATGATAGTGTAGTAGAATAAATAAGAAAGGAAGTTGTGAGGGTATTCATGATATGCATCCAATATATATAAGAGGAAGGGTAGTTTCCTCACATATACACTGATGTACACATTTGTATCTTATGATTCAATGGACCTGTTAAAAGAAAAAAAATCTACCTGACTAGGTGGACCCATATTTTGTGCTTGGGAAAGTCTTTATGATCGTTGAATACTCAAACCCGAGGACACTCTCTAAAGATTTTCAAGGAAAGGTCTCGTCTAAACATAAGGAAATGCTTTTTCAGCAACAGAGTGGTGTCCGACTGGAATAGTCTCCCTCAAGAAATAATTGACTCAAACTCCATTGATATCTTCAAGATGAGACTGGATAAGCACTGGTGGTCTGAGCGATTTGAATTAAGTTAATGATATGATCAAAACCGTCCTAAACTTGCGCATGTGCAATGAGTTAACCTCTAGAACATAACCAACCCTGAAGAAGTGACCGAGGATTACAGGATCTACCTCTCCTCGTATCATGATGATGATGATGATGATGATGTTATCATCACAATCACGTTCACGCATATATTCGTAACAGTAAATAGTGCTAGCCTTTATCTGGGCATGGTATAACGGAACATGTGTGTTTAATACTCATCTTTAAGAACCTCATGGCTTTGTCATTCTCTTCGAGATCGAAAGGATGAAAGTAATTATCATCATGCATTCAATAATCATTGAGTTAATTGACCCCTATAGTAAACGCCGTGCATGTGACAAAACTGTAACGTCCACCATTTGATATTAGGGACCTTTCGATTTGCACGACGACAACGTGGTTTGATACGATCGACGTCCTTTTAATGTACTGACATGAATGGACGTCACACGTGTCAGTCCACGCAAATCTAAAAGTCCCTATTATCAGTCTATCTCTCCCCTTTTAACACAACTCATTTTTTTCTTGTCCGGTTTGAAGGGTTGACGATTTTCAGATTTTCTAAAAATTAAGTGGTTTGATGATTTCCTCTATCTTTATGCTTTCTCCACTGTCAATAATTCCATGGATCATCGTGAGCACTAATGCTTTAGGTGAAGATGTCATAGTTTTACATAAAGGGTCATACTCCTGAAAACCATGCCACTTATTGTTTCCCCCAAGTTCACAAGCTACAATTGATTTGTATTTGCCGAGTGTATATTTTGTTTGCTGTAGGTTACGTTCATCTGACAATTTTTTCTTCCAAATTAAAATCAAGTACATTTATCTTTTTAGCCGTACTTATTCTTTATTCTGACATCCTGGGATGCTGAGTATTTTTCTACAGCACTTTGCGGAAATTCTTATGAGGGAATAATGCATGGTCACCATGTCATTTTAAATTTTGCTATAAATGAACTGGTTTATTTTTCGAAATTTATAATAGCGTTCTACTGTTTCTACAGATCGATTCGTTTGACTTACAAGTAGGCCTGCAGATGATTTCTATTTGTGAAAATGAATGATGAACTTGCGACTCGATCAATATAAACATTAAAATGGAGACATGTGTTATTCATCATTTTTTACTCACATTCAGCTTGAGACTCGGCAGCCCAGGTTAAACATAACATTAAAACAAGACGAGTACAAAATGAGTTCTTTTTCCTCTCGCCAATCATGATGACAACTTAAGATTTCAGACAGATTCCAAAAGACGGATGCATAGATTTACAGTCTCAGGTTGAAATATTCCAATTGGTTGCCTTAACACATCTCGATATAGCTTCCCTGCGTACAAGACCATACGCCGAAATCAGTATTTGGCGGGGCAGTGTTCGTTGGGGCCTGCGAAAAATACGTGTTCTCGTTGGTAATATGCAGACGACGCGATTTGATCGGTTCTGATTCGATCATAAAGAATGTTCTGAAAGGGAGAAAGGAAAACAAGTGTTGGGCAAATACAGGCCTACGTGAAGGTAAGAGGGCAAGTAAGCGGACTTTGGTAAATCAGCAAACAATTATCAATTATTATGATGAAAAGTTTGGTTTTGGAAGTGGTGAGTGTTATACAATTTACAACATATACTAGTTTTACAATGTGCAAAGTTCTGTCTGATACAAGTTGCAACGCGAGATTTTTAAATCAGGCAAAATAAGGGTAATAAAAGGAAGAATAAGATTAAAGACGGGGAGGAGGAGAAGAAGAAATCGAAGAAGAAGATAAAGAAGAACAATTACATACATAATATACACATTTGCACTTAACGCATTTCATGTTAATGCCTGAATGTTATTTTCCCTTTATTATATGGCTGTTATAATTTTTGCATTTATGAATATATATGTTATAAGTTTATTTTTCCATACATGTTCATTTCCTGAGGCCGCTATCACGCACAAGTTCTTGCTTAAGACGGGGTCTCCTGTATTTTCGAATTTTAAAATGATTTTTGAACTATGTATTTTTGTTATAGGTATAATTATTGTTATATTATGATATGATTATAATGTATTTTAAACTTTATTAGTAAAATTCATGTACCTAGTTTGTATATTACTTTTTATTATGTTTAAAATGCAGAATGAAAAATCATGAAAAAATGAGGAGAAAGTAAAATGGCTAAGAACTTTTAAGCAGGAACTACAACAACAAAGGCGATTCAAATGAAAAAGCTAAAGATACAAATTAGAACAGAAAAAGAAGAAATACAAGAAGACGAAGAAGAAGAAGATATAGAAGAAGCACAAAAAGAAGAAGAAGAAGAAGAAGAAGAAGAAGAAGAAGAAGAAGAAGAAGAGGGAGATGCCAATTCCAAATCGACGAATTGTTTCTGGCTAGGGGGTTGCCAATTCGAAAGAATCCTAATTAATAAACGATATATAAATATGATTATATAAAGATTATCAATGCAAAATGTAGTTAGGTTTAAAAAAAACAATGAATGAATGTTGGATTTTCTTTTCAAAATCAGTAATTATTCATCTGTCTTTGAAATCCCAATGATAATATGCTATGTTAATTTTATTATCAGGATGATTATACATCCAATCTATTTCCGTGAGCTTGATGATTTATATACAATGTTCATAAACCATAGTTAGAACTAGTCTTCACAAAAAGCTATAAAAAGCGAGTCACAACTTCGGAATCGCGTCCGGCCCGCCTACGGAACTATCATATCTATTACAAACGCACATACATACCTTTAAGGTTGACTAGTGCCAGGTCAGTCAGGTTTGGCATGGAACACAAAGCTTCTGCCAAGTGATATGAAGAGGCTGATGTTAGACGGCCAATATATTGTCACTGAATAGTATGTGACAGTGAAGTCTTGAAGGTAAACGGGTTTCCTTGCATAATTTGAATACAAGGACACGACTAATGTTTGAATTTCACAGATAGGACATACATGTACATGACATATTCATAAATCCTGCAAAGTTCTGTCTTTAAAGCATGAGGCATTTGAGAGAATAACAGTGGACGAATGAAAAGACAATGTAACGAAATATTCTGAATTAAATGGTCTAAAATAATACAAGCAGCCTCATGATCGGATATATACATTTCCCGGCTACAGCCTACGAGACTTAAAACCAACCAAAATCGACCATGTAGGTCTCTCTACCTTCTAACATTTTTTTAAGACGGGTTCGCTAGTAGACCAACATCCCATAAGATAGACAGTCCAAGAGACCAACATTGTCTTTTTATATCCCTTTCCTTAAATATCTGCTCGATTCGTCGGTCTCATACTATGCTATCGATCTCTTGGACCGTTGGTCTCGAGACCTATAACCTTTCTTGTAGTTTCTATATGTTATTTTGTTATTTTATGTATATTAATGTATGTGTAAAGGTCTCATGGGCTATCGGACCCTTTTGTAAATCTTGGTTTTGTGGGCTGTAGGTCTCGAGAATTGTCAGTCTACAGGATGTGGACCCCTTTGTTGCCAAAATGTATTGTAAATGGTTATAATTTATTAATGTTTTGTTGGAAACATTAATAAATCGAATCGAATTGAATTGAATTACAATAACGAATGACCCTGCTTTTAACCCCAATATTCATCTCAAATTATGTGAAAAGAAATATGGCTATAGGCACACCAACAGAAAATACACAAGTTATATGTATGTATGAAGAGATTATTCTTTATAATTTGCAACAATAATAATGCATCTGTGTACAATAAATATCAGATTATAAACGTGTGTAACACTACATATTTTTTAAAGATCAATTATTACATTAATTTTGTCATCCCGAAAATAGAAAATAATGTTTCGCAAAGAGAGAAAATGAATAGGTTCCCTTCCCATGAAGTTTGAGTATTTCTCGCTAATGTATATGAATGAAAAATTTTGTTATATATTTATGCGAACTGCGGCTATAATTTGTTGAATCTATGAAAGCTTTAAACAAATTTTTTTAAAATCTTATAATCGTTTTTAAAAACTCGGATAAGTTATTTACCTGAGTCTGTAACAAATGAAACAAACACAAACAAGTGAAGAAGAGAAAATGTTGAGTATTTAATTTGAAAGGTACATGAGGTAGATACATGTTTATTCTGAATTACTATAAGGATGTACTGCCGAATACAAACTTGACTCGTGACTCTGATGAAAATGATTAATAATTTTTTTTTATTCCTCCCAACTGTTCCTAAATATATATGATGTTTTATCATTATTATGTAGATATTAGAATAGAAAATGCATACTAAAATTAAGTTTCGTCAGAAAATGGTAGGGGTGAAAAACTCGGAAGGCTCGTTAAGAGAAAACATTATAAACAAGACAAATTAAACGATGAAGAAAAAAAAACATTGAAAAGAAAGCAGAATAACGGGAAAATCAAAGAGTATCGAGCCTCTGTAGAATTTAGCCACCAGGATCATCATATTAGAATAAGAATGTTAAGAAAAAGGAAACTGAGTATTTCTGGTTGTTAATAGAAAACCCATAACATTTATTAGTGCTTTTCCAAATCAGTTTAAAATGTGATTGACAATATTCGTGGCAGGGGTCTTAATGTGGTGTGATTTCTTTTCATTTTGCGTTATCTATCTACACATAATATTTAGAGAGATATATGAAGAGCTCGGTCCAAAAGGTCTATTAATGTAAACATTTCCAGTAGCCTCATACACTGACATTCCCAAAAAGCTGAATTTACCCCCAAAAGTACAAAAGTGGCATTTAAAAATCAGTTCGGTTCCAAAATGTACCGCATTGTAACTTGCATACAGTATGCAAGATTTCGGTTCCAAAAAGTACTACATCCAATTTCGGTCCCAAAGGTATTCTACATCCACAAAATTAAAAAAATACATAACGTCATGAATAATATTTTATTATTTATATTTCTTTCAAATAGTTGGAAATCACAAGTGAAATCATCACATGCGAAAAGTGACTGCACGTATTCATAGAATGTCAAATTTCTCTAACAGATACAACTTGTATAATTTTAATAATGAAATTAGTAACAAAAAATAGTAAATGCAATCGACTTAAATTGCAATGGATTTGGTTAGTAATGAATCATATAACGCTAGCAACCTCATCACACATTAACATGCAAAAACAACTACTTTCCTCAATATCATACAAAACCTGCGTTTAAAAAAGAAATAAAGTAATATTTTTTTTTTAAAATCTTCAGCTCATGTGACTATCGATATTAAAGAAACATTTAACCCGTTGACTCCTAAATTATCTAATTCCCATAGACTTATCACAGGGACCACCAGGTTCCAGTAAGCAATGGGTTGAGAAGAAGCTGGCTATTTATTGATAATTGAAAGAAGGTTGGAAAACATGGTACGTTCAAGGCAAAACACTAAATGCATAAAACTATCTAGAAAAATCTTTGGTAAAACTGGAATGTTTATGTATTCATAGAAATGACGCCTATTTCACGCCTACTATCTACTGATATTTTTTTAAACCTTGTGATAATTTAGACAATACTGTTATATCAACAAAACATTCACACGTATACAATTATATTTATTAAAATAAATTAACAACATTGCAAAATATTTGTCATACGTGGTAAACCTGAATTACAACCGATTTTATTTATTTACTAGACAAAAGGTTTTTTTTATTGAGAATTACACTGCTAATTTTCAGTATGTTCTCAGAATGAAGAGTGGTAATTTATTTTCATGACCCGGGGGAGGGGGGCGAAATGAGAGGGACGAGGAAGCATAGTGAACGAGAGGGGCAAAGGTGACGGAAGTGACTACCCCTCATCGGTTTTTGAAGTTTTGTTGTATTACAAAATTACATTCCTTAGCAAAACTATAGTACAAAAACGTAATACGGATTTTCTACAAAATTAACTTGTATATTTTAAAGGATATTATGCGAGAGTGCGTAGAGACTGACCGAGAACATGTTTGCATTTGTACTAGTCTGATCGCTACACTCTTGAGCCCTCAAGAGCCTAAAAGTGTTGCAGTCTTTAGTCAGTATTCGCTATACATTTTTTGTGCGTGCACTTTTTCAAATTTTCCGGGGGGGGGGGACACGATCCCCTCACACAAAATTGAGGGGGAGACGTGTCCCCCCTTCCCCTGAAATTGCCGCCCCTGCTCAGAATAATTAAATTTCTTGTCAGTTTAGTTGTTTCAATTCATTGTAGAATGTACATTTAAGTACTTCATGAACTTGGTGGATAATCTTCCAGTGAAAAATTCATTTCGAGAATGACTACAAATTCATTACGGGCTTTCGTTTTTACACCATTTTACTGCCAATTCTCTGTAGAAAGTCGACAGAACTCAGAATAACGCAAGTTCCAGAGTGCCTTTTCAAGATTCAAAGTTAAAAACTTTCCCCAGTTGTGACATTACTTCAATAAGAATTATTTCTACACGATTTTGACCAGTTTGGCATTAGTTCTGGTTTTCGTGTTATGATTTGAGACATACAAGAGAGCACTATTGGTGAGTATATTTGCTGCCGGGACGTCACTCATAATTAATACATTACGTATGCCATTTGCGGACGACCCGACATTTCGAGTAAGTTGTTGTTGGTGCAAAAATAAAAAGCTTGTGAGATCAATTTAAAGGCACACTGTCCTACTTGTAGCTACTTGCTCCCTCTATACAGAAAACTTCCCAAATTGGTGCCTGTTGGTCCCCCATGATCCTCTTTTTCTTATGCTAAATAAGAGCTGAGTTAATGAGATAGCCACCTGTCACAGTGACCTCGTTGGCTCGCTGTGTGGTCCAATCCCTTCTAGCTGCAGTAGTAACGCCTACCTTTAACCCCTTCCGCTCTTGATTCAACGTACATTATGTAATATGTGAATTTTATATTTTGTATTTTGTTTCAATCTTGAACTTTGTCGCTCTCACATGGCGCAAGATTGCGTCATTTCTTTAAATCCATAGAGATATGCTCGCGGTTACTTGCGTCGTTCTCCATTCCATTAGTGGAAATGGTCGGACTGTTATGTGGTCTAAGCGTGGTACGATGAGGGAATGAAAGAAGAAAGGGAAGAGAGAGGGAAGAGAAATGTTGCTGTGAAAAATAAATCAAAAGTGCATGAGCTACTAATTGAAAGAATACTGATTCCTAACTTTGGAAATGCAAGTCGACATTAAGTTTGAAGAATATGTCACTGATATGTACGTGACGTGTGTTTAAACGTAAACAATATATATTTCGAGTCCTCCTTCACCAAATAAATTGGCTTCATTAACTCAGTTAAGCTCAGTTTTGCCGTTTACATATCCATCTCGAATTGCAAGCCTCCGAACTTCTCGATAATGGAGGACTTTTAATGTCCCCGAAAATCGGGTACAACCTAAAAAAATTCCTGAGTAAAATAATTGAAAATTGACTTACTCTTGTTTGTCGGAATTGAACAGGCCCGATTGCCGATGTCGCAGAAACACGAATATGCCAACGACGAGGAGTACGATAAAGATAATGGAAAAGACCACACTGAGAGCGATGACGACGGCGTTATTGTCGCCTGGGATGGGATCAATGTCTGGGTCAGCTGTAGAGTAGAGAAAGGTCAGAATCAACCGAATGGCGATATCAAACTGATATAGCGGGGTTGGTGGATGATGGGGATAAGTTGAACGAGGAGTGATTATTTCAAACGATTCGACCGCCTAGTTTCTCAACCTTGTAAATTCTACTTTGATTTAATCATGCCTCATGTTCCGATTCCCCAGAAACGATCTCCAATTTTCTGCTTTATCTATATCCCTTCTCCCGTCCACCACTCCTTCTCTGTTTGAATACACCCCGCGAACTTAATTGACACTTTCTACTTTTCAGGGTTTTTTCTTTCTTTCATGATGAATGCTCATAACTGTGTCATACCGTTAAATCAAGGTGATTTAAGATGTGTGTGTTCACTTTTCACATTATTTTGATTTATATAACGGGTATGGTTCTTTTTCTCTGTCGATTACTCTTTCTTTCCCACTCTCACTTTCTCCTACTCCAAAATTTCCACTCACGGCTCTTTTTTTTATTCTTGTTCAGACCACGTACATTCACACACACAAACACACACACACACACACACACAAACAACCCCACGATTTAGGGTACGGGTGTGCATGTTCCCTCCCTCTGAAAGCATTCCCCTATCTCTGGTGTTTAAAGTCAATTTAATTGGGAACACGAGTGCGGTCCCTGCGACCCGGGAGTGGGTGGCCAAGACACAATCACGTACATCATTCTTCGAAATCGATTCTTTTCAATGAACTTATTTTGATGGCACACGACGACGTAAAGATGGCTGTAAACATCGAAACGAATCTTTGTTCAATAGCATTAAAGGTACTATGTCCCTTTTGCAGCCAACCTCAAATTCTGTAGAACTTGGAAATTATGAATATGTCATGTATGTCCTGTCTGTGAAATTTAAACGTTAGCAGTGTCCTAATATTCAAATTATGCAAGGAAACATGTTTACTTGCTAGACTTTACTGTCAGACACTATTGACTGGCTATTTTTCTTCTTTGGTAATAACATGTACATAAAATGAGCCGTAAAAGGTACATGATTATTGTCTACATCAATAACCCACTTCTTGTGATGACCAAAATTAAACTGATTGAATCATTGCGCAGCATAAAACGTATGAACATTCGGACAATGGTCTGAAAATCAAGACTATTACTTATTGGCTCTATAGCTCCTAAGTCGATTTGACAACTAATAGTCGTTATTTTCACACTTGAAGACATTTTCAAGCCCCGACATAGTACCTTTAACCCTTGGTCTTGGAGGTTAAGTCTTTTAACATTTTCCCATCAAAGTGACTGGTTTACAGACGATTATTGCGCGCTAAATGCTCGTCACGGGCACGACCACACATAGGGTGTAAGACATGGGAAGTGATACTCACTGGTGCAGGTCGGGGCGCCGCTGCTCCACACCGCGTCTCGGCATACCGATTGATTGGCGCCGTTCATGGTAAACCCTTCCTTGCAAGCAAATGTCGCTGTTAGGCCATCTTCGCTGAGAGAGATCGAGCCATTGGCTGGTGTGTCCAGGACGCCGCATGACGAGTCTGCAAATAAAAGTGAACAACGTATTTTGACATTTGGTATCTTCCCATGACACAGGGTGTAAGGATGACGTACCCCTCCCCCCCCCCCCCCCCCCACTCAAATCAGTTTTTTCACAGCGACGCAAGTGCTAACTACGGGGTATTTAAATGAGCTCGACACCCCGTACTAGCTCTACTCTCGAAGCTAATACGGCTAAGTACCGTCGTAGGTTTGGACGCTACGCGGAAATTTTCGATCTGAGTGCGACCCCCCCCCCCCCCGCTAAGATTAGCGTTGTATAAGGCCGCGTCACCGGTCGTGAAAACTCGCTAGTGTTATTTAGGGTACACGTATGCATGTTCCCTCCCTTTGAAAGCTTTCCCTAAGTCCGGTGTGTAAAGTCAACACGTGCCGATTTTATATGTATTACGCCAGGAGTCGGACGTTGTTGCGTGAGAAGTATCACCGTTTACCGGAAATTTTTGGAACATGAATGTGGTCCCTCCTTTTCCGGAGTGTGGAGCGAGTTGACGTATTCCTTCAGTTTTAAAGACACATCAAGCATAGGATGTAAGTGCGACGTGGGAGATAATACTCACCGGTGCAATTTGGGGCGCCGTTGCTCCACACCGCGTCTCGGCATACCGATTGATTGGCGCCGTTCATGGTAAACCCTTCCTTGCAAGCAAATGTCGCTGTTAGGCCATCTTCGCTGAGATAGATCGAGCCATTGGCTGGTGTGTCCAGGACGCCGCATGACGAGTCTGCAAATAAAAGTGAACAACGTATTTTGACATTTGGTATCTTCCCATGACACAGTGTGTAAGGATGACGTACCCCTCCCCCCCCCCCACTCAAATCAGTTTTTTTCACAGCGACGCAAGTGCTAACTACGGGGTATTTAAATGAGCTCGACACCCCGTACTAGCTCTACTCTCGAAGCTAATACGGCTAAGTACCGTCGTAGGTTTGGACGCTACGCGGAAATTTTGGATCTGAGTGCGACGCCCCCCCCCCCGCTAAGATTAGCGTTGTATAAGGCCGCGTCGCCGGTCGCGAAAACTCGCTAGTGTTATTTAGGGTACACGTATGCATGTTCCCTCCCTTTGAAAGCTTTCCCTAAGTCCGGTGTGTAAAGTCAACACGTCCCGATTTTATATGTATTACGCCAGGAGTCGGACGTTGTTGCGTGAGAAGTATCACCGTTTACCGGAAATTTTTGGAACATGAATGCGGTCCCTCCTTTTCCGGAGTGTGGAGCGAGTTGACGTATTCCTTCAGTTTTAAAGACACATCAAGCATAGGATGTAAGTGCGACGTGGGAGATAATACTCACCGGTGCAATTTGGGGCGCCGTTGCTCCACACCGCGTCTCGGCATACCGATTGATTGGCGCCGTTCATGGTAAACCCTTCCTTGCAAGCAAATGTCGCTGTTAGGCCATCTTCGCTGAGAGAGATCGAGCCATTGGCTGGTGTGTCCAGGACGCCGCATGACGAGTCTGCAAATAAAAGTGAACAACGTATTTTGACATTTGGTATCTTCCCATGACACAGGGTGTAAGGATGACGTACCCCTCCCCCCCCCCCCACTCAAATCAGTTTTTTCACAGCGACGCAAGTGCTAACTACGGGGTATTTAAATGAGCTCGACACCCCGTACTAGCTCTACTCTCGAAGCTAATACGGCTAAGTACCGTCGTAGGTTTGGACGCTACGCGGAAATTTTCGATCTGAGTGCGACCCCCCCCCCCCCGCTAAGATTAGCGTTGTATAAGGCCGCGTCGCCGGTCGCGAAAACTCGCTAGTGTTATTTAGGGTACACGTATGCATGTTCCCTCCCTTTGAAAGCTTTCCCTAAGTCCGGTGTGTAAAGTCAACACGTCCCGATTTTATATTTATTACGCCAGGAGTCGGACGTTGTTGCGTGAGAAGTATCACCGTTTACCGGAAATTTTTGGAACATGAATGCGGTCCCTCCTTTTCCGGAGTGTGGAGCGAGTTGACGTATTCCTTCAGTTTTAAAGACACATCAAGCATAGGATGTAAGTGCGACGTGGGAGATAATACTCACCGGTGCAATTTGGGGCGCCGTTGCTCCATACCGCGTCTCGGCATACCGATTGATTGGCGCCGTTCATGGTATATCCTTCCTGGCAAGCAAATGTCGCTGTTAAGCCATCTTCGCTGAGGGAGATCGAGCCATTGGATGGTGTGTCCAGGACGCCGCATGGCGAGTCTGCAGGTAAAGGTAAACAAAGTATTTGCACATATTGTATCTTCCCATGACACAGGGTGTAACCGTGTAAGAGTGACATATACCCCCCCCCCTCCCCCACTCAGTAATAATTTAGGGTATGTGTATGCATGTTCCCTCCCTTTGAAATCACCCCACTAAGTCCGGTGTGTTTAGTCAATAAAGGCCGATTTTGGGGGTGTATTATTAGTCGGAATGTGTTGCGTGAAATGTACCCTTATACCGGAGATTTTGGGAACATGAATGCAGTCCCTCATTTTCCGGGGGGGGGGGGGTTGACGTATTCCAAAAGTTTTAAAGAACCTCAAGAATTTGGTGTTTTATTCCACCATACAAGTAACTACGTACTATATCGACATTAGCACCATTTTCAAAAGTAATTATGTAGCGTCTCATACATTCGCACTTTTATTGTACGTTTATGTTCTCCGTAATTTTCCATTACGCAACTTATTTATATTCATTTATTCGGACCACGTGCGTTCATCCCTCCAATCGCGCATCGTGGTTCCCCGCATCGTTCAACCCGCGTATTTTCAACACCACGATAACACCACGAGGTTTTCTTCACTCCTGCTACCACCCAGTCGAGTCAACAACTCCTGCTAACATCTTCAGTTGAGTCAATACGCCTCCATGATCTTCTCTCCGCACTCGAGATCCTTCCGTGCCTCATGCACCTCTTGCATGACACGCCAACCTTTCCTCTGCCGTCTACAGCGGGATGGCAGTTTTCAAGTGGAATGTTTTAATCAGGACCGACTTGACGCTCGATTCTCCACTGGGAGCTGTCAGAACTTCGTTCCGGTAGCTCTTATTACACATGAGCTCGACTTACCGTAGCTCGCCTGAACATTCATCAATGAGTTAGACCCACCGCAGCTCTGATGAACTTCACCTCAAAGTTCGGCTTATCCGACATCAGCGACTCACTGCTTTGTGCTGGCACCGACTTTGTCTTCAACATTTTCTTCCTTGGCCTCCGACATCAAGCGACTCACTGCTTCGTCATTGAGCGCCACACGTTTCTTCTCTTCTCTTCTCTTCTCGTCTGAGAGTTTATCATCATCATCACGAGCGTCAGCGTCGAGATCACATTCTGCACGGCTCTTCAGCCACGACCACGAAGCTAAGTCTCAGTCTGTAAGCCTCCGCATCATCATCGCGTGAGCCCCTTCCTTCGTTCTTCACATGCCATCATCTTCGTCTGACTTTCGACGTCATCTCTTCTCTGTCGTAAGCTTAATTTACTCATTGCATTTATTCATGTTTATGTCCATCTCGTGTATTATTTGTTTGTTTGTTTGTTTGTTTTGTTTTATTTCCACTTTTTCATATCAATACAAAGAAACATACAAATAAATATGGTGAATAGCAAGTAAGTTTGACAAAATTTGTTTCTAGTTAAAATAAAAGTTTCATACAAAAGGAAAAAGCAGGAGACCACATGTCGTAAGCGAAAATGCTTGAACATGACTGTGGCCTCTGCCGAGTTAACAAAATAAAAGAAAACCATGCAACTGCATTGTATTCGATGTAAAATAAGATATAATTGAAGTGATTAGGAGTGAGCATGGCTGAATTAATTTTGAGCGAAAATAACAAAACAAATTTAGTGAAATATTTCGTGTTAAGAAGTGCATTTGTGCAAGGTGCAAAAACTTAGCTTGGTGGAATAAAAAGAGACTAATACCGTGATATTAATTGTGTGTTGGTTTCAGTTACGGGTGATAATATTAAATGTATGCAGGGTCCATTCCTGTTGACAAACAAAGACAGAACAATTCAAGACATAACAATTCAAGACAAATTTGCCAATGTATCTCCGTGCAATATTCTGATTTCTCACTCATGTAATTCTTATTCTGATCGAGTCATTTATTTGCCTGACTTCACTTGTTTAGTCTGCTTTATTTATACCTCAATAAAATAACGAAAAGGGAATACAGTTTATCACGTATTTTATTGCCAGTGCAACCTTGTTTCCTCGTAGCTAAAGGGTAAAAAGAGTTATGTTGTGTGATAAGTGAATACGCTTTCCAATTTCCATTCACAATTCATCCACACAATTAATCATTCTACAGTTACTCAATTTTGAATATATCAAATCTGAACCCTACGTTATCAGAAATTATACAATTTCGTAAGTAAAGATATTAAACAAAAATGTAGACCCCATAGCTTTTACAACTAATGTTCATCACAAAAATCTGATTTGCCATGCAGACTAGTGGATACCACCCCCCCCCAAACCAAGCAACCTAAACAGTACTTAAATTCTTTAAATCATGGCAGTGTTTCAATCACAATCACGCACACCATTCTTCGAAATTGATTTTGTGTTAATGTACTTATTGTGATGATGCAGATGACGAAATCGATAGGTGTAAACATGCAAACGAATCCAGCAGCTCAATAGCATTAACCCATGTTCGTGGAGGTTTAGTCTGTTAACATTTCTTCTTCAAAGTGACTGGTCACAAATATTTATCGCGCGCCAAATGCTCGTCACGGGCACGACCACACATAGGTTGTAAGACATGGGAGTTGATACTCACAGATACAAGTCGGGGCGCCGCTGCTCCACACCGCGTCTCGGCATACCGATTCACTTCCGCCGTTCATGGTAAACCCTTCCTGGCAAGCAAATGTCGCTGTTAGGCCATCTTCGCTGAGGGAGATCGAGCCATTGGAGGGTGTCTCCAGGACGCCGCATGACGACTCTGTAAATACAAGTAAAAAAAGTATTTGAACATTTTGTATCTTCCCATGACAGGGTGTAAGAGTGACGTATTCCCACCGTTTTAAAGAAACCTCAAGCATTTGGTGTTTTGTTACATCATACAAGTAATTACGTACTAAAATCGTCATTACCACCATTTTCTAAATCAGTTACTCAATTTTGAATATATCAAATCTGAATCCCATGTACAATTTCGTAAATAAAGATGGTAAACAAAAATGTAAACCCCATAGCTTGTCCATTGGTCTCGAACCCGGGTCCTCCCGGTTACGAGACCACTACTCTACCACTGAACAATCGCGCCCCCTTTATGCAAGTCTTTGCGATCATGATACGCTAATCACTCTTACCAATGCATGCGTTATCGCCTGTTGATCCGGTCCACATCAAGCTTCCCTCCTCTGCGCTGTACGCACATCGCTTGTAGGATGACCCGACCATAATCAAGCCCTCGTCACAGGTGAATGAGACCTCGGCGTCCTCGAAGTATTTATTCGAATCTGAAGAGTACGTCTTCGTACCATTATAGGGTGTAATTTGATATGGACATGCGTCGACTGTGGAGAAAAAAAATAGTTCATAGATTTGCATATTTTCTACGAGTAAGTCCAGATTTGTGGAATTATATTAGGAACATTCCGAAGTATTTTTCGAATCTGACGAGTTGGTCTGTGTGACATTGTAGGGGGAAGGGGGGGGGGGGGGGGAGTAATCGAATATAGACACGAGTCGACTGTGGGAGAGAAAAAATACCGCCATTCATAGAAATGCCACAATAAAATGGTTGCACTAGGTATAAATGACACTTCATTTCATATTCCTATTTCTTACATAGTTTTTAAAGGGCTAAAAGCGTCTTCGATTTCGGATGTATTCATTGCTTGCCTTCATCATAAAGGTGCACATTAAGTCTCAGTGCAGATCCGCTACTTTTCATATTTTCTCTCTCAACTCACTTTTTCTAATATTTTCAGAGCTGCTCTCGAAGGCTTCGAAGGCACCCAGCGTAGCCATGGCAAGCTGTACGTCATCGTTAGACACCTCATAGTCGAACAGACACTGGCTGACCTCGTTACAGGCCGGGTAAAGGGTGGGGAGGTTGACGTTCATAAGGGGTACGAAGGTCGAGTTGTGGTAATCGACGTGGGTGAGGCCAGACACATAACGGAAAAGGCTGTAGTCACTTTCGATCTCCCCTGGAAGGTTGAAGAACAAAGTGGTAGATCCTCATCATATACATGTCTGGACCTTACTGTTCACGGATCTAAGTGGACAACAGTGTTCACTTAGATCCTTTACCAGACAAGTCCTCCACCCTATTTCACAATTAATGACATATACCCAAGCTTTAATAATCTGATGATTCAAAGTTCCTTGTAATCAGAGAGTATGTATGCATAAAGGTTCAATTCCGTTGTACAATTTATGACGAGGATGGAGGATGAAACTACGAAACGTGTCCCATTCATTCAAGTGTTATATGTTTTTCAATGTTTTTAGTATAAACACTGTTAACAATCAATCCTGTTTAATCCAAAAACTTTGTCAAATATTGAAAAATATTGTTACACAATCTTTACATTCGAGAATTTCACACCGTAAAAGGAAAAGAAATTTCAGCCTTTTAAACGTTGTCTCTCTCTCTCTCTCTCTCTCTTTCTCTCTCTCTCTCTCTCTCTCTCTTATATCATTTTAATGGTCTAGCTTTTCATGTATAAAGGGGTCTACATATATCCATTGGTATATTTCTGACAATATCAATACATTTATGTCAGGGTTTCCATCAAAATCGTGATCAATAAATTACACCATTGTTCGATTGAATGCAATCTAATAAATCTTACATGTTTGACCGAACTGGAATATCTCTTCATCGGTCGGGTCATCAAGAGGGTTGTTATTGTTTCTGCTCGTCAGGTCGTTGCTAGGGTCACCATCCATGTTGCCTAGCAACCCAGACAGATGATCGCTCTACGAAAGAAAAAGATTATTTACGAATTAATAAAGAGTTACCACATGAAGTCAAATGCATACTTTGAGAAAGTCTGTTGTATGTTTATTTAAAGTCAGTCCTCGAAGGAATTTGCTGAATTCTGTAGTTGACCAAGAGGAAGAGGTAGTTGTCAAGAGATACTTGACCTAAGGACACAGTTTGCTAGAGATAATTATTCTAGGGTTGGATCCTGATAGAGTAGTTTTTCAGGTAGTTTTCCCAGTTATTTCAGACTATCCGATCGTTTTTTTTTCTCAGGTTTAGCCAGATCATTATTAATACGGCTAATATGCAATTAACTGCAATTATTATTACCTAGGTAACCTTTCATACCAGGTAAATAGTGGGAAATCAATGTCTTGCCAAAGGACATTAGTGACATGCAGGGGTTCGGACCTTGAACCCTTGGATTAAGAGTCAAGTGACTAAACCACTATATGCCGACACCCTTAGTTGCTCTGACACAACTAACACCACATATATGATGCTTACATTTAACTTTGAAGGGAGGATCGGTCGTACAGCAAGCATTCCATAGTCGTAGGTTACGTAGACCCCGATGCCGGTTTCTTTAAACATGACGACCACACCGTAGATTTCGACATCGCGCTCAAACCTTGTGACATCCACGGCACACCCTGAAAAATGTGAAGACAACAATTAAATGACACTCATGGCACATCCTGAAAAATTTAAAGAAAAAAAATTAATTGATCATTCATCGTTCCCTTTTGAAGATTTGTTTTGAAATAGGATAATTGTTCTTCTTGGATTCCGTTAAGTCCGAAGTGTCTTCCAACGAGTTATTGTGATTTATTTAAGTAGGCCTATCATGTATAAACGAGTAAAAATATGCCGTTGACTTGATAAACTTAGATTAAGCTTACAGGAGACAAAAGCTGGAGACAGCTTTTGAGGGTATACCAGATCTAGGCCTTCTATCAGCAATGCTTCCAAAAAGATCTGTCATTATGCCATTGCATGAAGAACACTCGATCACCAAAGTTCTAGAAAGGTTCTCGATCTCCTCCTCACCTTGTAAATCGGTGAAGGTCTGCTGTGAGAAGTACACCGATTGCCATTCGCCGTTTTCATCCATGCTCCTCCTGTAGACGTCCATTCCGCTGGTTGCGCTCGCCTCAACGAAGATACTGTCCGAGCCGCTGTCCTTCATTGCTACCGACGACAGCTGTGTAACGTCTACCTGTTGACCTGGTGATTTGATTTGAAATGGAAAAGGAAATGGTTATTTATGCGGATGTGATTGGAGTGATTTGATTGTAGCATTGGTGTAGTTTGATTTGATTTGACTGATTTTAATTATCATATGATTTCACTGATCATGCTGATGCCGGCAATAGCGAAATAGATGGTGTACATGGAAAGCTTGTGTTTTGGGAAATAAAGACACGAAATTGAATTACTTCTGATGTGTACAGAATCGTATCAATATCATTCCATTTGCATAGGTGCACTATCTTACCATTCCTATCCATAGTCTTTATCTGCCTTGCTTGAAGCTCAAAGTCAGAAGCACCGGTCTTTGTCCCACTTGTAGCGTAACGGAGAAGGGTGAATTCGCCTAAACCATTAAATGTATAGTTGTACCTATCCATCGTGATGAAATGGGGATCTCCAAACGATAATGCTTTAAAAGAAAGGGGAAAATAATTAAACACTTCGATTGTCTCTCTAAACGTTCGCTCGTTTGACACACGTGCACATTTTCACAAAATGATAGGAACCAATTGACGGAAGAATTGCTTTATGCAACACATTGGCTTTGCAGAATTACTCATTTCTGGTTTTGATTGGCTCCATAAATCATTTCACACCTGCAGAATCTAATCTGGCACTGGAATGATTTATAAGGAAATCTTGAAGCCTTTGGTATATATATATATATCAACACTGTCCCATTGATTGGTTTGATATTTTTGGCGGTAGTAAAGGCTTGTTTCTGTGTTTTCAGTTATATACAACAGGGATGTATTTTCATTCTCCTGCATTCAAATCTCAGATGCCATGTTGTTTCTCTTATCACGCTGAGATATCTTACAACATACACATCGAATTGGATTCAAATTATGCGTGATTGGAAAACATGAACACAAATGCGTAGGGACACACGGTGGCCTGAAGGCATTATGTTCCCGCTATGTCAGCAAGTATGAAAGCCTATGGGGGTTATAGTTTCCAAGGGCTGTGGCTTTGGACCAACCGGTTGTTGGGAAGGCTTGTGGGACTTCAATTCGATTCAATTCAATTCAATTTAATTTATTTCTCCACAGATGCAAATCATAGGAAGATACATAAAATAAAATACATAATACAATACAATAATAGAACATGTACATCATACATGTGTATATAAAACAACTACATATGGAGCAATGTATGTTTTAACAAGAAAAAAATCAGCAAAATGTTGAAGGGGTAGTCAAAAATCAAAAATGATTTGTTGAGGACTACCCTCAGCATGTAACAGACGAAAACAATGTGACACATTCAATAAAATGGTTGTTCTTCCCAAAACCTTTCTGAGGTGTACGTGACCAAGACTCTTGGTCTTGTAGGCTGTCAATCTCGGTAGCCATCGGACCTGCAGATTGTTGGTCTAATGGGATGTCTATCAAGCTATTCTAGAAGGCCCTGCTGAAAAGTAGGATTCAGCTGAGAACAGGCTTTTTATAAACCGTGAATCACTTTTAAAAATCAAACTCAAATTCAACCCCACCCCTTGTAAGAGAGTCACCTACCGTTATTTGGGGGTTCGTAAATGGCGCAATCGGTGGTAGGTCTCAATGTGATGTAGTCAAAGCATTCCTTCTCCCCAGCCCAGCCACAACAGAAGTGTTTGGCGATGATGTCATTAGACCAATGGGACAGTTCCGGGACTAGGTTCCTCGCCATGTAGGGATTGGAACCGCGAATATGGGACCGACCGGCCATACCGGCATACATGGTATCCCCGGAGTGCATCAATAGACGGTTTGCATCGTAGCAGCATTTGGTTCCAGACATTGTGTTAGGGCTAAGATCAGAGCAAAATAGTTATTATATCAATAATCATGATAATAATATGAATAGTGATAATAATAATAATAAACAATGATAGGAAGAATAACAATAATACTGATAATGATAATATAATGGTAAGGCTAACGATGATGATAATAATATTGATTATAATAAAAATGACGATAATAATAACACGACAAGGATACATGAAAAGAAACGGAAGGAAAGGAAAGTAAAAGAAAGGGTAGAAAAGGAAATGAAATGAGAGGAAGAAAATGGAACTGCGAGGAAACGGAAAGTTTAAGGATGAAAATGAAGGGGAGCAAAGCAAAGGAAAAGGCAGACAAGGGAAGGACAGCAAAGCAAAAAAAGCAAACGAAATGGAGGCACAAAGATCGAAAGGAAAGAAAAGAAAAGTGAAGGAAAGATATGCAAAGGAAATAGTAAAAAGCACTTGGATAGAAAACTAAGGCAAAGAAAGACTAGAATTTAATTCGTCACGAGGACGAATAAGGTGGTCTGCCTTCAAGTTATATAGACATGTAAACAATGATGATCATCATGATGATCATGATGATGATGATCTTGATAGTAATTGTGATGACGAATATGATGATGATGATGATCATGATGATGTTGATGATTATCATCAACAGACCATGATGACATCAGACTGAAAAAAATGAGAGAACATTGAGATAGTATATAGTCTCAGCTACAACATACTCAAAAATCAACAAAAATCAAGCCGAAATAACGGCGATATTGCTCGCAAAAGACAAGAATGTAGAATCCAGATTTGAGAAAAAGTCATCTCCCATAAGGATTACACGCAAAAAGTAATGGATCAAGTGATAATAGGGTAATAATAAAGTAAATATGGTTGTTTATTACATTATTTGCGATTGTATGTGTTTTAATATTCAAAGGAGATGGTACAGTGAAAGGTCAAAAAGAAAAAAAAGTGAAGAAAAAAAATTGTTGGAGACGCCCGGACTCGAACCAGGGACCTCGAGGTCGGAAGTCAAGTGCGTTGCCGATATACCAAAACATTTCCTATAGAGATTACACGTAAACGGAAAATGTAATTCTCAAATCCCACTTTGTAAGTGAAATATGAGCATGATCCCGGCATCTGATCGAAAAATAAAAGGCACACTTGTGATAGCTTATTGTCTCAGCTACAACATACTCAAAGCTCAGCGTAAACAAAGATAAAACGACGGAGATATTGCTCGCGAAAGACGAGAATGTAGAAACCAGTTTTGAGAAAAAGTCATGTCCCATAGAGAATACACGCAAAATGTGAAAAATTGACATGCCTCCTTTAATCGCAAAAATACGCCATGATGCCTTTGTCAAAATGAAATATCGTGGTGACTGCATTTGTAGAGAATATTCTAAGGTAGAACATATCAAAATTTGAAAGAAAATTGATCAATATTTGCAGAGATACAATCAATTTTCCAAAAATCTGCTGACGTCATAATATGAAAATTGAAATTTTGAGTTCGGAGGCCATTATGATGACGTCATGAGTTAATTGAGGGTCAAATGAAACATGAAATCATATCTCCAACTCATAATCTATTTAAATATGAAAGAAATTGGGGGGTATCTATCCATCCTGAAGAGTTACAATGAATTTTGTATAGGCATGTTTTTGCACATGTATGTTATGTATTACAAGAGCTCGCACGCACGGTAATTATCTTAAACGGACGCTCATTCCGTTATTAATGGGCAGAAAAAGTTGAACAAGGTATCAAAATGCTTGAAAAAATGTGCCAAATATGATGACAGAAAAAATTTGGCGATTCTATGTTGGAAGATGCAATTATGCGCGAAAACGCGCGCGCATGTCCGTGCGCGCGTTTTTTTGCAAAATGCTTAAAATGGCCTGAAACGTATGCAAAATTAATTTGGAACGAATTTGACCATTTTAAAATTTTAATGCGCGCGTACGTGCGCGTCGAGGTGCGCGCGCAAATTTTTTTGACATTTTTCGTTGACCTTTGACCTGAAGTTGATGTATACCAAATATGGTTGATTTTTGATGACTCGTTATCGAGATATGATACTGACCTGATTTTTACAAAATGGCGCCTGGATGACGTCACGATGACCCCATGAACTTGAAAAAGGTTTCGGGAACTTCATATCATAGGGCCTGATGACTAGCAGAAATTTGAAGGAAATTGACCAGGTCGAGTTCGAGTAAACGTATACACAAAAAAAGTGTACGGAATAAATAAAAATAAATAAAGAATAAAGAATAAAGAATAAAGAATAAAGAAAGAAAATTCTAACGAAATCAATAGGTGATCTGTCATCGACAGACCACCTAAAAAATTGACCCACCAGGAATCGAACCTGGCTCACCGGAATGGAAGCTTGTTCTTTAACCAATAGTGGAAATAGAAATAGTGGAGAGAGAGAGAGAGAGAGAGGTAGTAGTCGAAGAAAATGATAAAATCAAATAAACGAAAGCAAATTTTTAAAAAATTGACCCACCAGAAATCGAACCTGGCTCACCGGAATGGAAGCTTGTTCTTTAACCAATATACCAAAATATGTCCCATAGACAATACATGCAAAGCTGACAAACGGCCTAGGCATAGTCGCTATTTCAACTTTCAATTGAAAATTTCGACATGATTTCAACATCTGATCAAAAAACGGAGGGCACACTATAGCTCATAGTATCAGCTATAACATACTTCAATTTGGGGGGAAATAGAGCAAAAATAAGCGAGATACTGCTAAAAAAAAACAATGACATGTAGATGCATGACGTGAACGAAATTCACCTTCCGTACAAGGCATAACACGCAAATTAAAAAAATTCTGACATGTCGCCATTAATCGAAATTTTCACTATGATGACTTCATCAAAATGAAAATTGTAGACAATCATCTAAGCTACAAATTTGGATGAAAATTGATCAATATTTACAGAGATACAATTAATTTTCCAGAAATATGCTGACGTCGAAATATGCAAATTCGTATTTTAGGTTCCAAGGGCATGATGACCTCAAAACATTTGTAATGGCCAAATGAGACATGAAATCATATCTCGATTCATACTCTATCAAAAAATGAGAAAAAATTGGGGTCACCTTGCATCCTAAAGAGATATACAATTGATTTTGTATAGACATGTTTTTACCACTTTTAACATTATATTACCCTTTGACGCGCGCACAAATTTTAAAGTGACGCACGCGTGTGGCATTATGGAAGGTCGAGAATGACTGAAAATAGTTGAAAATTGTCAAAAATAGTGTCAGGAATACAAACCATGCGAAAAAACGGCGTTTTTACGCTTTGAACGCGCCGCGCGCACGGACGGACATTTTTGAAATGCTTAAAATGACCTGATTCGTATTCGTACTTTAATATTTAAGTGATATTGAGCATTTTGAAATTTTGATGAGCGCGTACGCGCGCGTCATGACCTTTATACGACCTTTGATGGCATGACCTATTGACCCTTGACCTGAAGTATATGTGATATGAATATGAATGACCTTTGATGACGCATCATGAAGATATGATTGATAATGTGATTTCACAAAATGGCGCCTGGATGACGTAACGATGACCTGATGACCTTAAAAAAAAATGCCTGCACTTGACCTTGATAAGCCTGATGACTGACAACAAATTGATGAAAATTGATCAACCCAAATTTGAGCAATCACGCTCACAAGAAAGTGGTGGAAAAATAAAAATGAACAATTGAGTGCGTTACCGATATACCAAAACATTTCCCTTATTAGCGATTACACGTAAACGGAAAATGGAATTCTCAAATCCCACTTTGCAAGTGAAATATGAGCATGATCCCGGCATCTGATCGAAAAATAAAGGGCATTTTGTGAAAGCTTATTGTCTCAGCTACAACATACTCAAAGCTCAGCATAAACAAAGATAAAACGACGGAGATATTGCTCGCGAAAGACGAGAATGTAGAATCCAGTTTTGAGAAAAAGTCATGTCCTATAGAGAATACACGCAAAATGTGAAAAATTGACATGCCTCCTTTAATCGCAAAATTACGCCATGATGCCTTTGTCAAAATGAAATATCGTGATGACTACATTTGTAGAGAATATTCTCAGGTAGAACATATCAAAATTCGAAAGAAAATTGATCAATATTTACAGAGATACAATCAATTTTCCAAAAATCTGCTGACGTCATAATATGCAAATTGAAATTATGAGTTTGGAGGCCATTATGATGACGTCATGAGTTAATTGAGGGTCAAATGAGACATGAAATCATATCTCCAACTCATGCTTTTTCCAACCATGATATAAAAGTTGGGGTCAATTGACTATCTGAAGAGCTATTTTGATTTTTAAAATGGAATGTTTTTGATCAAATTTGCATTATATTGCCCATAGCAGTACGCGCGGATTTTGAACTTTGACGCGCGCTCACGGCCTTATGAAAGGTCAAGAGTGACTGAAATTAATGTAAGTTGTCATTTACGGTAAGAGGAATCTAAATCATGTAAAAAAAAAGGAATTTGACCTTTTCCGCGCGTTGTGAGCGCGCGCAACGCGCGCGTGGACACTTACGGACGGAAAATTTTGAAATGCTTAAAATGACCTGATTCGTACTCTACTTTGATAGTTAAGTGATTTTGAGCATTTTTAAATTTTGACGCGCACGTACGCGCGCGTCGTGACCTTTATGTGACCTTTGATGACATGACCTTTAGACCCTTGACCTGAAATATATGTGATATGGATATGAATGACCTTTGCCTATGCATCATGAAGATATGATGGATAATGGGATTTCACAAAATGGCGCCTGGATGACGTCACGATGACTTGATGACCTTGAAAATGTTCCTGTCACGTCTCATGACAATGACCTATGACTGTGCCAAAATTGAATGAAATTGACGAAACCGAACTTGAGTTATCCTAGGCACAAAAAAGTGTAGGAAATAAATAAAAATAAAGAATAATAATAATAATAAAGAAAATTCTGACGAAAACAATAGGTGATCTGTTTTCAACAGACCACCTAAAAAGGCAAATGAAGAGTGAACAAAAGTTAAGCATCGGGGTGAAAAGCTCTTCAAAATAGATGACAGACAAAGCAAAGGAGACAAAATAGAATCATCAAGGCTTATAAACCTTGCATAAGCGCTGAAGAAGCAGTATATGGCTCCTTCGTGCTCGGCGCAAGTGTCTTCTCCGCCCTCTGGATAGCATGATGGATCAGTGATGAAGGTCCCGACGTCCTGCTCAGCCTGGTCAAGGGTGCACGGGCAAGCCGGTAGGTTCTGAGGGGGAAGGATAGAGCAAGATGGTCATAAGGATTGAGGCAAGTTAATAACAAAAAGGACACAAAATAACTCCATTACGTGATAACGAAGCAGAAAAAAATATATATATAGGCCTACATATATACAAGATAATACTAATAAATGTTTGTAAAGTAATATTTAATAAATGTTATAAGTAGTATTGTCAATCCTGTTGTCAATTACAAAGGAATGTGAAAGGCATGCCATGCAACCATAAAGAAGAAAATTATAAACACAAAATCTGAAATGAAAAAACACCATCTCGATTTTTTAAAAATTGATTTAAAAAAGAAAGAAATCCTTATCATAGGGGACGTGCTCCTATACTATTTTTCTAAACTGGCATAATGAAGATAAGACAACTTCCGATTTGTTTTCCTTTATTACAAGGGCCCAACTGTCTATTTTACATGATTTAAGTGACTGCTTTTTAATACAAGTACTTTTACAATTCTTAGAAAAAGACCCATATCCCCCAGCCATTCCCGCCTACGTCAATAATCCTTATAAATTAATTCCTATTTAAAATTGGGCACTACAAAGTATAGGAAAAGAGATGAAACTCAAAGCTGCTACAACCCACGAGACCGACATCCCATAAGGCCGAGAACCAACGATACCGACATAACTTAACTAAGTGAAAAATTGTCATACGAAGGTCGACGCGATAAACATGACAGTTTCGTATGCCTTCTAACAACTATTTCGGGGGTTCTTTAGATCTCATGATCTGTAGATCGGTCAAATTGAAAAATGAGACGACTTTTGATTCCGTACATTAAGAAAGTCGCCCTTGGCGTTGTCTGCTGTAATCCACTCATTGCATTTCTCCGTGGCCCACTGGACAGAATCGTCCTGGTAGGACTGTTCCAATAGATAGCCAAGAGGGTGTATGTCACTCCAGAGAACACGTTGACGACTGCATAGAGACAAAAATGGTTGGAATAACCGGTCAACAGGAGGAATAAAAGGCATACATATGACGTTCATCAAAATATTAACCACGTTGGGTTTAGGTTCGAACGTGTGCTTGCAAAATCAGCTAAAGGGTTTCCTTCTTTGGTCAGCCAAATTGTAGGCCTGCGATAATTCCAAAGTACGACCTTACCCGTTGTCCTGCCCGGTAATTCGAATGACACCGAATGCATTCGCCTCTGTCACGTCCATCTGTGCCGTCGGAGTGAACGAATACGAGCCATCATCTGCAGTACCGTTTGTTATCATGTATACGTTTTCCCATCGAGGCCCAGGGTTGTCCTCGCGGTATGCTAGAACAGTTATTGAGAGGGCGCTGTCGGAGGGGCCAAAGCTTTCTTGATCTACGTCCCAACTGATGGCTAGGGAGTTTCCGGCCTTGTCCCACGAGGAAGTATCAGAGTCTCGCCTAGTGACAGTTGGAGTGATTCTCCCACTTTCAACTAGAAAAACCAAAGTGGAAACAATACGGTTACTTTGTAGGGGATTAATTTGGGATGGTGTCCGCATGGCAAAACCTGGATGATTTGAAGACTCAAACAAAATGTTAGTGGACGTCTCCATAAAAGGTGATCTACTAAATGACAGGTTCAATGGCATGATGAGACAATCTGTTTCTATCAGATGGCTTTCCAAATTACACCCTCCTGAGCCTACATTTTACTTTTTTTAAATCTCGATCCTACTCCAAAGGCCCCAACTTCTGCTAAGATATCATTTAAGAATCCTTTACAAGGTCTTCCTTTCAATTTTTTTTCCATTTAGAAAATCTACCGTGGGTTTAATCAGTGCTTCCAACTAATGGCTCTAATAACAAGAAAGAAAAGACATGGAACGTAGCTTTGTTAACCCATTTACTATTCAATGCTCCCCTAGACATAATTCCCGTAGCCGTACTATCGGAATCACCCGGTACCCCTAAGCAGTGGGTTAAAGACTCATAGTAGTTGATTTTCATGTGGAATTCGGCAACATTTTGATGTTTACCTTATAAAAGGTGTTTTCAATCACCAAGAGTGGACTTCACTTTCACGACCGACATGTCTTGTGTAATGCACTGTGCCCTGAACCTACCGCCATAAGTAATTCTGATTATAATACAGTTCCCCCCTCCCTTGAGAAATTAAGGCCAACAAGCTGGAGTATTTTCTCCATACACATGGACACTGACTATGTTGCTTTAATGCACAGCACTGAAAATTCCATTTGATACTTACTGACGGAGTAAATTGTTGAGGGCGAGTTTGCGAGCTCATCGCCTGCCTCTAACACCGTAATGGTGACTTCACCAACGAGAAAGAAAGGCTCTGGGACACAGTAGGCTTCATTGGTGTTGATGACTGTAGCGTTGACTTGCTGAATGATTTCTCCGCCATAAGAGAAGACACAGGTCTGAACTGCCTCCACCGCCCAGCATGGTCCGTAGAGGTAGATTTTTTCACCTCCCATCATTCCACACCGGGCTGGTGTGATAACCAACTCTGGAAAAAGTTGAGGAATGATATGTTGTCATATATAGGTGAATGCCCAGGTGTATACCGCCCCAACCGCCCAATATGACACGTTATTATCATTATCATTATTAGAAGTAGTATCATTAATGTTATTTTTTGTATTTTTTTGTATTATTATTATTTTCAGTATGAGAAGTAGTAGTAGTAGCATCATTGATATTATCATTATTTTATTATTATTATTATTATTATTATTATTATTATTATTATTATTATTATTGTTATCATTATCATTAGTAGTAGAAGTAGTTGTACATGTAGTAGTAGTAGTAGTAGTAGTAGTAGTAGTAGTAGTAGTAGTATTGGTAGTACATGTATACTAGTAGTATCTCTACAGTGGTTTACCTGCTCCAGGTCCAGGATTGCAGACCGGATCGATAACCGAAGAACCGTCAACCTTGTAGGCATACACTCCGTTAACGTCGACGTTGCTGTCTGTGCTCAATGACAGCAGGGTATCTTGTTCGTAGGCGAAGTTATTTACAATCGTACCGTCATTCATTACAAAACCAACCTATTGAAGAAACCGAATTAGACCAGTTTGCATAATTTAATACTAATTCTGTTTTTCCAGAGAAGCCCCTTCAGGATTAACCTGGGCCCTGTTTCATATAACGTCTTCTTATCAATAACAAGTTACAATGACTGTTGTATGCTACTGAAATCGTGACTTTTACTTGGTTGAGAGCAAATTTGTCATAGAAATCGAGCATTCGTTATTGAGGACAAGTTTTATGAAACAGGGTCTAGTTCTTACTGAGGGTTCTGCAGTCATTATTACCCCAGCACTTGCCAGGTACCCATGACGATCGCAACTACTTTTGAAAAAACGAACTCAAGTTCAGTTGGAATACTCTTTTGTATGTCTCACAGAAATTATGTTAGGATTACATAGTATGTCATTGTAATATTCGCACCTGTCAAAATGTGTTGTACAGTGCCATTGAAATGGCCTTAGGTTGACTTTACCTTGGTGTAGAGTGGTAAATATTTATCGATATCTTGATTTTACGAAGCCGTTAGTGCCGGGCTAGGACTCGAACCCTCAACCCTAGGTTTGAAAGTCAAGTGAATGGACCACCATTAAAGGTCATCAATTTCACGTCTTCGATATTTCTTTTTCATTTTTTTTTTTTTTACAAACACACGCATTACAGTGTCTTAAAGCAATTATTGAATGTATATATATATATATATATATATTTATTGAATATGCTTATATTGAAACGGATATAAATCAAATCTAGTTATCTCCATCATGTCCATGCACTATTTGATTGCTTTTTCTTTTCCTCTACATATTAAAACCTAATGACAGACTTCGTCTCGGGGCCCAGCATAACTTCGACATAACCTGGGAACAATTGCTTTAACCATGCTCCAGTCAAAAGTGCGTCTAGTAGCGCCTACTTACGATTGCAATGCCAAGTTGTGTATCAGTGTAGAGACCAGTATTGGGATCTCCATCCATCCTTGTCCCAACGACCCAAGTGATAGATCCATAGTTAAGCAGGACGAAAGATTCTTGCCCGTCGTGAATAAGGACCGCCTGAAATGTATTTCGCTTTAGGGGTAGAACGGTTTAGGGAGAAGAGAAAGTGTGGGTAGTATATTAAGTGATTAAATAAATGATTTATTCCAGGAAACACAACAAAAGTTTGATATAAAAACATTCATATTAGCAGTTAAAAGACATAATTGAGAGAATTATCATTTGCATACAAAGATAATATTTTCAAAAGCATTACATTCATTGCATTATTGGGCATGATAACGTTATTAATACGTAATATTAATACATAAAAGTTCAATCATTGTACAGTTAATCATTAAATCTTTCAAAATGGTTTGAGAAGAGGGAGCAAAAAAATAGTAGATCCGATATTCGATATCTATCCTGAAATGTCTGAATCTGAAGAACTAGACGACACAGTATATGAAAGAGTTGAACAAAAAATTGATCCAATGACACTCTAATTTAATGTCTTACATGTACATGAAATAGCATTTTTTAAGACTGGTACGCCAACACATAGATAAATGAACGAATTAATTAATTAATACATTAATAAATATATTACACAAAATAATGACTAAAAAACGTAATAAAGATAGATAATTAAATAAAAATAATCAGATAAGAAATGAATGAATAAATAGGTAAAATAATCAAAGTTAATTGAAAAGGAAAACCAAAAGTGTGACCTCAAAAATTGATTTTAGACTTGTACGCAAAAAAAATTAATTAATTAATTAATACATGAATAAATATTTACAAACAAATATATGAATTTAATTAATAACTAAAATAGGTTAATAGATAGATAATTTAAAAAACACGACTGAATAACAAATTGGGGAATAAATAAGTAGATTAAAAAATGCATTAAAAAATGAATACGTAAATAGATTTATTATTTTAAGAAAATGGAAATGAAACTTACTGGATCCGAGGCACCTGTTTGGTCGAAAAACGAGACTTGGTCCCACGTGACCACAATGACGACTTGAGCTCTAAAGTCGAAATTGCTTCGGAAGTAGGTGTGGACGTCTGCAGTCGCTTGGTCGAGTGTTGTAGTGCTGCTTGTTACGCGGTAATATACGTTACCTCCGTCACCTGTAATATCCACATCGGCCCAAAATGCAAAGATTGTATCCGGGTCCTCAATTCGCCCGTCGCCGTCCTTTTTAAGGAGAAATCGGTCAACATTTTCTCTAGTTTTATCATTTCCTTTCTTCTTTATTTGTCAGAGATTTAGAGGCACGCGTTAAAATAGTCGTGACATTAGTAGAATGTTTTATTTATTTAAAGGCTCGATGTAATTTGTGTATGTGCTTGTCAGAGATTTGTCGAAAATTGGGGGAATTTATTTAAAGTCGATTTTTTTTTTTCTTATTTGGTTTTCAGAGAGTTTTTTTTTTAACCAAACAAACACCTTGAAATGTCAGATCACCCCCCCCCCGCTTTATGGCAGAGGTTGTTTGTCACTATGGTGTGTGTATGTGTGTGTGTGTGTGTGTGTTTGTGGGGGGGGGGTTGTATTTGGACCAGGTGAGGTATTAACGAAATTCAGAAGTTAAAAAGAATATATTTATTCCATATCAAGAGCTTTTTAAGCCAAAAATGCATTTTTAATTCACTATCTGACGAGATAAATTGAAACATGTAATCGTAACAAAATTGACTGTAAACTCTTTTACTTCAACTGTTTTGATTATTATTATTATGATAATAGTTACATATAAATATATATACATAAAAACATAAACAAATAATTCAATTTCGAAATTCCTCAGTCGAGGTATTATATAAATAGTGATTTTAAAAGCTAAAAATTGATTTTCGTTTCAATGTTTTTAGTATACATGTATAATAGTTGAGGATCTACTTACAACGTCGTAGTAATACGGCAAATTTCTGAATCTGGCTCCATCCGCCTCTTCGGAAACTGCGTCATCGAAAGAAATAACTCCATTGTCACCTATCTAAATATGAACAAAAAACAAAAAGAAATAGTGTCATGTGAATTTAAAGCTTTTATAGTGTCATGTGAATTTAATGCTTTTACCAACTTCCAAATCTGAAAGTCAAACTTTCATCCTCTCCTGTGGACTTTCTCAAGCCAATTAGCGATTATTTACACAGTTTCTTGCTGTCTGCTGCCTTGAGATCACTGGAGCAAAGATAGGTGACAATATTGAATAGCCAGAGTTCCCATACAGTGAAGGATTATTCCTTTTTATCCTGATGGATTATTTCACCTCTCATGACTAGAAGTGTGTTTCAAAGTCAATAATATGGGCATCATCTTATCCGCTGTGATGCCCATACATGTTATAATTACCCCCAACCAATGACACTTTTCTGTATCAAAAAAAGTATCGTGAAAGTGTTTAGTAAAACTTCATTCTACACTGTAGATCATAAAGTTGGAATATTTTTTTTTGACCCCAATGTATGGAATTATTTTGACAATGACTTATTCCTAATAGATCTAGATAATAGTATACATTCTGAGATTTTATTGAATAATAATTTGCCAGTGTTTGTTTTGCGTGACTGCTAAAGCATGCTTATCAACTAGGGGACCTACGCCCTTAATTCATAAATGCGGTAATGAGGTTTAATGCCCCACAAAAGGGCCCTAATATAGCACATCGACACGGTTTTGATCCTGGGGCCTCACAGTTACGAGGCCATTGCTTTGCCACTGAACCACGACTTTACGCAGCGGGGGCTAGGATAGGGGGCAAGTTCCCACAAATAAAAATCAAAAACAAAAAAAAATGCAATAAATCATCAATAATTTCTTGTATTTTAGTACGGTCCCCAACATTAACAAATCCTCTGTACGGCCATGCATTATGGCTCAAGGCATCGGCACACAGAAGATTTTTTTCTGTTGGGGACTAGGGGGGGGGGGGGGGATTCAATGAATTATTGATAAGTTATTGATTTTTTTTTTTTTTTTTTTTTTTTTAATTATGAATGTGATTTAGTAGGTCCATGGTTTGATGCAAGCTATATAGTACACAGACTTTGGTTATTTATTGCTTCGCCTCACTATTTATAAAGTCCAAAAATAGGACATATTAAATAGACAGACTCGAACGCACAACTCCAAGATTGTATTACGCTATCCTTACCGATTGAGCCAACGATGAATTGATGAAAGCTGTATTTGCATAATTATTATAACCCTATCTAAAACCCTCATGGTTACCGTGTGCGCATGCGCAGGTTTAAAATACAGAATAGGCTCTTCGCGAGCGGTTTCATTGGAAATCTTTCGCAAAAATGGCTAAACTGTTCTGTAATTAAAATTAAAGTTTTAAAATTACTTGATCTTAAAGGACAAGTTCACTCGAAACTTACTTTCAATAAAAGCAGCAGGAAGAGCGAGCAGGAAAAAAAAACTTTTAAAATTACTTAATCTTAAAGGACAAGTCCACTCGAAACTTACTTTCAATAAAAGCAGAAAAATCGGACAAACCAATCAAAACAAGTTTGAGGAAAATCGGATAACTAATAATAAAGTTATGCATTTTGGAAGAAGTATGTAAAACTATGGAACAATGAGAATCACAACACATATTGACAAGATGGTCAAACAGTTTTTGAGCGTCATGTACACCTGGCTGGAATGCTCCCCAGGGAGTGGAGAATGTGGACAAGCGGGCAAGCACTGAATCCAATGACCGGGGTAATAGTATATTTGTAAAGCACTTAGAGACATTTTGTATTAAGCGCTATATAAAAATTAAAATATTATTATTATTAATACATGGTTTAATCCCATTACTTTCCCTTTTTATTCCTCAAAACTTGATTTCCCAATGCCTTTGTCCAGGTTATATGATTTGTATCATATTGCGTGCATGATATTTCTCAAAATCTTCAAGAACTTTGAAGACTATTTTCTGAATATTGTATATTCATAAGTATTGAATTTTATACAAACAGTTTATCAAAATTCACATTTTTCATGATTTAACTGGAGAAAAAATAACTCTGTGTTAGTGTATCCACACAAAAACATAAATCTAACTTGGATGCTGGTGTGAGAAAAATAAGATTCTTAAGGAGAAAATAGGAAATTTATATCATCAATATAAAGAAAATAATCAGTGGATAGTGAGGACATGACGTCACAGACTCATGAGTGAGTTGCCAATTTGTCTAGTGATTTTCAAAGTTTTTAATGTCATTCAAAATTCATAACTTTCTTATGAGTTATCCGATTTTGCTCAGGCTTTTTTTTTTATTGGTTAGTCTGATTTTTCTGCTTCTATTGAAAGTAAGTTATTTTTGGAGTAAACTTGGGCTTTAAAGTAGGTATACTTACATATAATGTGCTGTGGTATTTTCCACCAAAAGGAAAGAGTCTATCCAACGCCACGAGTTGTGCAATGTCATTCTGTTTGCTGAGTGCAGTATCACCACTGCCGGTGCCGGAAGGGTATACTAGCGAGGAAAGAAAGATAGTATACAAATAATACACAGCAGTGAGGGCATTAGTAAGAATTGCCCGCACAGGGTACCTTTGGAACAGTCTAACACGCCCAAGGCGGTAGTCGATGGTGTTTGGACTGTTTTGAAGGTATCGAGTGTGGGTCATTTTACTAATGCCCGAACACAATTTTATGTATTATTTGTTTTATAAGATTATGTTTTATTTGTTATATGAAATGATGTTTTATAACATGATTTTACAAATGACCGGTCATTAGAATTGGATAATGACCGGTCATTATCCAAATTACGCGTTAGGAAAAATAAATGCCTGGTCACGTGTACGCTTTTAACCGATCATCTGATAAGGATCCACGTCATCATCTTATAAAAATGCCTAATGAATAATTCATATTCTATGAAAAAAGAAAATGCAAAAGGCGTCCTACACGAGTTCACACTCCAGAGCATTTCTAACCCATTAACAACTGACTTACCTTATTCGCATAATTATGTGTAATACAATACATACAGGGCCTAGTCTACACGTACAGACTCATAGTTGACACAAGGCCTAACTGAGCCTTGAGCAGAGCCTAGTTTTGTCAGTCTCTGGCTGTGTCAGGAGCGCTTAGAAACATCGATAGTAAGTGCTATATATAACTGTTACTATTATTATTATTAGTTGTCCAATAGTTTTGGGCACATTAACATCCTCATAATCGGGTAATTTCCTCCACTAACTATCATGTTAATAATAGTGTAGTAGAATAAATAAGAAAGGAAGTTGTGAGAGTATTCATGATAGTCATCCAGCATATATAAGAGGAAGGGTAGTTTCCTCACATATACACTGATGTACACATTTGTTTCTTATTCAATAGACCTGTTAAAAGAAAAATATCTACCCGACTAGGTGGACCCATATGTTGTGATTGGGCAGATTTTAACAAAGTATTCGTTGTACTGGTTTCAAACATATAGCTCCGTTTAGTCTCATTTCACAACGCCCCCTATCGCCAGAGTCAGCAGCCATACATGTAAGCCTATTGACGTTTTTTTTTTTAAATCGTTAAAAATTCATTTTTTTGTTTAAACGAAAAGCACATCCACCCCGACGTACGTTATCACTAGCTCTTTCATTGGAGCCCTTATGTCTCATTGACTTTTGAAAGTTCACCCACCGTAATTTTTCAAAATAGGTTGCAAGCTCGTCATTGCCTATAATACACATGTGAAACAAGTCGAACTTTGGACTCAGTCTGCCAAGTGATTGTAAGATTATAGGTCAAGCACACGAAAGATAAGAAGCATGAATTATCAATTATCACTTCTGCTATGTTCATTATGCCCATTTCATCCAACCCCCCACCGTAATTTTTCCATTTAGTAAAAGCAAACATTTTGCCGAGTTTAGCAAAAACATGAATATTCATGAACGGTCAGACAATACAGCCTTTTAGTACGTAACGTATAGTGAATGGAAATGGGCGATGATCCGTCCAGGAGGTAGAGGTCAGTGTTTTGTGCTGGCAATGTTCACGCGAGCGAAAATGAGACAATCGGAGCAATATGTTCTGGAACAATTTAAATAATTCTGTTAAGATACATTCACTCGTACTATGAAGAATATAAATTCCTTACAAAGTCAATACAATTCGTAGCACATATTATAATAACTGTTGTTTAAAAAAAAGTGTCAGTATTGATTCCCCCTTCTCCTCTATCTCTTGGTTTGTATAAGTATTCTATGTAGATGGGATTATTATGTACTTCACATGTATACTTTGTCTGTTTTGTTATGGCGACTTCACCACAGGTCTGTGCTTTTAGCTAAATTCGTTCCCTCATACATTGTAAAAACATATTTCATGACGTGTTCATTTTCTTATTTTTAAGGAAATGAATGTTAGTTGAATTGAATTGATGAAATAGCACTTGAAATGCCGAATATACCGGATTTACAGAAATTAACACAAGGGCAGTGTCAATATATGCTCCTGTACTGCCTATAAGAATCATCTTAAGATCGTAGTATGATAATATCGTTGTAATGATGGTACATTTCAAAAGGTGACGCACAATACCATTAAAGGTACTATGTCCCATTTGCAGGCCAAACAAAAAATTAAAAGGTTAAATTCCAACGGCATTTGAAAGATAATACTAATTTAGAACTTCAATAAAAAAAAAGGTGGGGCATGAAAATGTCTTCAAGTGGGAAAATAATTAGTTGTCAAATCGACTTAGGAGCTATAGAGCCAATAAGTAATAGTCTTGATTTTCAGACCATTGTACCGAATGGTAATACGTTTTATGCTGCACAAAGATTCAATCAGTTTAATTTTGGCCATCACAAGAAGCGGGTTATTGATGTAGACAAATGCTCATGTACCCTTTACAGCTCATTGTATGTATGTTATTACAAAAGAAGAAAAAAAGCAAGACAGTCACTCAATAGTGTATGACAGTGAAGTCTAGCAAGTAAACGGGTTTCCTTGCATAATTTGAATATTAGGACACTACTAACGTTTAAATTTCACAGATAGAACATACATGACATATTCATAATTCATGCAAAGTTCTACGGAATTTGAGGTTGGCTGCAAAAGGGACACAGTACTTTTAAAGGCCCGGTCACACAGAATTTGGGCCAGTGCGTTGTCGTTCGCTAGGCGTGCGTCATCATTCGTTACTCCTTCGTCGAGCGCGCTGGACCAACGCTGGACCAGCGCTATGCTGTCACTCGCTGTGTGCGTCGGGCTTTTTTGAGCATGCTCAAAAGTGTGCGCGGAGCTCGACGCATGAATGTACACGCCAAAGGCACGCCAGACATGCGTGGAGCGCGCTAGACCAGCGCCAGACATACGCGGAGCACACGCCCTGTATACGCACAGCGCGCTAGCTACACGCTGTGCAATTTTTGTCAGCTCGCTAGCTTTTCCAAAATCATGACAAAAGTTAGGCACACGGCCTTTTCCGATTTCCAATGCGCGGGCCGTGCGTCGTAGAACGCGGTGCATGCGTGGACCATTCGTCCAGCGCGCTAGCAACACGCTGTGCATTCGTGGAATTTGTTATCATGTGCGCTCTGTGTACGGTCTGTATGCGCACTGTATGCGCCCTGTATGCGCTCAGCGCGTTAGCAACACGCTATGCATTTGGTGTCAGCTCGCTGTAGCTTCGACAAAAGTTGGGCGCACGACAACGCACTGGCCAAAATTGCAAATTTCCCATGCGCTGGCCGTGCGTTCCCCATGCGTCCTCTCTGTGTGACCGGGCCTTAAGGCTTTTGAATTTCCTTGGGTTGAGTTGGTGAAAATCTTAACGATCGTAATCATCACAATCACGTTCACGCATATATTCGTGACAGTAAATAGTGCGAGCCTTTATCTGGGCATGGTATAAGGGACCATGTGTGTTTTATACTCATCTTTAAGAACCTCATGGCTTTGTCATTCACTTCGAGATCGAAAGGATGAAAGTAATTACCATCATGCATTCAATAATCATTGAGTTAATTGACCCCTATAGTAAACGCCGTGCATGTGACAAAACTGTAACGTCCACCATTTGATATTAGGGACCTTTCAAGAAGCGGGTTATTGATGTAGACAAATGCTCATGTACCCTTTACAGCTCATTGTATGTATGTTATTACAAAAGAAGAAAAAAAGCAAGACAGTCACTCAATAGTGTATGACAGTGAAGTCTAGCAAGTAAACGGGTTTCCTTGCATAATTTGAATATTAGGACACTACTAACGTTTAAATTTCACAGATAGAACATACATGACATATTCATAATTCATGCAAAGTTCTACGGAATTTGAGGTTGGCTGCAAAAGGGACACAGTACTTTTAAAGGCCCGGTCACACAGAATTTGGGCCAGTGCGTTGTCGTTCGCTAGGCGTGCGTCATCATTCGTTACTCCTTCGTCGAGCGCGCTGGACCAACGCTGGACCAGCGCTATGCTGTCACTCGCTGTGTGCGTCGGGCTTTTTTGAGCATGCTCAAAAGTGTGCGCGGAGCTCGACGCATGAATGTACACGCCAAAGGCACGCCAGACATGCGTGGAGCGCGCTAGACCAGCGCCAGACATACGCGGAGCACACGCCCTGTATACGCACAGCGCGCTAGCTACACGCTGTGCAATTTTTGTCAGCTCGCTAGCTTTTCCAAAATCATGACAAAAGTTAGGCACACGGCCTTTTCCGATTTCCAATGCGCGGGCCGTGCGTCGTAGAACGCGGTGCATGCGTGGACCATTCGTCCAGCGCGCTAGCAACACGCTGTGCATTCGTGGAATTTGTTATCATGTGCGCTCTGTGTACGGTCTGTATGCGCACTGTATGCGCCCTGTATGCGCTCAGCGCGTTAGCAACACGCTATGCATTTGGTGTCAGCTCGCTGTAGCTTCGACAAAAGTTGGGCGCACGACAACGCACTGGCCAAAATTGCAAATTTCCCATGCGCTGGCCGTGCGTTCCCCATGCGTCCTCTCTGTGTGACCGGGCCTTAAGGCTTTTGAATTTCCTTGGGTTGAGTTGGTGAAAATCTTAACGATCGTAATCATCACAATCACGTTCACGCATATATTCGTGACAGTAAATAGTGCGAGCCTTTATCTTGGCATGGTATAAGGGACCATGTGTGTTTTATACTCATCTTTAAGAACCTCATGGCTTTGTCATTCACTTCGAGATCGAAAGGATGAAAGTAATTACCATCATGCATTCAATAATCATTGAGTTAATTGACCCCTATAGTAAACGCCGTGCATGTGACAAAACTGTAACGTCCACCATTTGATATTAGGGACCTTTCGATTTGCACGACGACAAAGTGGATTGCTACGGTCGACGTCCTTTTAATGCACTACCTTGAATGGACGTCACACGTATCAGTCCACGCAAATCTAAAAGTCCCTAATGTCAGTCTTCCTCTCCCCTTTTAACACAACTCATTTTTTTGGTCCGGTTTGAATGGTTGACGATTTTCATATTTTCAAAAATTGAATGATTTCATGATTTCCTCTATCTTTATGCTTCCTCCACGGTCAATAATTCCATGGATCATCGTGAGCACTAATGCTTTAGGTGAAGATGTATTAGTTTTACATAAAGGGTCATACTCCTGAAAACCATGCCATTTATTGTTTCCCCCAAGTTCACAGGCTACAAATGATTTGTATTTGCCGAGTGTATATTTTGTTTGCTGTAGGTTACGTTCATCTGACAATTTTTTCTTCCAAATTAAAATCAAGTAGATTTATCTTTTTAGCCGTAGTTATTCTTTATTCTGACATCCTGAGATGCTGAGTATTTCTCTACAGCACTTTGCGGAAATTCTTATGAGGGAATAATGCATGGTCACCATGTCATTTTAAATTTTGCTATAAATGAACTGGTTTATTTTTCGAAAATTATAATAACGTTCTGCTGTTTCTACAGATCGATTCGTTTGACTTACAAGTAGGCCTGCAGATGATTTCTATTTGTGAAAATGAATGATGCACTTGCGACTCGATCAATATAAACATTAAAATGGAGATATGTGTTATTTATCAATTTTTACTCACATTCAGCTTGAGACTCGGCAGCCCAGGTTAAACATAACATTAAAACAAGACGAGTACAAAATGAGTTCTTTCTCCTCTCGCCAATCATGATGACAACTTAAGATTTCAGACAGATTCCAAAAGACGGATGCATAAATTTACAGTCTCAGGTTGAAATATTCCAATCGGTTGCTTAAACACATCTTGATATAGCTTCCCTGCGTACAAGACCATACGCCGAAATCAGTATTTGGCGGGGCAGTGTTCGTTGGCGCCTGCGAAAAAAATATGTTTTCTCGTTGGTAATATGCAGACGACGTGATTTGATCGGTTCTGATTCGATCATAAAGAATGTGCTGAAAGGGAGAAAGGAAAACAAGTGTTGGGCAAATACAGGCCTACGTGAAGGTAAGAGGGCAAGTAAGCGGACTTTGGTAAATCAGCAAACAATTATCAATTATTATGATGAAAAGTTTGGTTTTGGAAGTGGTGAGTGTTATACAATTTACAACATATACTAGTTTTACAATGTGCAAAGTTCTGTCTGATACAAGTTGCAACACGAGATCTTTAAATCAGGCAAAATAAGGGTAATAAAAAGGAAGAATTAGATTAAAGACGGGGAGGAGGAGAAGAAGAAATCGAAGAAGATAAAGAAGAAGAACAATTACATACATAATATACACATTTGCACTTAACGCATTTCATGTTAATGCCTGAATGTTATTTTCCCTTTATTATATGGTTGTTATAATTTTTGCATTTATGAATATATATGTTATAAGTTTATTTGTCCATACATGTTTATTTCCTGAGGCCGCCATCACGCACAAGTTCTTGCTTAAGACGGGGTCTCCTGTATTTTCGAATTTTAAAATGATTTTTGAACTATGTATTTTTTGTTATAGGTAAAATTATTGTTATATTATGATATGATTATGATGTATTTTAAACTTTATTAGGAAAATGCATGTACCTATTTTGTATATTACTTTTTATTATGTTTAAAATGCAGAATGAACAATCATGACAATTATGAGGAGAAAGTAAAATGGCTTAGAAGTTTTAATTCGAAAGAATCCTAATTAATAAACGATTTATAAATATAATTATATAAGGATTATCAATGCAAAATGTAGTTAGGTTTCCAAAAACAACGAATGAATGTTGGATTTTCTTTTCAAAATCAGTAAATATTCATCTGTCTTTGAAATCCCAATGATAATATGCTATATTAATTTTATTATCAGGATAATTATACATTCAATCTATTTCCGTTAGCTTGATGATTTATATACAACATTCATAAACTATATTTAGAACCAGTCCTCACAAAAAGCTATAAAAAGCGAGTCACAACTTCGGAATCGCGTCCGGCCCGCCTACGGAACTGTCATATCTATTACAAACGCACATACATACCTTTAAGGTTGACACCTCATTACAAACCTCTCCACCTAGTGCCAGGTCAGTCTGGTTTGGCATGGAACACAAAGCTTCAGCCAAGTGATATGAAGAGGCTGATGTTAGACGGCCAATATATCGTCACTGAATAGTGTGTGTCAGTGAAGTCTTGAAGGTAAACGGGTTTCCTTGCATAATTTGAATACAAGGACACAACTAATGTTTGAATTTCACAGATAGGACATACATGTACATGACATATTCATAAATCCTGCAAAGTTCTGTCTTTAAAGCATGAGATCATTTGAGAGAATAACAGTGGACGAATGAAAAGACAATGTAACGAAATATTCTTAATTAAATGGTTTAAAATAATACAAGCAGCCTCATGGTCGGATATACATTTCCCGGCTACAGCCTACGAGACTTAAAGCCCACCAAAATCGACCATGTAGGCCTCTCTACCTTCTAACAATGTGTTTAAGGCGGGTTCGCTAGTAGACCAACATCCTATGAGATAGACAGTCCACGAGACCAACATTGTCTTTTTATATCCCTTTCCTTAAATATCTACTCAATTCGTCGGTCTCATACTATGCTGTCGATCTCTTGGACCGTTGGTCTCGGGACCTATAACCTTTCTTGTAGTTTCTATGTATTATTTTGTTATTTTATGTATATTAATGTATGTGTAAAGGTCTCATGGGCTATCGGACCCTTTTGTAAATCTCGGTTTTGTGGGATGTAGGTCTCGAGAATTGTCAGTCTACAGGATGTGGACCCCTTTGTTTCCAAAATGTATTGTAAATGGTCATAATTTATTAATGTTTTGTTGGAAACATTAATAAATCAAATCGAATTGAATTGAATTACAATAACGAATGACCCTGCTTTTAACCCCAATATTCATCTCAAATTATGTGAAAAGAAATATGGCTATAGGCACGCCAACAGAAAATACACAAGTTATATGTATGTATAAAGAGATTATTCTTTATAATTTGCAACAATAATAATGCATCTGTGTACAATAAATATCAGATTATAAACGTGTGTAATATTACGGATTTTTTAAAGATAAATTATTACATTAATTTTGTCATCCCGAAAATTGAAAATAATGTTTCGCAAAAAATGTATAGGTTCCCTTCCCATGAAGTTTGAGTATTTCTCGCTAATGTATATGAATGAAAAATTTTGTTATATATTTATGCGAACTGCGACTATAATTTGTTAAATCTATGAAAGCTTTAAACAAAATAGATTTTAATCTTATAATCGGTTAAAACTCGGATAAATTATTTACCTGAGTCTGTAACAAATGGAACAAACACAAACAAGTGAAGAAGAGAAAATGTTGAGTATTTAATTTGAAAGGTACATGAGGTAGATACATGTTTATTCTGAATTACTATAAGGATGTACTGCCGAATACAAACTTGAAACGTGACTCTGATGAAAATGATTAATAATTTTTTTTTATTCCTCCCAACTGTTCCTAAATATATATGATGTTTTATCATTATTATGTAGATATTAGAATAGAAAATGCATACTAAAATTAAGTTTAGTCAGAAAATGGTAGGGGTGAAAAACTCGGAAGACTCGTTAAGAGAAAACATTATAAACAAGACAAATTAAACGATGAAGAAAAAAAAACATTGAAAAGAGAGCAAAATAACGGGAAAAATCAAAAAGCATCGAGCCTCTGTAGAATTTAGCCTCCAGGATCATCATATTAGAATAAGAATGTTAAGACAAAGGAAACTGAGTATTTCTGGTTGTTAATAGAAAACCCATAACATTTATTAGTGCTTTTCCAAATCAGTTTAACATGTGATTGACAATATTCGTGGCAGGGGTCATAATGTGGTGTGATTTCTTTTCATTCTCTTTTGCGTTATCTATCTACAGATAATATTTAGAGAGATATATGAAGAGCTCGGTCTAAAAGGTCTATTAATGTAAACATTTCCAGTAGCCTCATACACTGACAATTCCAAAAAGCTGAATTTCCCCCAAAAGTACAAAAGTGGCATTTAAAAATCAGTTCGGTTCCAAAATGTACCGCATTGTAACTTGCATACAGTATGCAAGATTTCGGTTCCAAAAAGTACTACATCCAATTTCGGTCCCAAAGATATTCTACATCCACAAAATTAAAAAATACATAACGTCATGAATAATATTTCATTATTTATATTTCTTTCAAATAGTTGGAAATCACCAATTGAAATCATCACATGCGAAAAGTGACTACAAATATACATAGAACGTCAAATTTCTCTAACAGATACAACTTGTATAGTTTTAATAATGAAATTAGTAACAAAAAATAGTAAATGCAATCGACTTAAATTGCAATGGATTTGGTTAGTAATGCATCATGTAACGCTAGCAACCTCATCACACAATAACATGCAAAAACAACTACTTTCCTCAATATCATACAAAACCTGCGATTAAAAAGTAATAAAGTAATATATTTTTTTAAAATCTTCGGCTCATGTGACTATCGATATAAAGAAACATTTAAGAAGAAGCTGGCTATTTATTGATAATTGAAAGAAGGTTGGAAAACATGGTACGTTTAAGGCAAAACACTAAATGCATAAAACTATCTAGAAAAATCTTTGGTAAAACTGGAATGTTTATGTAATCATAGAAATGACGCCTATTTCACGCCTACTATCTACTGATATTTTTTTAAACCTTGTGATAATTTAGACAATTCTGTTGTATCAACAAAACAATTACGTGTATAAATCATTACAATAAATTAACAACATTGCAAAATATTTGTCATACGTGGTAAACCTGAATTACAACCGATTTTATTTATTTACTAGACAAAAGTTTTTTTTTTATTGAGAATTACACTGCTAATTTTCAGTATGTTCTCAGAATGAAGAGTGGTAATTTATTTTCATGACCCGGGGGAGGGGGGCGAAATGCGAGGGACGAGGGAGCATAGTGAACGAGAGGGGCAAAGGTGACGGAAGTGACTACCCCTCACCGGTTTTTGAAGTTTTGTTGTATTACAAAATTACATTCCTTAGCAAAACTATAGTACAAAAACGTAATACGGATTTTCTACAAAATTAACTTGTATATTTTAAAGAATATTATGCGAGAGTGCGTAGAGACTGACCGAGAACATGTTTGCATTTGTACTAGTCTGATCGCTACACTCTTGAGCCCTCAAGAGCCTAAAAGTGTTGCAGTCTTTAGTCAGTATTCGCTATACATTTTTGTGCGTGCACTTTTTCAAATTTTCCGGGGGGGGGGGGACACGATCCCCTCACACAAAATTGAGGGGGAGACGTGTCCCCCCTTCCCCTGAAATTGCCGCCCCTGCTCAGAATAATTAAATTTCTTGTCAGTTTAGTTGTTTCAATTCATTGTAGAATGTACATTTAAGTACTTCATGAACTTGGTGGATAATCTTCCAGTGAAAAATTCATTTCGAGAATGACTACAAATTCATTACGGGCTTTCGTTTTTACACCATTTTACTGCCAATTCTCTGTAGAAAGTCGACAGAACTCAGAATAACGCAAGTTCCAGAGTGCCTTTTCAAGATTCAAAGTTAAAAACTTTCCCCAGTTGTGACATTACTTCAATAAGAATTATTTCTACACGATTTTGACCAGTTTGGCATTAGTTCTGGTTTTCGTGTTATGATTTGAGACATACAAGAGAGCACTATTGGTGAGTATATTTGCTGCCGGGACGTCACTCATAATTAATACATTACGTATGCCATTTGCGGACGACACGACATTTCGAGTAAGTTGTTGTTGGTGCAAAAAGAAAAAGCTTGTGAGATCAATTTAAAGGCACACTGTCCTACTTGTAGCTACTTGCTCCCTCTATACAGAAAACTTCCCAAATTGGTGCCTGTTGGTCCCCCATGATCCTCTTTTTCTTATGCTAAATGAGAGCTGAGTTAATGAGATAGCCACCTGTCACAGTGACCTCGTTGGCTCGCTGTGTGGTCCAATCCCTTCTAGCTGCAGTAGTAACGCCTACCTTTAACCCCTTCCGCTCTTGATTCAACGTACATTATGTAATATGTGAATTTTATATTTTGTATTTTGTTTCAATCTTGAACTTTGTCGCTCTCACATGGCGCAAGATTGCGTCATTTCTTTAAATCCATAGAGATATGCTCGCGGTTACTTGCGTCGTTCTCCATTCCATTAGTGGAAATGGTCGGACTGTTATGTGGTCTAAGCGTGGTACGATGAGGGAATGAAAGAAGAAAGGGAAGAGAAAGGGAAGAGAAATGTTGCTGTGAAAAATAAATCAAAAGTGCATGAGCTACTAATTGAAAGAATACTGATTCCTAACTTTGGAAATGCAAGTCGACATTAAGTTTGAAGAATATGTCACTAATATGTACGTGACGTGTGTTTAAACGTAAACAATATATATTTCGAGTCCTCCTTCACCAAATAAATTGGCTTCATTAACTCAGTTAAGCTCAGTTTTGCCGTTTACATATCCATCTCGAATTGCAAGCCTCCGAACTTCTCGATAATGGAGGACTTTTAATGTCCCCGAAAATCGGGTACAACCTAAAAAAATTACTGAGTAAAATAATTGAAAATTGACTTACTCTTGTTTGTCGGAATTGAACAGGCCCGATTGCCGATGTCGCAGAAACACGAATATGCCAACGACGAGGAGTACGATAAAGATAATGGAAAAGACCACACTGAGAGCGATGACGACGGCGTTATTGTCGCCTGGGATGGGATCAATGTCTGGGTCAGCTGTAGAGTAGAGAAAGGTCAGAATCAACCGAATGGCGATATCAAACTGATATAGCGGGGTTGGTGGATGATGGGGATAAGTTGAACGAGGAGTGATTATTTCAAACGATTCGACCGCCTAGTTTCTCAACCTTGTAAATTCTACTTTGATTTAATCATGCCTCATGTTCCGATTCCCCAGAAACGATCTCCAATTTTCTGCTTTATCTACATCCCTTCTCCCGTCCACCACTCCTTCTCTGTTTGAATACACCCCGCGAACTTAATTGACACTTTCTACTTTTCAGGTTTTTTTCTTTCTTTCTTGATGAATGCTCATAACTGTGTCATACCCTTAAATCAAGGTGATTTAAGATGTGTGTGTTCACTTTTCACATTATTTTGATTTATATAACGGGTATGGTTCTTTTTCTCTGTCGATTACTCTTTCTTTCCCACTCTCACTTTCTCCTACTCCAAAATTTCCACTCACGGCTCTTTTTTTTTATTCTTGTTCAGACCACGTACATTCACACACACACACACACACACACACAAACAACCCCACGATTTAGGGTACGGGTGTGCATGTTCCCTCCCTCTGAAAGCATCCCCCTATCTCTGGTGTTTAAAGTCAATGTAATTGGGAACACGAGTGCGGTCCCTGCGACCCGGGAGTGGGTGGCCAAGACACAATCACGTACATCATTCTTCGAAATCGATTCTTTTCAATGAACTTATTTTGATGGCACACGACGACGTAATAGATGGCTGTAAACATCGAAACGAATCTTTGTTCAATAGCATTAAAGGTACTATGTCCCTTTTGCAGCCAACCTCAAATTCTGTAGAACTTAGAAATTATGAATATGTCATGTATGTCCTGTCTGTGAAATTTAAACGTTAGCAGTGTCCTAATATTCAAATTATGCAAGGAAACATGTTTACTTGCTAGACTTTACTGTCAGACACTATTGACTGGCTATTTTTCTTCTTTGGTAATAACATGTACATAAAATGAGCCGTAAAGGGTACATGATTATTGTCTACATCAATAACCCACTTCTTGTGATGACCAAAATTAAACTGATTGAATCATTGCGCAGCATAAAACGTATGAACATTCGGACAATGGTCTGAAAATCAAGACTATTACTTATTGGCTCTATAGCTCCTAAGTCGATTTGACAACTAATAGTCGTTATTTTCACACTTGAAGACATTTTCAAGCCCCGACATAGTACCTTTAACCCTTGGTCTTGGAGGTTAAGTCTTTTAACATTTTCCCATCAAAGTGACTGGTTTACAGACGATTATTGCGCGCTAAATGCTCGTCACGGGCACGACCACACATAGGGTGTAAGACATGGGAAGTGATACTCACTGGTGCAGGTCGGGGCGCCGCTGCTCCACACCGCGTCTCGGCATACCGATTGATTGGCGCCGTTCATGGTAAACCCTTCCTTGCAAGCAAATGTCGCTGTTAGGCCATCTTCGCTGAGAGAGATCGAGCCATTGGCTGGTGTGTCCAGGACGCCGCATGACGAGTCTGCAAATAAAAGTGAACAACGTATTTTGACATTTGGTATCTTCCCATGACACAGGGTGTAAGGATGACGTACCCCTCCCCCCCCCCCCCACTCAAATCAGTTTTTTCACAGCGACGCAAGTGCTAACTACGGGGTATTTAAATGAGCTCGACACCCCGTACCAGCTCTACTCTCGAAGCTAATACGGCTAAGTACCGTCGTAGGTTTGGACGCTACGCGGAAATTTTCGATCTGAGTGCGACCCCCCCCCCCTCCCCCCCCCCCGCTAAGATTAGCGTTGTATAAGGCCGCGTCGCCGGTCGCGAAAACTCGCTAGTGTTATTTAGGGTACGCGTATGCATGTTCCCTCCCTTTGAAAGCTTTCCCTAAGTCCGGTGTGTAAAGTCAACACGTGCCGATTTTATATGTATTACGCCAGGAGTCGGACGTTGTTGCGTGAGAAGTATCACCGTTTACCGGAAATTTTTGGAACATGAATGCGGTCGCTCCTTTTCCGGAGTGTGGAGCGAGTTGACGTATTCCTTCAGTTTTAAAGACACATCAAGCATAGGATGTAAGTGCGACGTGGGAGATAATACTCACCGGTGCAATTTGGGGCGCCGTTGCTCCACACCGCGTCTCGGCATACCGATTGATTGGCGCCGTTCATGGTAAACCCTTCCTTGCAAGCAAATGTCGCTGTTAGGCCATCTTCGCTGAGAGAGATCGAGCCATTGGCTGGTGTGTCCAGGACGCCGCATGACGAGTCTGCAAATAAAAGTGAACAACGTATTTTGAAATTTGGTATCTTCCCATGACACAGGGTGTAAGGATGACGTACCCCTCCCCCCCCCCCCCACTCAAATCAGTTTTTTCACAGCGACGCAAGTGCTAACTACGGGGTATTTAAATGAGCTCGACACCCCGTACTAGCTCTACTCTCGAAGCTAATACGGCTAAGTACCGTCGTAGGTTTGGACGCTACGCGGAAATTTTCGATCTGAGTGCGACCCCCCCCCCCCGCTAAGATTAGCGTTGTATAAGGCCGCGTCGCCGGTCGCGAAAACTCACTAGTGTTATTTAGGGTACACGTATGCATGTTCCCTCCCTTTGAAAGCTTTCCCTAAGTCCGGTGTGTAAAGTCAACACGTCCCGATTTTATATGTATTACGCCAGGAGTCGGACGTTGTTGCGTGAGAAGTATCACCGTTTACCGGAAATTTTTGGAACATGAATGCGGTCCCTCCTTTTCCGGAGTGTGGAGCGAGTTGACGTATTCCTTCAGTTTTAAAGACACATCAAGCATAGGATGTAAGTGCGACGTGGGAGATAATACTCACCGGTGCAATTTGGGGCGCCGTTGCTCCATACCGCGTCTCGGCATACCGATTGATTGGCGCCGTTCATGGTATATCCTTCCTGGCAAGCAAATGTCGCTGTTAAGCCATCTTCGCTGAGGGAGATCGAGCCATTGGATGGTGTGTCCAGGACGCCGCATGGCGAGTCTGCAGGTAAAGGTAAACAAAGTATTTGCACATATTGTATCTTCCCATGACACAGGGTGTAACCGTGTAAGAGTGACATATACCCCCCCCCTCCCCCACTCAGTAATAATTTAGGGTATGCGTATGCATGTTCCCTCCCTTTGAAATCACCCCACTAAGTCCGGTGTGTTTAGTCAATAAAGGCCGATTTTGGGGGTGTATTATTAGTCGGAATGTGTTGCGTGAAAAGTACCCTTATACCGGAGATTTTGGGAACATGAATGCAGTCCCTCATTTTCGGGGGGGGGGGGGGTTGACGTATTCCAAAAGTTTTAAAGAACCTCAAGAATTTGGTGTTTTATTCCACCATACAAGTAACTACGTACTATATCGACATTAGCACCATTTTCAAAAGTAATTATGTAGCGTCTCATACATTCGCACTTTTATTGTACGTTTATGTTCTCCGTAATTTTCCATTACGCAACTTATTTATATTCATTTATTCGGACCACGTGCGTTCATCCCTCCAATCGCGCATCGTGGTTCCCCGCATCGTTCAACCCGCGTATTTTCAACACCACGATAACACCACGAGGTTTTCTTCACTCCTGCTACCACCCAGTCGAGTCAACAACTCCTGCTAACATCTTCAGTTGAGTCAATACGCCTCCATGATCTTCTCTCCGCACTCGAGATCCTTCCGTGCCTCATGCACCTCTTGCATGACACGCCAACCTTTCCTCTGCCGTCTACAGCGGGATGGCAGTTTTCAAGTGGAATGTTTTAATCAGGACCGACTTGACGCTCGATTCTCCACTGGGAGCTGTCAGAACTTCGTTCCGGTAGCTCTTATTACACATGAGCTCGACTTACCGTAGCTCGCCTGAACATTCATCAATGAGTTAGACCCACCGCAGCTCTGATGAACTTCACCTCAAAGTTCGGCTTATCCGACATCAGCGACTCACTGCTTTGTGCTGGCACCGACTTTGTCTTCAACATTTTCTTCCTTGGCCTCCGACATCAAGCGACTCACTGCTTCGTCATTGAGCGCCACACGTTTCTTCTCTTCTCTTCTCTTCTCGTCTGAGAGTTTATCATCATCATCACGAGCGTCAGCGTCGAGATCACATTCTGCACGGCTCTTCAGCCACGACCACAAAGCTAAGTCTCAGTCTGTAAGCCTCCGCATCATCATCGCGTGAGCCCCTTCCTTCGTTCTTCACATGCCATCATCTTCGTCTGACTTTCGACGTCATCTCTACTCTGTCGTAAGCTTAATTTACTCATTGCATTTATTCATGTTCATGTCCATCTCGTGTATTATTTGTTTGTTTGTTTGTTTTGTTTTATTTCCACTTTTTCATATCAATACAAAGAAACATACAAATAAATATGGTGAATAGCAAGTAAGTTTGACAAAATTTGTTTCTAGTTAAAATAAAAGTTTCATACAAAAGGAAAAAGCAGGAGACCACATGTCGTAAGCGAAAATGCTTGAACATGACTGTGGCCTCTGCCGAGTTAACAAAATAAAAGAAAACCATGCAACTGCATTGTATTCGATGTAAAATAAGATATAATTGAAGTGATTAAGAGTGAGCATGGCTGAATTAATTTTGAGCGAAAATAACTAAACAAATTTAGTGAAATATTTCGTGTTAAGAAGTGCATTTGTGCAAGGTGCAAAAACTTAGCTTGGTGGAATAAAAAGAGACTAATACCGTGATATTAATTGTGTGTTGGTTTCAGTAATGCTATGGTCACATTACCCAAAAGTAGTCTGCTCGGCGGCCGAGCGGCGAGTTTTTAACCAATTCTGCCCGGCGGCTGGCCGGCCACCGAGCGGCGGCCGCCCAGGCACCGCTCGTTTTTAGGGCATCGCTCGGTCGCCGCTGAAGTTTTAGCGCGGAGTTAAAATTTGGGCGGCGCCTGCTCACTTTTCACTCGCCGCCCAAAATACGCTCGGTGCCTGGGCGGTCGCCGCCCGGGCACCGACCTAATCGCTGGGCGATGCCTAATTCCAGCAGCGACCGAGCAGGCTACTGATCGGTCGGTCGCTGCTCTGATTTGTGACCATAGCTTTACGGGTGATAATATTAAATGTATGCAGGGTCCATTCCTGTTGACAAACAAAGACAGAACAATTCAAGACATAACAATTCAAGACAAATTTGCCAATGTATCTCCGTGCAATATTCTGATTTCTCACTCATGTAATTCTTATTCTGATCGAGTCATTTATTTGCCTGACTTCACTTGTTTAGTCTGCTTTATTTAAAGGGAATACAGTTTATCACGTATTTTATTACCAGTGCAACCTTGTTTCCTCGTAGCTAAAGGATAAAAAGAGTTATGTTGTGTGATAAGTGAATACGCTTTCCAATTTCCATTCACAATTCATCCACACAATTAATCATTCTACAGTTACTCAATTTTGAATATATCAAATCTGAACCCTACGTTATCAGAAATTATACAATTTCGTAAGTAAAGATATTAAACAAAAATGTAGACCCCATAGCTTTTACAACTAATGTTCATCACAAAAATCTGATTTGCCATGCAGACTAGTGGATACCACCCCCCCCCCCAAACCAAGCAACCTAAACAGTACTTAAATTCTTTAAATCATGGCAGTGTTTCAATCACAATCACGCACACCATTCTTCGAAATTGATTTTGTGTTAATGTACTTATTGTGATGATGCAGATGACGAAATCGATAGGTGTAAACATGCAAACGAATCCAGCAGCTCAATAGCATTAACCCATGTTCGTGGAGGTTTAGTCTGTTAACATTTCTTCTTCAAAGTGACTGGTCACAGATATTTATCGCGCGCCAAATGCTCGTCACGGGCACGACCACACATAGGTTGTAAGACATGGGAGTTGATACTCACAGATACAAGTCGGGGCGCCGCTGCTCCACACCGCGTCTCGGCATACCGATTCACTTCCGCCGTTCATGGTAAACCCTTCCTGGCAAGCAAATGTCGCTGTTAGGCCATCTTCGCTGAGGGAGATCGAGCCATTGGAGGGTGTCTCCAGGACGCCGCATGACGACTCTGTAAATACAAGTAAAAAAAGTATTTGAACATTTTGTATCTTCCCATGACAGGGTGTAAGAGTGACGTATTCCCACAGTTTTAAAGAAACCTCAAGCATTTGGTGTTTTGTTACATCATACAAGTAATTACGTACTAAAATCGTCATTACCACCATTTTCTAAATCAGTTACTCAATTTTGAATATATCAAATCTGAATCCCATGTACAATTTCGTAAATAAAGATGGTAAACAAAAATGTAAACCCCATAGCTTGTCTATTGGTCTCGAACCCGGGTCCTCCCGGTTACGAGACCACTACTCTACCACTGAACAATCGCGCCCCCTTTATGCAAGTCTTTGCGATCATGATACGCTAATCACTCTTACCAATGCATGCGTTATCGCCTGTTGATCCGGTCCACATCAAGCTTCCCTCCTCTGCGCTGTACGCACATCGCTTGTAGGATGACCCGACCATAATCAAGCCCTCGTCACAGGTGAATGAGACCTCGGCGTCCTCGAAGTATTTATTCGAATCTGAAGAGTACGTCTTCGTACCATTATAGGGTGTAATTTGATATGGACATGCGTCGACTGTGGAGAAAAAAAATAGTTCATAGATTTGCATATTTTCTACGAGTAAGTCCAGAGTTGTGGAATTATATTAGGAACATTCCGAAGTATTTTTCGAATCTGACGAGTTGGTCTGTGTGACATTGTAGGGGGAAGGGGGGGGGGGGGGGGGGGAGTAATCGAATATAGACACGAGTCGACTGTGGGAGAGAAAAAATACCGCCATTCATAGAAATGCCACAATAAAATGGTTGCACTAGGTATAAATGACACTTCATTTCATATTCCTATTTCTTACATAGTTTTTAAAGGGCTAAAAGCGTCTTCGATTTCGGATGTATTCATTGCTTGCCTTCATCATAAAGGTGCACATTAAGTCTCAGTGCAGATCCGCTACTTTTCATATTTTCTCTCTCAACTCACTTTTTCTAATATTTTCAGAGCTGCTCTCGAAGGCTTCGAAGGCACCCAGCGTAGCCATGGCAAGCTGTACGTCATCGTTAGACACCTCATAGTCGAACAGACACTGGCTGACCTCGTTACAGGCCGGGTACAGGGTGGGGAGGTTGACGTTCATAAGGGGTACGAAGGTCGAGTTGTGGTAATCGACGTGGGTGAGGCCAGACACATAACGGAAAAGGCTGTAGTCAGTTTCGATCTCCCCTGGAAGGTTGAAGAACAAAGTGGTAGATCCTCATCATATACATGTCTGGACCTTACTGTTCACGGATCTAAGTGGACAACAGTGTTCACTTAGATCCTTTACCAGACAAGTCCTCCACCCTATTTCACAATTAATGACATATACCCAAGCTTTAATAATCTGATGATTCAAAGTTCCTTGTAATCAGAGAGTATGTATGCATAAAGGTTCAATTCTGTTGTACAATTTATGACGAGGATGGAGGATGAAACTACGAAACGTGTCCCATTCACTCAAGTGTTATATGTTTTTCAATGTTTTTAGTATAAACACTGTTAACAATCAATCCTGTTTAATCCAAAAACTTTGTCAAATATTGAAAAATATTGTTACACAATCTTTACATTCGAGAATTTCACACCGTTAAAGGAAAAAAAAAATTCAGCCTTTTAAACGTTGTCTCTCTCTCTCTCTCTTTCTCTCTCTCTCTCTCTCTCTTATATCGTTTTAATGGTCTAGCTTTTCATGTATAAAGGGGTCTACATATATCCATTGGTATATTTCTGACAATATCAATACATTTATGTCAGGGTTTCCATCAAAATCGTGATCAATAAATTACACCATTGTTCGATTGAATGCAATCTAATAAATCATACATGTTTGACCGAACTGGAATATCTCTTCATCGGTCGGGTCATCAAGAGGGTTGTTATTGTTTCTGCTCGTCAGGTCGTTGCTAGGGTCACCATCCATGTTGCCTAGCAACCCAGACAGATGATCGCTCTACGAAAGAAAAAGATTATTTACGAATTAATAAAGAGTTACCACATGAAGTCAAATGCATACTTTGAGAAAGTCTGTTGTATGTTTATTTAAAGTCAGTCCTCGAAGGAATTTGCTGAATTCTGTAGTTGACCAAGAGGAAGAGGTAGTTGTCCAGAGATACTTGACCTAAGGACACAGTTTGCTAGAGATAATTATTCTAGGGTTGGATCCTGATAGAGTAGTTTTTCAGGTAGTAATTTTCCCAGTTATTTCAGACTATCCGATCGTTTTTTTTCTCAGGTTTAGCCAGATCATTATTAATACGGCTAATATGCAATTAACTGCAATTATTATTACCTAGGTAACCTTTCATACCAGGTAAATAGTGGGAAATCAATGTCTTGCCAAAGGACATTAGTGACATGCAGGGGTTCGGACCTTGAACCCCTTGGATTGAGAGTCAAGTGACTAAACCACTATATGCCGACAACCCTTAGTTGCTCTGACACAACTAACACCACATATATGATGCTTACATTTAACTTTGAAGGGAGGATCGGTCGTACAGCAAGCATTCCATAGTCGTAGGTTACGTAGACCCCGATGCCGGTTTCTTTAAACATGACGACCACACCGTAGATTTCGACATCGCGCTCAAACCTTGTGACATCCACGGCACACCCTGAAAAATGTGAAGACAAAAATCAAATGACACTCATGGCACATCCTGAAAAATTTGAAGAAAAAAAATTAATTGATCATTCATCGTTCCCTTTTGAAGATTTGTTTTGAAATAGGATAATTGTTCTTCTTGGATTCCGTTAAGTCCGAAGTGTCTTCCAACGAGTTATTGTGATTTATTTAAGTAGGCCTATCATGTATAAACGAGTAAAAATATGCCGTTGACTTGATAAACTTAGATTAAGCTTACAGGAGACAAAAGCTGGAGACAGCTTTTGAGGGTATACCAGATCTAGGCCTTCTATCAGCAATGCTTCCAAAAAGATCTGTCATTATGCCATTGCATGAAGAACACTCGATCACCAAAGTTCTAGAAAGGTTCTCGATCTCCTCCTCACCTTGTAAATCGGTGAAGGTCTGCTGTGAGAAGTACACCGATTGCCATTCGCCGTTTTCATCCATGCTCCTCCTGTAGACGTCCATTCCGCTGGTTGCGCTCGCCTCAACGAAGATACTGTCCGAGCCGCTGTCCTTCATTGCTACCGACGACAGCTGTGTAACGTCTACCTGTTGACCTGGTGATTTGATTTGAAATGGAAAAGGAAATGGTTATTTATGCGGATGTGATTGGAGTGATTTGATTGTAGCATTGGTGTAGTTTGATTTGATTTGACTGATTTTAATTATCATATGATTTCACTGATCATGCTGATGCCGGCAATAGCGAAATAGATGGTGTTCATGGAAAGCTTGTGTTTTGGGAAATAAAGACACGAAATTGAATTACTTCTGATGTGTACAGAATCGTATCAATATCATTCCATTTGCATAGGTGCACTATCTTACCATTCCTATCCATAGTCTTTATCTGCCTTGCTTGAAGCTCAAAGTCAGAAGCACCGGTCTTTGTCCCACTTGTAGCGTAACGGAGAAGGGTAAACTCGCCTAAACCATTGAATGTATAGTTGTACCTATCCATCGTGATGAAATGGGGATCTCCAAACGATAATGCTTTAAAAGAAAGGGGAAAATAATTAAACACTTCGATTGTCTCTCTAAACGTTCGCTCGTTTTAAACACGTGCACATTTTCACAAAATGATAGGAACCAATTGACGGAAGAATTGCTTTATGCAACACATTGGCTTTGCAGAATTACTCATTTCTGGTTTTGATTGGCTCCATAAATCATTTCACACCTGCAGAATCTAATCTGGCACTGGAATGATTTATAACGAAATCTTTTAGCCTTTGGTATATATATATATCAACACTGTCCCTTTGATTGGTTTGATATTTTTGGCGGTAGTAAAGACTTGTTTCTTTGTTTCAGTTATATATACAGTAACAGCAATTTTTATTCCCCTGCAGTTATATCTCAGATGCCATTTTGTTTTTCTTATCATGGTGAGATATCTTACAACAAACACTTCGAATTGGATTCAAATCATGCATGATTGGAAAACATGAACATAACATATGTTGGGACGAACGTTGGCCTGAAGGGATTATGTTCCCGCTATGTCAGCAAGTATGAAAGCCTATGGGGGTCATAGTTTCCAAGGGCTGTGGCTTTGGACCAACCGGTTGTTGGGAAGGCTTGTGGGACTTCAATTCGATTCAATTCAATTCAATTCAATTTATTTCTCCACAGATGCAAATCATAGGAAGATACATAAAACAAAATACATACATACAATACAATAATAGAACATGTACATCATACATGTGTATATAAAACAACTACATATGGAGCAATGTATGTTTTAACAAGAAAAAAATCAGCAAAATGTTGAAGGGGTAGTCAAAAATCAAAAATGATTTTTCGAGGACTACCCCCCCCCCCCCCCAGCATGTGGACAGACGTAAACAATGTGACACATTCAATAAAATGGTTGTAGTTCACAAGGCAGACAATGTCGGGTTCACAGGCCTTCGGAAAGATAGTTGTGATGGTTCGCGAGACCGGCAGCCGACGTGACGACCTCGTTGTTCTTCCCAAAACTTTTCTGAGGTTCTACGTGACCAAGACTCTTGGTCTTGTAGGCTGTCAATATCTGTAGCCATCGGTCTTGCGGATTGTTGGTCTACTGGAATGTCTATCAAGCTATTCTAGAAGGCCCTGCTGAAAAGTAGGATTCAGCTGAGAACAGGCTTTTTATAAACCGTGAATCACTTTTAAAAATCAAACTCAAATTCAATCCCACCTCTTGCAAGAGAGTCACCTACCGTTATTTGGGGGTTCGTAAATGGCGCAATCGGTGGTAGGTCTCAAGGTGATGTAGTCGAAGCATTCCTTCTCCTCAGCCCACTCACAACAAAAGTGTTTGGCGATGACGTCATTAGACCAATGGGACAGTTCCGGGACTAGGTTCCTCGCCATGTAGGGGCTGGAACCTCGAATATGGGACCGACCGGCCATACCGGCATACATGGTATCCCCGGAGTGCATCAGGAGACGGTTGGCATCGTAGCAGCATTTGGTTCCAGACATTGGGCTAAGATCAGAGCAAAATAGTTATTATATTAATAATCATGATAATAATATGAATAGTGATAATAATAATAATAATAAACAACTAGAAATGCAATCGTGTCACAAAGATGTGCGTGCAATTACGCCATGTTTCTACGTGTCAAACGAAAGAGCTTCTCTCGGACTATCCAGAGCAATTTGTACGAATTCTGTAGCTTCTGTAATATTGGAGATAGGTCGGGCGAAAGAAAGGCCTCAACAGTGACCTTGATGGGATGGTAGTGACTATGCCTACGAAGTTTGAAAGAAATTGGGATAGGGGAAAGAACCTAGAAAGGGCTCGTAAGCACTGCGTGCAAAAACCATTGGGATTTGGTGCATGTTCGTCATTGCAATCAAGATCGTTCTGGAGGCCAAAAGCGTGAACCCGATATGCCCCATAGACAATTCACGTAATGCATGCGCGGAAAACGTACAGGATCTGTATTATGACCGGAGTTAAACTGTTTTTTCTCTCTCTCTCTTTATGTCTCTTTATGGGCCGTATTTGGTATCATTAGAAAAAACATTTCATGGTTGTTATTGTAAGGGGAGGCTTCCAAAGTTGCGACTGTGCCGCGACGCGTCGGGGCGCAGAGCAGGATATGAGAACAAAGGAGGCGCCTTATTGCGCCCATTTGCGCCTTTTTGCGTCGGATACGAGAGGACTTCAGTTGGTTGCCAGCTCATTAAAATCTGGCTATTGTTTGGCGTCTCATTGTTACGAAATTACCCCGCCGGGGCGCGCCCCGGTGAAGCACTTGACATTTGTGAATGGGAGCGTAAACTTTGAATAGCTTTCGCGCCCTTTCGCGCCCGGTCCGGCGCATTAGTTATTCATGTAGTGCCCGCTTGTGTGTCGCTCTCGTCTTGCGAGATTTGACTCTGAAAAGCATTACTTTGGCTACTGATTTGTTTTAATATTATTTTACGTACATGACATTGGTTACAATGTTTATTCTGATTTTTTTTTTTTACTCTCAACATCGGAGTTCTGTAGGCGTTAACGTTGGCATGATTGTTCATTATTCATCTCCTCCTGTTCTGTTCATGATTGTGTTCAATATATCAATTTTAATACAAATTGATTTGTTCACGAACAAAACAACTTTATTTTATACTTACCCCACTCTCTCTGACATTGTTTTCCTCGTGCATGTTTTGACACTTTATTTGTTTCATATTACATTAAAATTGTGTATATTTCCTCTAGCGATGTTATCGCATGTTTCGGTTTTCTTGTTTTGTTTTCTTTAATTTTCGTTGGATCTTGTAAACAGTTCTGTCGTATGATCATTATAAATCATATAATTATATCATCAGTCTGTTATTTCAATACATAGATCCTTTAAATCTTCTTAAACTTAGAGAACGTATTTTTAAATCCGTGATGTTGAAAATGATACTTAATCAAGAATGTCGTAAATTCTCCTTGAATTGGATTTAGATTTAGTATGTTTCGTTAGAAGGAAGACGCTCATTTTCAGAATGTTCTTTCTTTGCAAAACACTAATGTTACGAACAAAATAAAATACACTGTACCCGTATCATCGGGGATATCGCAAAACTCCCAGGGAGATTATCAATTGCAAATCAACATTGTAAATTATGCCTAAATCGTAAGAATAGAGCATGCATTAAAAAAAAGAGAGTTACCAGGAAATGATGTTTGAAATTTCACCTCGAACATATCTCAAGAAGAAATTAGTTTATCATTCTGTTCCAAAGAATTGTATCGAATATTTCTTTGCGAAGAAGGGGGAGGGGGGGGGGTTACATCCGCGGCCAGTTTTAGATCCAGGTCATTGTTGAGAAGAACTAAAATACGTATATATTGTGCTGAATTGTTCTAGATTCGTTCTAGAACAAATACAAACCATGGCAATTCGTTGAATTGCTTCTCGTAACAGAACTGTCTCACTGTCTAAATAAGGATCCATCCAGGGGATCTATCATGCACGTGTTGGTATCAAGTAGTAAACGGAATTAATAATGATTGCGTTGTTTTGGGGCCATTTTTTTTATTCTTTTATTTATTTATTTATTCATTTTTTTTTTTGGGGGGGGGGGTGGTGGCTAGCCCTTATTCTTCTTCTACTGGGTCATCAAGAAACACAAATAGTGTTGAAATTTTCCGCAATCCCTTTAGCGCCGAGGGTAGAAAAAGCCTATAGAAAAAGCCTATAGAAAAGTCAGCTGCATGGACAATAGCAATTTAATGATGGTCAAACAATCAGGGAGAAATACTCGGCAAACAGATATTAGCCCACGTCTTCAATATAACCAGGGAATCCCGATATAACTAAGCACATGCTCACAATATGAATATCAAATCTGGCTATTGTTTGGAGACTCATTGTTACTGTCTGGTAAAGGGGTACTTTTCACGCACCAAGGTCCGGCTCGTCTAGTACACACAAATCCGGCCCGTATTGACTTTACACACCGGACTTAGGGGACTGTTTTCATAAGGAGGGAAAATGCATATGCGTACCCTACATAACACTCATTGGGGGGGGGGGGGGTGGGGCGGTGCGCTTAACGGCGAAGCGCTTTTTGTGAATTGTGAATTTTTGAATGGGAGCTTAAAGAAAAGCCTACGCATTATTTATTCATGTAATCCCCGCGTGTGCGTCCGCTCTCGTCTTGAAAGATTTGACTCTAAAATTTGCACTTTGGCTACTGATATGTTTTATTATTATTTTACGTACAAGACATTGATTTAGATTGTTGTTCTGATTGTTTATTTCCCTCCCAAACATCGAAGTTGTGTAGGCGTTGACGTTGGAATGACTGTTCATTTCTGTTCATTAATGTGTTCAATACTTGTATTATATTAATTTGTTCACGAACAAAACAAAAACGATATGTATAATTGTATTCCTTCTGTATGTTTTGACACATTATTTGTTTCATATTACATTTATTTTGTTCTGTCATCCGATCAAAATAGGTCATATATCTATATCATCAATCTGTTCTTTCTCATGCAAGATCGATTTAAAGAACAGAAACGTAGGTTCTCTAAATCTTCGCAAAATTAGCTATTGTATTTCAAAACCCGTGATTTAAAAATGATACTTATAATCAAAGAGATTGAAAGATTCTGCTTGAAATAAGATTATAGGGCGTTTATAAATATGTCATACGAAACAAACAAACATCTGCAAATTAACGATATTACAAAAATGATAGTCGTATTGTCGGGAGCCTGCATCATCAAAACGTTTCGGTAGATGGAACAATTCGAAATCGCCTATCGGTTCCAAACATGAAATTCGATCGAATATTTCTTCGCGAAGAAACTGTATTGGTGGTGGCATTTGTAGTAACAATTTCTTGTCGTCAATTGTTCGTGACGTTTTGACGTTTCATATTTGTTAGCTAGCGCTAGTAAAGTCTTTTGTTTTAACGCGCACTGTTTATAGTTATAAGGCCTGAACACTTTAAGTTCACATTGGGTGTTATATAGCATACGGATATTATAGTACATGTAACTCTTACAAGCACTTTGTTATTGCAACGCAATGACAAAAGACAGCTCTTTGAGCAGCTAATAGTTGTTGCGCCCATTGTTCCGCTCATAGGCGGCTATTCCCAATTACCGAGCATTATTTGTTATTGTATCATTAGTTAAATTTATTAATCTATTCATGTTTTCTATTTATTTATTTATTTAGTTCTGGGGAGGGGGATGTCGAATTACGGATTCATGACCCTTATACATAATGACCATGTTCTCAAATTACGAATAGCGGTCTTCATGAATAGTTGTCCAGTGAATAGCGGTCCTTATAACTAGCGAGCGGAGCCCTCCTGATGGGCCTCTGCCATTTTGGTCCGGCCGTTCACTTCGCCCCCCCCCTCCCTCACACACACATAATACGCAGCCTTATTGTAGCTAAACAAGAATATATAGCAAGTCGGACAATTATAGCGATCAAACAATAGCCTTGATCGGCCGCGTGAAATCCTGCCACGGCATTCTATCCTTTTACCTTTAGAGCGAACTTTTCTTTTGTATTCGCTCCATAGAACTCTACTTTATCTTACAGCGAGGTGAAATGAAAAGAGCGTCATCATGAGTAGTTCTTTTGTTTGATGTTATCCTTCTTCTCCCTAGTTAAGTCAAACCTTCAATTTAGGCCTATCCATAAGGTAGCTTCCTGTACCGTTCGCTTTTTTTTCCTGACTGCTATATGAAGCATGTGTATGCTCCGAATTAGGCAAACAGGGGACCGGCGCGGTTTAAGACCTCTCCGAACGAAATGAAATGTTGAGTTATGCCTTACCATAGCATATCGACTTGGTTTCTAACCAGGGAGCTCCCGGTTACGAGTTGCTCTGCTCTACCACTAGGCTATAGCGCCTCCCTCCTTTTAAAAAGATCTTTTAAAATTTGCCCCTTTTTTTTTTAGAATAAGAATCAAAACATGTTTTGTATGTTTTTGTATCTGTGCATTATGATTTCAAAATGTCACTTTCGCCACTTAATTATACAAATCTACGAATAAATGATTCGAATGTTAGAGCAGAAATCAATGTTTGTATTTGTGTCCCTGCCCGTTTTGCGATCATTTAGTACATATAGTGCAAAGTAGAAGTCGAATGATAAATTATCACCATGAACTGATTAATGTTTTGTATTGCATTTCCAATTGCTGCTTAACTTTATCACCATCAGGCTACGCTTTTTGTTTACATCTTCATGATACACATGTTTTATAATCTCGATATAGTTCCCGGACTCTTTTTTTCTATTTATTCCACTTTTAAAAAGAGCTATGGAATTATTATGATTAAAAACGCCTTTTGGACGGGCAATTTTCGAAGGCAAATCTCGGGCGTGAAATCCTGCCACGGCATTTTATGATTTTTCCCTGAGGGCACTTAACAAAATATACATTTTTAGCGTCCCCGCCTGGTTCCTTTTTGGGGGCCGCCTCCTATTTCTTATTTTTGTGGAAATTTGTTTTAATTTTTTTTTTAATTTTTTTTTTTTTAAATAATTAAAAAAACAACATGAAAAACACTGCTAAAATTGATCTATAACTGATTTTTTTTTTTAAATTAAATATATCATCCTTGTTTTCATGAAGTGACGGTAGTGAGGAAAATCGTAACGCAAAGTGAATGCAATTTTTTCACTACCGTCACTTCGTGAAAACAGCGACGAAATGTCGGCGGCCATATTTAAAAATAGCCCGACTGTCAGGGAAAATGTACCGAGCGGCCATTTTGAGCGGCCATTTTGAAGAAAAAAAAAAAAAAGAGGGCCTCCCCCTACCTATTTTTCGAAAAAACAGGACGCTAATAAAATATTTTTATATTTTTTATTTGGCCTTAGAGTGAACTTTTCTTTTGTATTCGCTCCGTAGAACTCTACTTTTATCAAACAGCGAGGTGAAATGAAAAGAGCGTCATCTTGAGTAGATCGTTTGTTTGATGTTATCCTTCTTATCCCTAATGAGCAAACCTTCAATGTATTAGAACCAAGTCATGGGAGGAGAAAAAAAGCAAGATTTGACTGACAAAATATAAATTCTTCCAAGCTCAGGCTGTGGCGATGTGCAACGCGTAGCGTGAATATGAATGACGGGAGAGAAAGATAAATCCTTTGTCCATTATTAACGACGCTAGAATCATATCGCGATGTGGGAATTATACAAATATGTTGATAATCATTCAAATTACAAACATACACAAGCGACCCAAACAGTAATCAATTTGCCGACTATAACGGCATACATGTAGTCATTCACACCATTCGTCTTTAATTTTGTTTTTGTTGGGGACAATTAAGCTCGCAATTAAACAACCATTAATCGTACATAGTCATCTTTATTTCACATTTCATACAGTCGTCACAAAAATTAAAAGGAGGCGTATAAAACCCCAACAAAAATAAATCATAATTTATTCTGATCAAGATGAACGAGTGTGTTGATTGCCCCCCAAAACAAAGACGATCCCACCAGACAAGTTCATGCTGTGCTGTAGCAATGTACATCGCAAAGCTTCGCCACAATGATTGGAAAGATAATACCCCGCCCGTTACGACGCAAAACGGCGCGAGAAGAATAGATCGCGACGCGAGAAGAATACATCATTTTTTTTTACAAACAATGGAATGTTTATCAGAACGAAAACCGGAGGAGGGGAAGACAGGCTTTGACCGACAAATACTTCCTGTATATCAAGTTTAAGCTGTACCGCGCATCACGAGCGAGAACAATGACGGGAGAGATAATCTTCCATCGCCTGGTGGGGCGCAAAAGGGCGCAAGAAGAATAGAGCGGGTTTATACCAACAATAGACAGTTTCTTTTCATATGCAAGAAACAGGTGAGGGTGACTATTGCGCCCCTTCGCGCCCCTTTGCGCCTCAATGCGTCTCTTGGGACGCGACTGTTCTATTCATCGCGCCCCGACGCGTCCGGGCACAGTCGCAACTTTGGAAGGCTCCCCTAAACAACTCTCTTGTTTCTATGATAATCCTATCGAAACACGTGATGTAAAATAGATTTATAGGACAAAATGGCGTCTTAAATTTCAAAAATTCGGCCACTAGGTGCCCTGCGTATTGGAACTCCGCATGTTACTGCAAATGTTCAAGGAAAAAAAAAGGACGTGTAAGGGGCGAAAAGCAGTCTGAAAAATGACGTCATAGCCGATACGTGTTAGATTCGGGCGGAAACTCGGCGGAATTCGTGTAGTGACCTTTGTTCAAATGCGATTTACTCACAATTTTCTGTGTGAACATATACTATACTTGGTATTACTCAATAGGGCACTACATTGCGGTCAGTTTGAAACCATTGTTATCTGCGCGCAATGTATTGCACGCATTGAACGCGCTATTACATAGTAAATTCATCATTTTTGGCGATAACTTTGCGCTGACACAATCGAATTTTACCAAACCTGACAGACAGTTGTCACGTATATGGATACATGTATCTGCTGAGTTTCATTGACGTAGGCATAAAGATCGTAATTTTAGAGTAAGATGAAGTTATTTCTCAATTTTCTTGAAAACTGCATATTTGGAGGGCATTTTTCTCAAATTTGGTCAGTGTTAGCGTATATAATTTTGTATATGGCTGGAATGGGCATATGTTCAAGTATCTAAATCCAAAAAAAGGTACGGGTTTGCCAAGACACAATAGAGATACGGCCACAGAAAGAAAGCCAATTCCCAGAACTTTAGAGGGCGCTATTTATGTTTTGCATATCCATTGGAGCGTGAAATTTGGCATGGCTATGTGCAATTATGAGATATAGATACTGTGAGATTTAAATACAAAACGGAATTGATATCAGAAAGTTATGGCAATTATAGAATTTTAGGGGTCAATTTTGCAAGAATATTAATTATTTTTGACGGAGTCGGTTTCAGATTTAAATTTCGAGTACGAAGATGGCATTTTGAAGGTCAGATAATGAGTAGCAGATAAAAGAACATCTCTTAGACTATCTAGAGGAATTTGTTAGAAGTTTGTAGGATCTAGGATAGTGGAGATAGGAAGGAAGAAAGAAAGGCCTTAAAATGGACCAGAAACGGACAAAATAGCGCCTGGACGGTTATGCATGAGTGATTTTGAAAATCGAAGAATGTAGTGACCTTGATGTAATGCTAGAGATGATGCCTACGAAATTTGAAAGGAAAAGGACATGAGGAAAGCACCTAACTAGGAATAACAAGCACTACGTGCAAAACGAATGGGATTTCTGGACGATAAGGAAAACCAGGAGAATATTAATGGGGCAGAATGTGAACGAAAACAAGGCAATGACGAAGGTCGTCATTGCAATAATACTGATAATGATAATATAATGGTAAGGCTAACGATGATGATAATAATATTGATAATAACAAAAATGACGATAATAATAACACGACAAGGATACATGAAAAGAAAGGGAAAGAAAGGAAAGTAAAGAAAGGGTAGAAAAGGAAATGAATTGAGAGGAAGAAAATGGAACTGCGAGGAAACGGAAAGTTTAAGGATGAAAATGAAGGGAGAGCAAAGCAAAGGAAAAGGCAGAAAAGGGAAGGACAGCAAAGCAAAAAAAGCAAACGAAATGGAGGCACAATGATCGAAAGGAAAGAAAAGAAAAGTGAAGGGAAAAAATGCAAAGGAAATTGTCAAAATGCACTTGGATAGAAAACTAAGGCAAAGAAAGAAAAGGCAAATGAAGAGTGAACAAAAGTTAAGCATCGGGGTGAAACGCTCTTCAAGATAGATGACAGACAAAGCAAAGGAGACAAAATAGAATCATCAAGGCTTATAAACCTTGCATAAGCACTGAGGAGGCAGTGTATGGCTCCTTCGTTCTCGGCACAAGTGTCTTCTCCGCCTTCTGGGTAGCATGATGGATCAGTGATGAAGTTCCCGACGTCCTGCTCAGCCTGGTCAAGGGTGCACGGGCAAGCCGGTAGGTTCTGAGGGGGAAGGATAGAGCAAGATGGTCATAATGATTGAGGCAAGTTAATAACAAAAAGGACACAAAATAACTCCATTACGTGATAACGAAGCAGAAAAAATATATATATAGGCCTACATATATACAAGATAATACTTATTAATTTTTGTAAAGTGATATTTAATAAATGTTATAAGTAGTATTGTCAATCATGTTGTCAATTACAAAGGAATGCGAAAAGGCATGCCGTGCAACCATAAAGAAGAAAATTATATACACAAAATCAGAAATGAAGAAATACCATCTCGATTTTTTAAAAATTGATTTAAAAAAGAAAGAAATCCTTATCATAGGGGACGTGCTCCTATAATTTTTTTCCAAACCGGCATAATGAAGATGAGACAACTTCCGATTTTTTTTCCTTTATTAAGAGGGCGCAACTGTCTATTTTACATGATTTAAGTGACTGCTTTTGAATACAAGTACTTTTACAATTCTTAGAAAAAGACCCATATCCCCCAGCCATTCCCGCCTACGTCAATAATCCTTATAAATTAATTCCTATTTCAAATTGGGCACTACAAAGTATAGGAAAAGAGGTGAAACTCAAAGCTGCTACAGCCCACGAGACCGACATCCCATAAGGCCGAGAACCCATGATACCGACATAACTAAACTAAGTGAAAATTTGTCATACGAAGGTCGACGCGATAAACATGACAGTTTCGTATGCCTTCTAACAACTATTTCGGGGGTTCTTTAGATCTCATGATCTGTAGATCGGTCAAATTGAAAAAATGAGACGACTTTTGATTTCGTACATTAAGAAAGTCGCCCTTGGCGGTGTCTGCTGTAATCCACTCTTTGCATTTCTCCGTGGCCCACTGGACAGAATCGTCCTGGTAAGACTGTTCCAAAAGATAGCCAAGAGTGTGTATGTCACTCCAGAGAACACGTTGACGACTGCATAGAGACAAAAATGGTTGGAATAACCGGTCAACAGAAGGAATAAAAGGCATACATATGACCTTCATCAAAATATTACCCACGTAGGTTTGAGCGTGTGCTTGCAAAATCAGCAAAAGGGTTTCCCTCTTTTTGCGGCCAAACAGTAGGCCTGCGATAATTCCAAAGTACGACCTTACCCGTTATCCATCCCGGTAATTCGAATGACACCGAATGCATTCGCCTCTGTCACGTCCACCTGTGCCGTCGGAGTGAACGTATACGAGCCATCATCTGCAGTGCCGCTTGTTATCATGTATACGTTTTCCCATCGAGGCCCAGGGTTGTCCTCGTGGTATGCTAGAACAGTTATTGAGAGGGCGCTGTCGGAGGGGCCAAAGCTTTCTTGATCTACGTTCCAACTAATGGCTAGGGAGTTTCCGGCCTTGTCCCACGAGGAAGTATCAGAGTCTCGCCTAGTGACAGTTGGAGTGATTCTCCCACTTTCAACTAGAAAAAACAAAGTGGAAACAATATGGTTACTTTGTAGGAGATTAATTTGGGATGGTGTCCACATGGCAAAACCTGGATGATTTGAAGATTCAAACAAATTGTTAGTGCACGTCTCCATAAAAGGTGATCTACCAAATGACAGGTTCAATGGCATGATGAGACAATCTGTTTCTATTAGATGTCTTTCCAAATTACACCCTCCTTAGCCTACATTTTACTTTTTTTAAATCTCGATCCGACTCCAAAGGCCCCAACTTCTGCTAAGATATCATTTAAGAATCCTTTACAAGGTCTTCCTTTTAATTTTATTTTCCATTTAGAAAATCTACCGTGGGTTTAATTAGTGCTTCCAACTAATGGCTCTAATAACAAGAAAGAAAAGACACGGAACGTAGCTTTTTTTTTTTTAACCCGTTTACTATTGAATGCTCCCTATAGACCTAATTCCCGTAGCCGTACTATAGGAATCACCCGGTACCCCTAAGCAGTGGGTTAAAGACTCATAGTAGTTGATTTTCATGGGTTATTCGGCACCATTTTGATGTGTACCCTTTAAAAGGTGTTTTCAATCACCAAGAGTGGACTTCACTTTCCTGACCGACATGTCTTGTGTAATGCACTGCGCCCTGAACCTACCGCCATAAGGAATTCTTATACAGTTCCCCCCTCCCTTGAGAAATTAAGGCCAACAAGCTGGAGTATTTTCTCCATACACATGGACACTGACTATGTTGCTTTAATGCACAGCACTGAAAATTCCCTTTGATGCTTACTGACGGAGTAGATTGTTGAGGGCGAGTTTGCGAGCTCATCGCCTGCCTCTAACACCGTAATGGTGACTTCACCAACGAGAAAGAAAGGCTCTGGGACACAGTAGGCTTCATTGGTGTTGATGACTGTAGCGTTGACTTGCTGAATGATTTCTCCGCCATAAGAGAAGACACAGGTCTGAACTGCCTCCACCGCCCAGCATGGTCCGTAGAGGTAGATTTTTTCACCTCCCATCATTCCACACCGGGCTGGTGTGATAACCAACTCTGGAAAAAGTTGAGAAATGATATGTTGTCATATATAGGTGAATGTCCAGGTATACACCGCCTTAACCGCCCAATATGACACGTTATTATCATTATCATTATTATTAGTAGTATTATTCATGTTATTATTTTTATTTTTAAAAATTATTATTATTATTTTCAGTATGAGAAGTAGTAGTAGTAGCAATTGATATTACCATTATTTTATTATTATTATTATTATTATTATTATTATTATTATTATTATTATTATTATCATTATCATTAGTAGTAGAAGTAGTTGTACATGTACTAGTAGTAGTAGTAGTAGTAGTAGTAGTAATAGTAGTAGTAGTGGTAGTAGTAGTAGTAGTAGTAGTAGTAGTAGTAGTAGTAGTAGTGGTGGTAGTAGTAGTAGTAGTAGTAGTAGTAGTAGTAGTAGTAGAAGTGGTAGTAGTAGTAGTAGTATTAGTAGTAGTAGTAGTAGTAGTAGTAGTAGTAGTAGTAGTAGTAGTAGTGGTGGTAGTAGTAGTAGTAGTAGTAGTAGTAGTAGTAGTAGTAGTAGTAGTAGTAATAGTAGTAGTAGTGGTAGTAGTAGTAGTAGTAGTAGTAGTAGTGGTAGTAGAAGTAGTAGTAGTAGTAGTAGTAGTAGTAGTAGTATTGGTCGTACATGTATACTAGTAGTATCTCTATAGTGGTTTACCTGCTCCAGGCCCAGCATTGCAGACCGGATCGATTATTGAATTACCGTCAACCTTGTAGGCATACACTCCGTTAACGTCGACGTTGCTGTCTGTGCTCAATGACAGCAGGGTAGCTTGTTCGTAGGCGAAGTTTTTTATAATCGTACCGTCATCCATTAGAAAACCAACCTATTGAAGAAACCGAATAAAACCAGTTTGCATAATTTAATACTAATTTTAATTTTGTTTTCTCAGAGAAGCCCCTTCGGGATCAACCTGGGCCCTGTTTCATATACATGTAACTTCTTATCAATAACAAGTTACAGTGGTAAATATTTATCGATATCTTGATTTTAAAAAGCCGTTAGTGCCGGGCTGGGACTCGAACCCTCAACCCTAGGTTTGAAAGTCAAATGAATGAACCACCACTAAAGGTCATCAATTTCATTTCTTCAATATTTCTATTTGATCTTTTTACAATCGTATTACATTGTCTTATTTGAATGAATATTTGTGTTGTATAATATGCCTATATTGAAACGAATAAAAATCAAATCTAATTATATCAAAAGTTACGATTGCAGTGTTGGCAACCCGCTCCATCATGTCCATGCACTCTTTGATTGTTCTTCTTTTCCTCTACAAATTAAAACCTAATGACAGACTTGCTCTCGGGGCACAACATAACTTCGACAAAACCTGGGAACATTTGCTATAACCATGCTCCAGTCAATATTGCGTGTAGTAGCGCCTACTTACTATTGCAATGCCAATTTTTGTATCTGGGTAGAGACCTGTATTGGGATCTCCATCCATCCTTGTCCCAACGACCCAAGTGATAGAGTCATAGTTAAGCAGGACGAAAGATTCCTGTCCGTCGTGAATAAGAACCGCCTGAAATGTATTTCGCTTTAGGGGTAGAACGAGATAGGGAGAAGAGAAAGTGTGAGCTATAGATTGAGAGATTTAATGAATGATTTATTCGAGTAAACACAACAAAAGTTCGAAATAAAAATCATTCACATTAGCAGTCAAAAGACTGAATTGCTGAGTACCATTATTATTTGCATAAAGAGATTACATTTTCAAAAGCATTACATTTTGTTGCATTATTGGGTATGTGAACATTGTTAATACATAAACGTTCGATGAATAATTTGTACACTTGATCATTGAATCTTTCAAAGTGGTTTTAGAAGAGGGAGCAAAACAAATATTAGATTCAATCTCCTGAAATGTCTTTATCTGAGGAATAAAACAGGGCAGTATGAAAAAGTTGAAAAAACAAATCTTAAACCAGTAACCTACAGGAAAGAGCATTCTGGGTAAAATCATTCCTCGCAAATTGTCGGAAATAGTGCGCCCTTAAAAATTGATTTTGGACTGGCACGCAAAAAAAAAAAAAAAAAAATTAATTAATTAATTAATACATGAATAAATATATACACAAAAATGGATTAATTAATTCATAACTTAAATTGGTAAATAGATAGATAATTAAATAAACATGAATTGATACCAAATGAATGAATAAATAAGTAGATTAATAAATACATTAAGTAAATAGATTTATTATTTTAAAAAATAGAAATGAAACTTACTGGATCCGAGGCACCTGTTTGATCGAAGAACGAGACCTGGTCCCACGTGACCACAATGACGACTTGAGCTCTAAAGTCGACATTGCTCCGGAAATAAGTTTGGACGTCTGCAGTCGCTTGGTTGAGTGTTGTAGTGCTGGTTGTTACGCGGTAATATACGTTACCTCCGTCACCTGTAATATCCACATCAGCCCAAAATGCAAAGATTGTATCTGGGTCCTCAATTCTTCCGTCGCCGTCCTTTTTAAGGAAAAATTGGTAAACGTTTTCTCTAGTTTATAATTTGTTGTCTATACTTGTCAGAGATTAAGAGGCACGCTTTAACAATACACGTGAACTTAGTAGAATTTTGTATTCATTTATAGGCCCGGTATATTTTGTGTATGTATTTGTCGAGATTTGTCAACAAATCGGGGGGAAAGTAGAATTTTTTTCTTATTTATTTGATTGTCAGAGAGTTGTTTGGACCAAAAAAAAAAACACCTTGAAATGTGAGACGACCCCCCCCCGCTCCCCGCTTCATGGCGGAGGTTGTTTTCCAGTATCGTGTGTCTGTGTGTGCGAGTGTGGGTGGGGTTGTATTTGGACCAGGTGAGGTATTACAAAATCGAAAGTGACAAAGGATAATATATTTATTCCATATCAAGAGGTTTTTTTAAAGCAAAAAATGGCTTTTCAATTCAATATCTGACGAAATAAATTGAAAGATGTAATTGTAAAAGATGTAACTGTTAAGTATTTTTTATTTCAACTGTTTTGATTATCATTATTATCATTTTAGTTACATATAAATATATATAGATATATACATACATAAAAAAATATTTTAATTTTGAAATTCCTCCGTCGCGTTAATATACAAATATTGATTTCAAAAGCTTTTAATTTCAATTTCAACGTTTTTAATAGACATGCATAACAGTTGAAGATCTACTTACAACGTCGTAGTAATAAGGTATTATTCTGTTTCTGGCTAAATCCGATTCTGCGGAAACTTCTTCATCGAAAGAAATAACTCCATTGTCACCTATCTGAATATAAACAAAAAACAAAAAGAAATAGTTTCATGAAAATTGTAAGCCTGTACCAGGGAGATACCAGCAATGAAATCTCTTTGCTTCTACCAACCTCCAAATTTATTAGTCGGGCTTTCATCCACCCTTGTGGACTTTCTCAAGCCAAGCGATTATTTAAACAGTTTCTTGCTGTCTGCTGCCTTGAGATCACTGGAGCAAAGATAGGTGACGATATTGAATAGCCAGAGTTCCCATGCAGGGAAGGATTATTCCTTTTTATCCAGATGGATTATTTCACCTTTCATGATCAGAAGTGTGTTTCAAAATCAATAGTATGGGCATCATCTTATCCGCTGTGGTGCCCATACATGTTATTATTACCCACAACCAATGAAAGTTTTCTGTATCAAAAATAGTATCGTGAAAGTGTTTAGTAAATCATCTCTTCCTATCCGTCCATTTCCTATATACTTCTCCCAGTATTCCTGTTTAGCCTATAACCCCATAAGCGGTTTCTTTTTGCGAGGGAATATATCAGCAGCCTTTTCTGTAAGGCTACCACATGGTATTATTGAAAGTCTTAATTTTTTGATAAACAATATAATATTATGTAATATATAATACAAACAATAAAACAATTAACTGATAGACTATTGACCATAAAGTTGGAATCACTTTTGTTACTCTTTTCATAATGCGATTGTGACAACGTGATTCATTGTTTAAGATAAATGTTATATCTTTTCAGATTATACTTCTCATTCTTAATAGTCAAAGAATATTGATCAATAACGTGCTGAGAAGTTTATTAATCAAGAATAAATAATATTGTCACAATCATTTCATGAAAAGAGGTAAGAAAATAATTATGTTATCATTATTGGCTACAGTGGCAATAATGAGGTGCATGTAATTTATCCGTATTCACTAATTAAGACCAAGGAATGTGGTCATTTGGTATCCGATTAGTAAACAAGTATTGTTGAATTACGAATGTGATTGTGCACGTTTGATGCAAGCTGTTGTCATGGTGATCTGGCAAATCATGGGATCTCCTGAGACAGTGTGAACTTTAATCCATGGGACAATTTTGCTCCTTGAAATATAAAAATGTACATAGCATTTGAGCTTGGGGGGGGGGGGGGTCGGAGGTAAAGGAAAATTCCACTCTGGTTACAAGTTCATTTCAATAATAAGCTCTTAACAGAGCAGAGGGATGGGGTCTAATTCGGAGGTAGCCTTTTGACAAGGCCTCGTGACTCTGGCTATTTTCCACCCCAGTCAGCGGTTGAGATGAGTCTAGCCGGCGAAGAAGAGAGATCTAGAGACCCGGGGTGAACGCGCGATCAAGTGGCGTATAGCCGCGAGGACTTCTGGACTCTGCCTTTTACTGCTCTGCATGAATTTATTCATAACGTTGGATTTATTGACCAATCAGAACGGCCATCTCCCAGTTGGCTTCGTTCGTGATTCGTTCACTATCAAAACATGTAGGCAAATGTAAAAGACGTAAAAAAGTTTTGCTGATGAGATGAGCATATCAATGGTAAATACAAAATATCACATTCAAATCTATTTTACAGGCAAATTACAAAAATATAGGAAGCATTAGTGAGATACTTGGACTTTCCCTACATAAAAAATGAACCAATCCAACTCGTTTTCGTTCTATGTAGAGGTCAGTGGTTTTAGTCCTTACGTCATTCGTACTACGTAGAGTTTACTGTGTGCGTGATGGATAATATATGCTAACATCACGTAGTGATACGTTCACTGATTGGACGCTACCATTTCGGCAGAGAACCCCAGTCGGAAACAAAACTTAACACAAGAAATCTAAACCAGATTACTAAAGTCCTCTTGGTTGACGCCACTCGCTCTGGCGTTCACTCGGGTTTTCGCGATTAGTCTCTTATTAGTCGCTCGGCGTCAGATATCATTATCAGACACGAGGCCTTCTCTGAAGGCTAAAGGGGCTTTCACACCGGGCCTTGCGTTGAGTTGCGTAGAGTTGCGTAGCGACTACGCCGATCGTACGCAACCCTACGCCGATCGTACGCAACCCTACGCAACTGTACGCGGAGGGACGCGAATGGGTACGCGAGATGTTCGCGTACCTTCGGCGTAGACTTTACTACGCAACTGTACGCCAAGCCTACGCAACTGTACGCCAAGCCTACGCTACTGTACGCCAAGCCTACGCAAATGTACGCCAAGCCTACGCAACAATACGCTACCCTACGCCAGTCCGACGAAGCATTAAAAACGTATGGTATAAAGATTTTCTTTAGGACCTGGATGTAAACTTGGCAGATATTGATCATTGATCATTCTTGCTTGTTATTCTGTTTGTACTACTACAACGTATTTCAGACTGACATTTTTTGTTTTGTTATGGTTTATTCAATTTGTGATAATTGACATCTCAGGCTGTTGATATAATAAACAGAGATAAGATTCATAAACTGATGCCTCATGCGAAAATTTTATTATGTTTTGTGGAAATCTGTATCTATTTGTGTCGGTTTGTTTGCTTGTGTGTACGTTTGTGGTCCTGTTTGTATGTTTGTAATATAATGTGTTTAATTGAAATGAGCAAAAGAAATAATTTTTTCTCACTCTGTTAGTGAGACTGAGTGAGTGTGTATGTCAGAAGTATTTCTTTAATTTTAATAAATGACTAACATTTATATCATTACATTGTCACACACAAATACGCTACGGACCAAGGACAACGGATATCGTCTTCAAACTTTCAGGAAACTGTTATGGAATGATATTTTACAAATGAGTGAAAAAAGAGATATGGTCAACAAATATCAGACTGCTGTCCACATTTATTCACAAATCAAAATAAGTGCTCTCTTTTGTTGGCGTTTTGAGGTATCAAATCACATCACGTGACCTTGCAATGTTCATCAAAAGAAAGTTCATATATTACCCTTTTGAATGATACATAGTACAATAATGTAGTACATCAACAAAAATGTCTGCATTTTTTGGAAAATAAAATCTTGAACAAATTAACATTACTGCAAAATAACCTCAGCAGTTGCTAATACCTACTAAAAAAACTGAAAATTTAACGGTCAAAAACGTGTACCGAATGCCACTTTTTACTATTAAAACTTATGGCAGGTTTATAAATGTTATTTTCTGCACTCACTATTTTACGCAAATTGGCGTTTCAGCCCTATTTCACGCATGCAAAAGAGACCCACTGCCCCTTGGATGTCACAGTTTGTCAGAATGTTATTATTATACTAAGATCAAGTTATGTTCACATGTAATAACATGTACAATTCTTTGTACACTGCCGGTTTATTTATACAATAAATTGAACTGTTTTTTAACATATTTTCTTATTATATATGTTTATAAAGCGCCAATGGCTATACTCGCGGCTCCTACGAGCGTCTATTGCATTTTTACATGGCATTTTCTCCCACAGTAAGCAACCGTACGCAACCGTAAGCAACCCTACGCCAGGCCTACGCAACCGTAAGCAACCCTACGCCAGGCCTACGCAACCGTACGTAACCCTACGCCAATTGCCTACGCCGAAGGTACGCGGTGCCTACGCACAGGGTACGTAACTATACGCCGATCGTACGCAAGCCTACGCATAACCTACGCAGGGACTACGCCGAAGCATCAATTTATTCATGAGTACGCAGCTTAACTTCGGCGTAGTCGGTACGCAACACTACGCAACTCTACGCAGATCCGGTGTGAAAGGGGCTTAATTCGGAGGCTGCCAACTGACAGCTCCACTCCACAGGCACCATAGTGGGGGAGGGCGAGCAATGGCCAAACAGGAAGAAAAAAGTGTTAAAATGTCGTAATCTTAAGTAGGTATACTTACATATAATGTGCTGTGGTATTTCCCACCGAAAGGAAAGGCTCTGTCCAATGTCACGCGTAGTGCAAAGTCATTCTGTTTGCTGAGTGCAGTATCAGCATTGCCGGTGCCATAAGGGTATACTAGCGAGGAAGAAAAAGAAATGACTAACGATTATTTCTTATTTTATGAAATAAGGAAACGCAAAAAGCGTCCTACACGAGTCCACACTTATCTTATTCCCATAGATTAATACAGGGCGATTACTTTCACCTCTGCCAGAGCTCAAATTTTGCCTTAAAGTCCCCGTTTGTAACGCTTTTGTCGAGCAGAAAAAGCTAAGGAATTCCATATGAATATAATAATAAGGAACACGGAAGGCTACCCTAACTCCCTAATTCCTAAGTCAACCGTATTCATAACGTCAACCCTGGAGCAAACGCTATACCTAACGCTAACCTTGACCCTCACTTACAGGTACTATGCCTATGTCCCATTTGCAGCCCCCCCCCCCCCCTCAAAAAAAAAAAAAAATAAATAAATAAAAATAGAAAATAAATATTAAAAAAATAAAAAAAATAAAATAATAATAATAATCTAAAAAAAAAAAAAAATTAAAAAAATGAAAAGGTTCAATTCCAACGGCATTTGAAAGATAATACACATTTAGAAGTTCCTTCAAAACAAAATGGCTTTGAAATGTCTTTTTTTTGTGGGAAAATGACGAATCTACTTTAAGGATTGCAATCCTTTAGTGAACAGTCTGATTTTCAGACCCTTGTAGCGAGTGGTGAACGTCTTGTGATGCGCAAAGATTCAATCAGTTTAATTCTGGCCTTTACTATAAGTGGGTTATTGGTGTAAACAAATGCTTATGTCCCCTTCACAGCTCATTTTAAGTATGTTATTACCACATAAAAATGAAGTCAGTCACTAAATTGTGTCCGACAGTAAAGTCTTAAAAGTAAACGGGTTTCCTTGCAAAATGTGAGTAGTAGGACACTGCTAACGTTTAAATTATACATATAGGACATGCGTGACATATTCATAATTCCTGCAAACTTGTACAGAATTTGATGTTGGCTGCAAATGGGACATAGTACCTTTAAAACCCAATTGCACTCTAACGCTGACCCTTAACTTTTGACGAAATAAAGCTTTGAGCAATTGTCGCTGGAATAAATGTAGGAGCACGTGCAGGTAAAGAAGAGAGCAGGAGTGGTGAAATTTATGTTTTAATTTCTATCCATATTGAAGACACTTTTCGTATCGATATAAATCTAAGTGGTACTGTTGACTTTAGCCTGATATAAATCTATTCAAATGGGTTCGAATCATTCACGTAGAATAAACACTTAACGGTCGCTCAAAGGTCAATCGTGTTGTTGATAAGTTTTGTTTTGTACCAAATTCAAATATTCAAAATGTGTACGGATCCTGGACATTGGACCACTAACGTACGTGAACAAGATAGTCATTGCTAAAAGTAGCTCAAATATTTTTGTCTCATCAAGCCTATAGATAAAGATTGAAGATAAATTTAGTAGGCTTACTGGCGGTGCGATTAATTTGTGATTGAAGCTGTCTCGGAATTATTAAGAAACTTTCGTTTTGTAGTACGTATACTATCTGATATGCATGAGCATCGACCTACGGAATAAGGTTTCGGAATCCTAATAATAATAATAGTACTAATAATAGTATTGATAATACTACTAATAATTATAATGATAATAATAACAATAATACAATTTGTATAAAGCCATAACGAGATTTAAATGGCATTAAAACAAGAGCAAAAGATACTGTAAGAACAAAATAAGATTGAATCCAATTAGAATAAAGATACATGTACAAAGAGAAGCAGGGGATTTGAAGCTTCTCAGGATACTGACACATTGGAAGAACCGCACATAGATATGAGTAAGTGGCACTACACACATACAGTTTGAGCAAAATTTGGTCCAAATGTTTAAACAATATCTTAAGATATACTTTTGACTGCCAAGCATTTTTTTTATCATTGTATGATACTCTTGAAGAGAAGGTTGAGTTCTGGGAAGAGGTGACAAATAATTTGTAAGCGTTATCATTGTATTATGCAAGTGTGGAAGAACATCAGATAAAAAAATGTTCCCTGAAAAGCATGGCTCATCAAATACCTAATATATGGCATGTAACATCATAACAATCTGGACGGATTCTTATGCCACATATTCGTGTAGTCCCATATTTGTGTGTTCAGTGCTGGTAATTTACCAAGACTGGGCCAAATTTCTTAACATTTTGATGATTCCAGAGCCTTGCAGTACACACCAATACTTTTATGCAAAGATGAGCAACCGTTTTCTGAACGATTCCACAACGTTTCTTTCACAATGCAATCACATGACCAGAACTCAACTTTATCTTTAAATATAGAAGAAAATGCAGACAAAAAATACTGGAGAAAAAAAAAGTTATTTTCACATTTACCAGAACTCAGACATGTCTACATTCTCTCAAAATATTGTGCAGTTAATACGTTAATGGCAAATGTTACACATCAGGCGCGGATCCAGGATTTTCCAATAGGGGGGGCCGGAAATTTGAAAATTGCGCAGACCGTTTTTTCAAGGTCATATTAGAAGCACCATACCGGTACAATTTTTCACATTTTCATCGAGGGGGGGGGGGGGGGGCTATAGCCTCTTGCCCGAAAAAAAAGTAATTTTCTGGTTTCACAATAATTCGGCTAGTGAGCGAGGCAAGCGAGCAACAATTTGAGCATAATATGTATTTTGTGAAAGTGTTATTTATCACCCCCCCCCCATTACGCGCGAAGCGCGGAAAGCTTTGACCTTTCATTAATTATTAGAGAAAGAAGACGATTTGTTGTACCATTCTCGACTCGCAGGCTATTCCTTGTCTGAATTCAGTTTTCCCCCTCCCGCGCAAAGCGCAGAAGCTTAAAGTTTCATTAAATTATTAGAGAAAGAAGACTATTCGTTGTACCGTTCTCGACTCTTAATCCTTGTTTGAATCCAGTTCCTCCCCTCCTGCGCGAAGCGTGGAAGCTTTTACCTTTCATTAATTATTAGAGAAAGAAGACGATTCGTTGTACCATTCTCGACTCTCAATCCTTGTCTGAATTCAGTTTCCTCCCGCCCGCTTGAAGCGCGGAAGCTTTGACCTTTCATTAATTATTAGAGAAAGAAGATGATTCGTTATTCCATTCTCGACTCTTAATCCTTGTCTGAATTCAGTTTCCCCCTCCTACGCTTTGCGCGGAAGCTTAATAATAATAATAATAATTATTATAAAGCGCAACATATCCATCTCTAGAGATGCTCAAGGCGCATACAAATAATTTAAATTAATATTCAACATACTTAAGAAAATACTTAAAAAATATTAAATGTTAACCTGCATTAGATCATACAAGTTCATGGTGCCAAGGTACATACAATGTGGCACAATGTTATTGTTTGTTTTGCATGCATTGTATAAAAAGAACATTGAAATTTAACAATATGCATTGAGCATCAGGTGAGTTTTAAGCCCAGTTTTGAAAGTAGAGAGAGTGTTGGCCGTCTGAATAGAGAAAGGTAACTTATTCCACAAAGAAGGAGCTGCTGATGCAAATGCTCTATCCCCCCAATTTCTTTTGGTATACGTATTTCTTTAAGTCTAATATTATGTGATGAACGTAAACCAGAACGACCTGCGGAGTGTGGTGATAGAAGGGATTATATATATTCTGGAGCTAGATCAGTTAGTGCATGATAGGTTAAGAGTAGAATTAACGTTTCATTAAATTATTAGAGAAAGAAGACGATTCGTTGTACCGTCATCGACTCTTTATCCTTGTCTGAATTGAGTTACCCCCTCCCCTCCTCCTCCTCCTTCCGCGCGAAGCGCGGAGGCTTTGACGGTTCATTAAATTATTAGAGGAAGAAGACGAATCGTTGTACCATTCTCGTCTCTTAATCCTCGTTTGAATTCAGTTTTCCTCCTTCCGCGCGAAGCGCTAAAACTTTGACGTTTCATTAAATTATTAGAGAAAGAAGATGATTCGTTGTTCTATTCTCGACTCTAAATCCTTGTCTGAATTCAGTTTTCTCCGGCTCGCGCGTAGCGCGTAAACTTCTGACGTTTAATTAAACTATTAGAGAAAGAAGATGATTCGTTTTACCATTCTCGACTCTTAATCCTTGTCTGAATTCAGTTTCCTTTCGTCCGCGCGAAGCGCTGAAGCTTTGACATTTCATAAAATTATTAGAGAAAGAAAACGATTTGTTGTACCGTTCTCGACTTGTCAGAATTTTCATTTTTTTTTCTTTGTCTGCTCCTTTTTCGTCCTATGTCCTCTTACTGCCCCTACCGCCCCTGGCTACGCGCCTGCTTTAAAGGGAAAATGAAACAATCATGATTGTGATAGCACACAATTAGGTTAGTAGAAATGAAAGGGAAAAAAGATCTATTACACCAATCATGTATAAATCACGGCCGGGAGCGTCATATAGTTTTGTGTTATCGGGCGAGGGCCGGGGCGTAGGGACCAAGCGAGATTTTGCAATGTTGAATGCTGAAATTATGCATTCTAGAAAATCCCTTAGCCCAATATGTACGTTCTTTCCGCTATATTTCTTTCTAGCTATATTTCTAAATTTTCTGGGGGGCTTGTCCCCCTATCGGGCCCAGGATTGCCGCCCCTGTCCATGATTACTACCAACATGAGTTCAAATACTGAAGCGAGTTGGTATGAGCTGAATCGAAATGAAGGGCAAAATAAGAGTTGTGAAGCGGCCCTACCGTTAGTTTATAATTTGACTGTCGAGTATATAACTTCTATTTAAAAGACATCCAAAATATTGTGCCCTTTTCAAATTTCTCACTAAAGAGTGATGACCTTTGCTACAGGGGCTGTTCTTAACGTTTAACTTTGAATCCGCGGCTCGAGATTTTATGCGGCCGGCCCGGCCCCCCTCTATTCAATAACGTTTGCCAAGCCTTCTGGAATGACCCCAAATCTCCCGATTCCAGTTTTCCCTTATTCGTCGTTACTGTCACTTAGCGCCATTTCCTTGTCTTTCCCCCTTTCTCACCCGACTTTTCTCCCTCCCTCCCTCCCTCTCAGTTTTATCTAGGGTACGCTCACGGTTCCCTCTCTTTGAAAGCACCCCTCTATCTCCGGTGTGTAAAGTCAGTACGGGCCGGATTTGTGTGTATTACGGGCCGGACTTTGTTGCGTGAAAAGTAACTCTTTATCGGAAATTTTGGGAAAACAAATTCGGTCCCTCCGACCCCGGAGTGGAAGGGAGGGGGAGGGGGGGGGGGCTTTCTTCTTTATCTTTTCTCTTCTCTTTTCTTCTTTTTTCCTTTCTCTTCTCCTCTCCTTTTCTCTTCTCCTTTCTTTTTTCTCTTCTTTTCTTCCTCTTTTTTTTTTCTTCATTTTTTTTGCGCCGCCAATAGGGGGGGCCGCGGCCGTTTCGGCCCCCCCTGGATCCGCCACTGCACATGAGATCATAACTGGAGATCTTAAAGCTCCCCTCACTTCTGATACACTTTTGGAGAAACCGACTAAACATCCCTTTAGCATCTATTTTTATGAACTATTTACACTATCAAACTAAACTGGAAATCATATTTGCATATCTCATTAAAAGAAAAACGTAATGAGTCGACGGATTATACACACAGCTGAACAGTAGGCACTGTCAATTTGATACCCTTATAATTTCGTTGTTCATTTGAAACTGATAACGATAATTAAAATAATGCGTTCTTGTAAAGCGCATAGAACATTATGATATAACGTCCCTATGCGTTTCCAAAGAACTTTAGAAATGATTACCCTAGCTTTAGCTCCGGCAGCCGTTCTCAGCGCACAGTGCATTTCAAGGAGTAATCCTACCAGGTACCCATTTACCTCACCTGGGTGGAGTGTGGCAAGTGTAGATTAACGTCTTGCCAAAGGACGTGTCCATAACTTTAAATCAAAGAAAGGTTACTATTTACTAATATCCATTTGTGAATGCTTCATTCCTTACCTCTTATCCGATTTCCGTGTATTTACCCCCCCCCCTTCTTTTTTTCGTTTTCGAGAAGTATTATAAATGAACCAGCGACTGAGCGTTCATCTCTGCGCAATATGACAATGGTTGGCGCACGAATAACGTTGTGGTGCTTTACCAAAACCTCACCTCGGTGGCAATTATGCACTCCTGTGTCCGGCGCTTTTATGACCCACTAAAATTTGGACATATTCTGTAAACTCTCGTTGCATTCCATTCTGATGAATCCTTTTAAGTCTCTTATTCCTTGTTTGTTTATTTTTCCTTCCTTCCTTCCTTCCTTCCTTCCTTCCTTCCTTCCTTCCTTTCTTTCTTTCTTGCATTCTTCTTATATTATCATGCTTCAATTCTACTCAGTGTAGCTAGAGCCTATTTCTTTTATAAACTGAAAGAAATAAAGAATGTTCTTACATATATATTTATAAGAAAGTAGGGCTTTGTGACTTTGTTAAATTGTGTTTGGCTCGTGTCATTTTCATGTTTTTGTTTCAAAGCCAGATGTGAAGCCAAATATTTGATATGTAATCCATACATGAATATTAATTTCTGATGAATGTAATTGAAAATAGCAGTAATGTAACTAAACGGCCCAACAGGGCACGTGCCTCTTCAATCTAATGAAGAAGGAGGAAAAGAGAAAGGGGAGAAAATAAAAGGGAGGGGGGGGGGGAGGACGAGAATGGAAGCGGATGGAACCCCTCCCCGCACACCCTGCCCTATCAGCGAGCCTTACAAATTCGCATCTCATATGTCGAGTAAGCCCCCTGCCTCCAGCCACACCCTCCCCAACCACACCTCTCCCCTATCCACAATTCTTCGCACACTTACGGTATCCTCGATCGCTCAAACCAGTTTTTAACATGTGAACCTATGGGTATTTCACCAAGACTGAACTATTTCCCCGGTAACCATGGTAACTGGTATTTTGCCGGGATTTTAGAACTATTATTTTAGAACTATTACATGGGTTTGGTATTTTACCGTGAATTTTATAGGATTAGTTTAAGTTTATGAATGCAATTTCGACCATTCAGATGGCTGGATTTCTTAAGTGAGGTATATAATATAAATTAATTGCCCAATAGTTGGGCACATTAACATCCTCATAATCGGGTAATTTACTCCACTAACTATCATGTTAATGATAGTGTAGTAGAATAAATAAGAAAGGAAGTTGTGAGGGTATTCATGATATGCATCCAATATATATAAGAGGAAGGGTAGTTTCCTCACATATACACTGATGTACACATTTGTTTCTTATGATTCAATGGACCTGTTAAAAGAAAAAAATCTACCTGACTAGGTGGACCCATATTTTGTGCTTGGGAAAGTCTTTATGATCGTAATCATCACAATCACGTTCACGCATATATTCGTAACAGTAAATAGTGCGAGCCTTTATCTGAGCATGGTATAACGGAACATGTGTGTTTAATACTCATCTTTAAGAACCTCATGGCTTTGTCATTCTCTTCGAGATCGAAAGGATGAAAGTAATTATCATCATGCATTCAATAATCATTGAGTTAAATGACCCCTATAGTAAACGCCGTGCATGTGACAAAACCGTAACGTCCACCATTTGATAATAGGGACTTTTAGATTTGCACAACGACAACGTGGTTTGATACGATCGACGTCCTTTTAATGCACTGCCATGAATGGACGTCACACGTGTCAGTCCACGCAAATCTAAAAGTCCCTATTGTCAGTCTATCTCTCCCCTTTTAACACAACTCATTTTTTTCTTGTCCGGTTTGAAGGGTTGACGATTTTCAGATTTTCTAAAAATTTAGTGGTTTGATGATTTCCTCTATCTTTATGCTTTCTCCACTGTCAATAATTCCATGGATCATCGTGAGCACTAATGCTTTAGGTGAAGATGTCATAGTTTTACATAAAGGGTCATACTCCTGAAAACCATGCCACTTATTGTTTCCCCCAAGTTCACAAGCTACAATTGATTTGTATTTGCCGAGTGTATATTTTGTTTGCTGTAGGTTACGTTCATCTGACAATTTTTTCTTCCAAATTAAAATCAAGTACATTTATCTTTTTAGCCGTACTTATTCTTTATTCTGACATCCTGGGATGCTGAGTATTTCTCTACAGCACTTTGCGGAAATTCTTATGAGGGAATAATGCATGGTCACCATGTCATTTTAAATTTTGCTATAAATGAACTGGTTTATTTTTCGAAATTTATAATAGCGTTCTACTGTTTCTACAGATCGATTCGTTTGACTTACAAGTAGGCCTGCAGATGATTTCTATTTGTGAAAATGAATGATGAACTTGCGACTCGATCAATATAAACATTAAAATGGAGACATGTGTTATTCATCATTTTTTACTCACATTCAGCTTGAGACTCGGCAGCCCAGGTTAAACATAACATTAAAACAAGACGAGTACAAAATGAGTTCTTTCTCCTCTCGCCAATCATGATGACAACTTAAGATTTCAGACAGATTCCAAAAGACGGATGCATAAATTTACAGTCTCAGGTTGAAATATTCCAATTGGTTGCTTAAACACATCTTGATATAGCTTCCCTGCGTACAAGACCATACGCCGAAATCAGTATTTGGCGGGGCAGTGTTCGTTGGCGCCTGCGAAAAATACGTTTTCTCGTTGGTAATATGCAGACGACGCGATTTGATCGGTTCTGATTCGATCATAAAGAATGTTCTGAAAGGGAGAAAGGAAAACAAGTGTTGGGCAAATACAGGCCTACGTGAAGGTAAGAGGGCAAGTAAGCGGACTTTGGTAAATCAGCAAACAATTATCAATTGTTATTATGATCAGTTTGATTTGGAAGTAGTGAGTGTATTATGGGCGGATCACGATGCAAACAATTATACAAAATCTCCTTTGTTTCTGTAGGTGAGAACGCCCGTATAGTAATTAATAACATGAAAGAATGTTATGGAATTCATTACATACGGAAATGGGATTTTTGCGTGTAGGTCACTGAATTAAACTACTTTCTGCCACGCGTCCCCATTTCTACTTTGTACATGTCATATAGGTAATACTAGTTACAACGTGAAGTTTTATTTTGTTATCGAAATATTATTAAACGGCTCTGGCATTTGATTTCGAGTATTACTGTCATGATTGGCTGTATGGCTAATTTTCCCTTTTTACACGCATGGAAACAGTGCAAAACTTCATATATGAACAATAAAAACAAAATGACAATGTATTTATTTTTATACAATCATTGAATAGTGTATAGCGACATTTTTTGTTGAATCATAGAAAAGATGATAGAAATGTCATTAAGCAATGAGTTAAATATATAATTACACTCGCCATCATATTTGCATAACATACCCTTATCATTAGCGGATGCGCGGGGGGGGGGGGGGGAGGGGTTGAAAGCGGGATTTTTGATGTGTCGTCTCTTCGAATCTTCATGTGTTTGTTTCTCTTGTTTCTCTCGCTTGCTAGAGATTTCTTTCTAGCGCTTGAACCCTTTTTTCTAAAAAAAAGATATCTGCAGCTGCCATTAAAAAAAAAAAAAAAAAACCTTCCTTCTGATTTAAGGCTAGAGAAATTCAAGTTGCCCGTTGCGGTGTTTTGTGTAGCGCCACCTACGTCTTCCAACAACATAATAAAATCAAAGTCCAAATTCCATCAACTGTCGGCCTTATTTTATGAACCTGTGTCTTTCACTTTGGGTAACACTATGATTCGCTAATAGTCGCCTTCACTTGTAAATATAACTATATTAATATAAGTATATTTACATTGAAAGTTCAACGGTTAAATAAACATCTTTAGTCAGATAATGATGATGGCGGTTGTTGACTTTGCTTTAAAATATCATACGAAATAATTATCACATTAAATTGCATTGCACCTGTCTTCATCTAATATCTTTGTTTATACATTGTCAATATCAATTCATGCTGTGTTGTCTGACTAACGAGCAGCTGAATGACAGGGGCGATGCACACTGGTAGTTTTGCTTTTGAATCAATCACCAATATTTTTCAGGACCTCCATTGCAAAAAAGTAAAAAAAAAAACTATAATAAGACATTATTTAAGCCTGTCTGCACTAGTTTGACCATTAGGAATTAGACTCCCCTGCATTGTCACTGACATGTGATTATCTCACTAATATCAGCTCTCAATCAACATTATTAAAACATGAAACGTCATTTGTAGCCCTGGCCCTGGTCCATACTTTAGTAACGAAAATAAAGCCAGGAGTAACTGGCAGGCGCGGATCCAGGATTTCTCAGGGGAGGGGGCCCATTTTTTAATTTTTGTTTGCTCCCGAAAATTTGAAAATCGCGCCAGCCGAAAACGAAAAGTCGTTCAGGTGGGGGGGGGGGGGGGGGGAGGGGGGGGGGGGGGGGGGGTAGTGAGCACATTTTTTTTTTGGCCCTCGAAAATTTGAAATGTGCACCCCCCCCCCCCCCATCCCCCCCAAAAAGCTAAAAATCACGTGTTTTTACACGTTTTTTTCCCAGGGGGGGGGGGGGTGAGATGCCCCCCCCCCCTGGATCCGCCACTGGTAACTGGAAAATGTCTTTAGAGAGATTTTTAAAAACTGTGTTGCTGTTGTTATTGTTGAATAGAGAACAAATATTGGAACAAATATAAAATTAGTTCGAAAAACTACCTGGTACAGTTGCTCGTTGGTTGTAACCGCTTACAAATGTACATATTCATGAATCTATCATTTTTATTGGGTTTTCCTGATACATGCTGCATCTATTCTTTTTTCTCATTTCCTCTGATTTCATGGCAACCAACGGATTTTCTGTTGTATGATTAGCAGGTAACTTCTTTCTCGGTGGATAATGCATTAGCAAAGCGTATACAACTCAGTTACTAAAATCGGATAGAAAATAAATCTACCCAGGCTCCTGTAAGCACACACACAAAAAAGGAAAACTGCAAAGAAAACAAAATCAAGACACAATAGCATAAGCGGGAAAAGTTAAATTTTAATCATATTTCAACAATCTACTGTTATTGTCGATTGTAAAGAATAGATGAAAAACTATTGAATCTCATCATCCTTAGAAGCCCAAAAAATTCAAAGTCATATGAGTAGCCAAGCTGTCTGTTGTATTATATATTTCTACGTCATATATGAATTTTAATTATAATATACATCGCATAACACATGTATCTTACCAGTTACAAGGTAACCGACATATATGCTAACGGTATAGCCACAATAAGGGTGCAACTATCCTACCTACATTGTACGCATCTCTCCTGGAAACACAAAGTCATTTAATCAAATGTCCTGTGGCCTGAAATGTTGGGTCATATGGGTTCTTCATCAGGCAGCAACTTTTATTTGAATTTCATTTGTGTTGGCTGTGTGAGAATGGCACTAGAGGGCCAAATTACCACTTTTGGCTGTTACCCATTTGCACTTTGAAGATGTTTTTCTTCTTCATAAGGTGTTACCATGAAATTACACAAGATATGCCATATCTTTTCATACTGAATAACACTTAGTTTTAAGTTGCTAAAGAACCTCAGGTACAATTGTGATCGATGTATGCGAACCTGATATACAATCATTAACCACATGTCACGTATACAAAGGTTGTCGTTCATTGCATTGCTTATATTCAAAATTGAATTTTGACTTTGTTAATTCCTTCATTTGAATGAATGGAAACTATTTTGTTTCCTGTCTCAATAAGGTTTATCGTGCCGATATTTTGCATTACGCAAGCAAATATCAAATAAAAGAAGATTAGATTTTTCTCTGGATTATTCCTTCCTTGCGAAAAAGAGAAGGAAAAGAAAGAACGAAAACAAAGAAAGAAAAGAAGAGTCATGCTCTGGTTTGAGACTCGAGTCAAATAACGATAATGCACTCAAATAAAAGATCAGACCTGAATACCTGATATAGTTCAAAAATCTGTATTCGTATCCATTAGCCCAGTCAATAGGTTTTGCTCGGGTTCGTGGTCCACTTTCATTAGTTGGTTCATTAGAGAAATAACCCATTGACTACGTTACCCAGGGACTCCTGCATTAAACCTGAATGAACGGGTTCAAAAAGTACAATCTTGTTGATCTTTGGCCATTTTCATATAATTATGATAAATAAAACTAATAGCAATACGATGGAGGTTTATAATATTATCGATATATTGGACTGTTGTACAATTCCATTTAGATTTCTTCTTGCTCATCTAGGAGACGAGCAGACCCTTCCTTGTACCCTGCCGGTGCGGCAGAGATCTTGCTGAATTTCCGTAGGACCACAGCCATCATGGCGGCCATTGCCATGAAACCGGTTGCCATGGCAGCCATGGCAACAATCCACGGGTTGAAAGCATTGGTAACATCTTGTTGCGTTGAAGCGCCTGTGGGAAATGAACAGCAACGTGGGATGAAATAAAAAGAAGAAGAAGAGGATGAAAAAAGAAATACAGAGGAGTAGGAGGAGAAGTAAGATGAGGGGTGAAGGAGGAGGAAAACATTATCGGTCTAGGGAATGAATACATAACGCCGTTGCTAGAAAATGTAAGCACTTTGTTATTTTTGACGATAAGTGATTATCACAATCTAGTAGGAGAAATACTGTTTAGTGATATATATTATTCCGACTACATTATCCCAACTCAAAGGGGGTGTAGCATGATGAGACAATAGGGACTTTTAGATTTGCGTGGACTGATACGTGTGACGTCCTTCCAAGGCAGTGCATTAAAAGGACGTCGACCGTAGCAATCCCCATTGTCTTCGTGCGAATCTCCCTATTGTGTCATTCTCGTGGCCTGACTCGGGGCCAATCGGGTATAATACGACTACGGACGACGCGAGCGCAGTATTAGGGACTTTTAGATTTGCGTGGACTGATACGTGTGACGTCCATTCAAGGCAGTGCATTAACAGGGCGTCGATCGTAGCAATCCCCATTGTCTTCGTGCGAATCTAAAAGTCCCTAATCACGTGCGTGCAACATACGCGTAACCGAGGCGTCATGAGAACTTCGGTCTGTTTCGCGAACGCTACCGTTAATCAAGTCCATTCGTTTACGTGCAGTTGTCCTAAAGAAGTTGTAGATGGCATTACCCAGTATGTGCCATGCTACACCCCCTAGTTTCCCCTAAAGTGCAGGTAATGTTCTCTGAGTGAGCCTTGTCCCGAATATTGGTGGGGCACACTGATGCAACTCAATAAACAAGATCACGTCACGTGAGCCATCAGACAAGCAATTTCCACGAACAATAAATATGTCGTACCGATGGTCATGGTATTAATTATTAAATGAACTACTATTTAGATTATTGTTTGTAAACAATCTTTCTTATTACTCTACATTTCATAATCTTGAGTACTATTCTGTTTCATTCTTTTCATTTTACAGCCCACGTCTAGGGTTGTAATGCCGAAAGTTTCAATAAACAAATGTGATTATACTTTATTATCTTGTAGTCTTTCAGATCTTTTGTCCACAACAACACAAAAGACGTCCCGTCAAGTTCAACTGTTGTAGTTTACTTCTGTCGACTTCACCCAATTAAGGCCGGGGGTGGGGGGGGGGGGGCATTTTTATTATAGGCATTTTGCCCCCTCCATGATTTTTCTAATTGTTCGGGATCGCATATGGATGGCGCCCCGCCGATCGCTGACTTTTTTCTTTTGAGTCTTGCG